TCTTCATAGGAAGTGCCTTGCTGAGTCATCGCACAGGCCTTACCTCCAGTTTTTACTTAATTATAAATCTCTAATCCTAGCTTTCAAAGTCCTTCAAAATTGGGCATTGCTTCCTTTAAAAATTCTTTTTTTGAGGCAAGGTCTCACTTCAAGATTGAAACTCATTATGTAGACCAGGCTGGCCTGAACTTACAAAGATGGTCCAGTCTCCACCTCCCTACTGCTGACATTAAAGGCATGCACCACCATGTTGGTCCCTCAAAAAAAAAAAAAAAAATCCTGGCTGGTGATGATAACACACACCTCTAATCTTAGTACTCATGAGGCAGAGGCAGTTTGAGTTTGAGGCTACTACTCACTATAGAGTGAGTTTCCAGGACAGCCAGGAATACACAGAGAAACCCTGTCTCAAAAACAAAAACAAAAAATTCTGTTACCTTCTACAACAGAACCCCTTTCACTCTGAGCATCTTGTCCCTGATGTGAATTTGTTTTAAAACATTAGAAAAATGTGTGTGTGTATGTGTGTGTGTGTGTGTGTGCATGTGTTTGTATGACAGTCTCTGTGTGTGCGTCTGGTCTGTGTTTGTCTGTGTATGTATATGCCATAGGTGTGCAGGTACCCAGAGAGGGCAAGAATGCATATCAGATTCTTGGAATTTGAGATACAGGCAGTTGTGACATACCTGATGCGGGTGTTGGGGTTTGAACTCGTGCCCTCTGTTTTTAACTGAAAAGCCACTTCTCCAGATCTGTTTACTTTTTGTTTTTAACAGAAGGCTCTTACTGTGTAGTCTTTGATAGCTTTGAACTTGCAATCTTTGGCTTGGCCTTTCTAGTGTTGGAATTACAGGTGTCTGTCATTATCCTCTGCTCCCTGTTTTTATGTCTTTTCTTTTATGGTTGCCCTTTCTTACCCTCATTTCTATCCACCTAGTTTTCTTATAACCAGTGTCCAATTTATATGCCCCATATCCTTCTTTTACCCCGAACCTACCGTTTTCATTCTCTCTTGAATCAAAAGTAATCTTTCCCCTGAATTTCTATAGTTGCTTATAATTTTTGCATTTATCACCCTAAATGTTCCAATTTGCATCATAGTTATTGTGTGTTAAACTGTAACCTAATTGAAAACAGGAACCACATCTCTTAGTCATTTTAATGGTGTTAATACTGTTCATTGTATGTAATAGATGGTTAGTAGCTATTGTATGAGTCAACTTGGTGATTTCCAGTGACTGAATGGTCACAAGTAATCAGGATGCTGACATTTTTATCAATTCTCTGACATGAATATTAGTATAAATTTATTGCATCAAATTGTACTAATAGTACTACCTTCACTTATCCTTCAAATTTCTCATCTGAAGTTATACATGTTTGCCTAGTTGCTATCATAATATGTAGCATTTTCCACTGAATAGCTATCATTCACTGGTTCCTTACTATTACCTAGGGCAAGTCCCAAGTATAACATGTATATGATTCTTTAATTCAACACCAGTGAAACGGTCTATTCTCCCTTATGGGAGAATATTCCTTTTTACAGATAAGGGTGTTAGGAATTTTCCTAACACGAGCTCTCTGCTGATGCAAAAATCCCAATCAAGCCAAATCACAACAAACCAAATTAAAAAATATCCTGGTTTAATGGGATTCCTGTGCTCTTGGGTGGCCCCCGAGGGGGAACCGGGAAGGGACCACAGGGATGGACACACACATATACCACCAGGAGTCTTTCCTGGGGAGAAGTTTAAATAGACTGGGGGAGTGGTCAAGATTTTGGCGGGCTGTCTTGACCCTCCTCTGGGGAGGGGTCAAGGTTTGAAGGGCACAGGGATGGGACCTCGAAAGATGGAGGCCAGAGACCGGGACTTACAAGGGGTGCTCAGACACAGGGGGCAAGTACTTCTTAGGGACGAGAGAGATGGCTCAGGTTAAGAGTACTTGTTTCTTTTGTAGAGGACCAGGGTTCAGTTCCTAACACCACATATTGCTAGTAACCATTTGTAATTCTAGCTTCAGAGAACCTGACCCCCGTCTAGGTGCACAGTCAGACATGTAGGTAAAACAACCATGCATGTAAAATAAAAATCAATAATAATAATAATAATAAGTCCCCATGCTCTAGCCTAAAACCTACTGAATCATATTTTTAAAGTTAAGGCCTAGGGTACTGCATTTTTCAGCCAAAGTGTACATGATAATTCTTATTTGTATGTGGGATTTGATAGCAAGTGTGTAACTTTTTTTTTTTAAAATGAAAAGTTGCCTTCTTAAAATTTTGTTTCCTCTAATAATAATTTATAATAACAATTTAAATTTTAACTATTTTTTTATATTGGAGACTGACACAGTTTTACTAGTAACTTAGCTTGCAAGCATTTTCACTCTTGTATATGACAGTATAAAATTTTTGGGGACTAAAGAGATGGTTCAGTGGTTAAGAGCACTGGCTGCCCTTCCAGAAGTACTGAGTTCAATTCCCAGCAACCACATGGTGGCTCACAGCCACCTATAATAGGATATGATGTCCTCTTCTGGCTTGCAGGTATACATACAGAGCACTCAAACATGGAAATATAAAGAAGTGAAAATTAAAAAAAAAACTTTGGACATTCTTTAGTAAAATAGATGGAATACCTACTGACTTCTTTCTTTCCCCACTAGTAAAGCAAACCTTGATTCTCAAATATCTAATATCCATTATATGTTAGGAGTTGAGGTTTTTACTGAAGACTGAAGTTGTCTTGGTGGAGAACCTATACACAGTTATTGAGTAATTGAATGTGAAGCTCTATAAACAGACTAATAGGCACTCAGAATGGGAAGAAGCTGGTTTTAGGAGTAAAAGTTTTAGCAAAAGGATGGTATCTGAGCTGGACTTTGAAGGATGAAATTTCATAAGGTGGGTCAAAATTGTCAGTCATTAGAAGTAGCAAAAAAAAAAAAACAGTTCTACAGAGTATGGTAGAATTGGTGGACTCGGGCAGTGATCAATAGTCCCTTGAAGCTATAGCATGGAGGCAGAGATTGAGGGACACTAGTAAACAAAATGATATGAGCAATTTCAAATTGTGGCTCAGTGGTAGAAGATTTGTCTAATATGTGCAAAGTAATGGGTTTGATTCCCAGCATAGTGTGTAGGCAATTTCAATTTGATTTCTAGCAAGTTTTATTCATACTCTTTTTTTTTAATTAGAAAAAACCCATACATTTTGCATAAAAGGACAAATGCCTAGAATAGCCAATAAAATTTTTTAAATGAATGATGGGGAGATTTTCTTTGCAATTTAAAAATACCCTGTAAAGCTACTGAAATTAAATCATGTCTTTAGCATGATACATGACAAAAAAGTTCAATTTAATGAAATAAGAATGTATTTTTTATTGAAAATTCATACACTATATTCTGATCATGTTTTCCCCTTCAACATCTCCTTCCAGATCCTCCTTGTCTTCCAACCCATCCAACTCTGCACCTTTTTTTTTCTCTCTGTCTTTAGAAAACAATCAGGCATATAAAAAAGGGAAACAAGCCAGGCAGGCAGCACGTGCCTTTAATCATCTAACTGGGGAGGCAGAGGCAGGTGGATCTGTGTGAGTTCAAGGGCAGCCTTGTCTACGGGGTTCTGGGGACAGTCAGAGCTACACAGAGAGACCCTGTCTTGAACAACAAAACAAACAAACAAAGTGGCGGTGGGGACAAACTAGAATTAAAAAAAAAAGCCTCAAAACGAAATGAGAAAATAAGAAACACAGACACACAAATGAAACCCATAAAAACAGAAAATCCAAAATTGTATTATACAAGCAAAAGACCAGTAAGATTTAAAAAAAAAAAACCAGACAAAGCAATATGAGACAAAAAAACAGTCAACACAAACATCATTGGCCTTGTTTTTGTATTGGACATGGGTAGTTTGTATACCCAGTGAGACTGCATTGGAGAGAACTGATCCTTCCTTTACTAGCTGTCTGCTGGAGAGAGAGACCCACAACTGCACAATGTGTAGAGAGTCAGTCTTTGGACTACTCAGTTCAAAATGGGATATCTTCATCAGACCCCTCCCCTCAAGGATCAAGGAGCTCTGCAGAAGAGGAGGTGGGAAGATTGTAAGAGGCAGAAGGGATGGGTGACACCAAGGATGTATTTTGAGTAGATGATATCACACCCAACTGCATATCTGAAAGACAATCTTTCTTGCATTATTCCTAGAGGTGAATTCCAGTGTTTTAGGATTGTTGAAGGGAGAAGTCCTTGGTTATGGGGGCTTCTGGATCTCATCTTTGCATTTCTTTGCATAATGGCCTCTTCCTTAGGTTTGCTTCAGGGCTTTTGAGGGCTTTTTGTGTTTTTCTTTCTAATACTAATGTTTTGAATCTAGGGCATTAGCATTTGAGGCAAGTATTCTGTCACTGTTGTATATTATCAGTCTCTCTCTCCTTTTACTTAATGTTTTTTGAGACAGGTCTTACTAAACTGCCTAGGCTGACCTTGAATTCACTCAGAAGCAGAGGAGCAACACCTGTTGTCTAGGTGCTCGTACAACTACCTCTCGGGGGTCCATCTTGTCACCTGATCTCACAATAGCTCAAAACATTTAGATAATGCTTTACAATTTATTTGTATTTATATTTACTTATTTGTGCTTGTGTGTATCTATCTGTGTGTGGGTATGTACACGGGAATGCAGGTGCTTGTAGAGACCAGAAGAGGGCATTGGATTCCCTTGAACTGAAGCTATGGGAAGGGAACCGCGGATGCAGGTGCTGCAAATTGAACTCGGGTTCTCTGGAAGAGTGGAAAGTGCTCCTAACCACTGAGCCATCTCTTCAGCCTCTCTAGATACATTTCTTATTTTTCCAAAACAGTTTGTTTTTTAGAATTAATGTGATGGGGCCCATTTTATTATGTGCCTTGTTTTTTTTTTTTTTTTTTACTTTTTTATTTTAGCAATAAGCATAATTTGACATGCATGTCCATTTTGTCTTTTCAGGTGCCATTTGGATAGTACTTTAGCGGCACAATGTACTCTGAGTGGCGGTCACTGCATTTGGTGATTCAGAATGATCAAGGCCATACCAGTGTGCTACACAGCTATCCAGAGAGTGTTGGGCGAGAGGTGGCAAATGCAGTGGTCCGTCCTCTTGGGCAGGCATTAGGTACCTCTTCAGTGGCTGGTAGTGAGAGTTTGTTAAAAACTGACAAAGAAGTAAGTGTTTCTTCATTTCATTCTATTGTGTGAAAATATGAATTGTTCGTTAAAAATTTTATTTAGTGTTGACCTTTTAAAAATAGCTAACAATGGTTTTATTATTGTTAATTTTGTATATGTATGTAAGTCTGTGTGTGAGCATGTGCACATGAGTACGGTGCCTGTGGAAGTTAGTGTTGTTGGATCCTTTTGCAGCTGGAGTTAGGGGCAGTTGTGATCACAGGGCCTGGATGATGGGAATCAAACTTGGGCCTTCTGCAGGAGCAGTGTGCACTATTACAATGCTGACTTTTTAGTGGATTGCTGCCTGATATAGTGAGTTCTAGTTTTTAATCTTATTTGGGTTGCACGCTGGGACTTGGGGCCTATGGGAGAGATATAAAGAAGGGGTTTTACCTTTTTGCTATTGATGCTTCACACTGGCCACACCTAGTTCTCCATCTGAGCTAAGTGGTCAAGACAGAGTCATGTGTCAGATTCTTAAGCCCTATGCTCAGTCTTCAGATTTCTGTTGTCTGGAAGTCCCTGTCCTAGTTAGGGATATCTTGTTGTGATGAAACACATGACCAAAAGCAACTTGAAGAAGAGTTTATTTGGCCTGCATATCCAGAACCACAGTCCATTGAGGAAAACCAAGGCTGGAACTCAGACAGGGCAGAAACCTGGAGGAATGCTGCTTACTGACTTGCTCATCGTGGCTTACTCAGCCTACTTTTTTTTTTAAAAAAATATTTATTTATTTATTATTTTACAACATTCTGTCTGCGTGTATGCCTGCAGGCCAGAAGAGGGCACCAGACTTCATTACAGATGGTTGTGAGCCACCATGTGGTTGCTGGGAATTGAACTCAGGACCTTTGGAAGAGCAGGCAATGTTCTTAACCATCTCTCCAGCCCACAGCCTACTTTTTTACAGAACCTGGGACCACCAGCCTAGGGGTGGCACCACCCCCAGAGGTGGGCCCTCTCCCATCAATCACAAATTAAGAAAATGTTCCACAGGCTTGCTTACAGCCCAGTCTTACGGAAACATCTCTCAACCAAGGTTCTCTCCTTGAATATGACATACTCTAGCTTGTGTCAGGTTGATATAAAACTAGCCAGCATAGTTCCCCTCTCTGTTTATAACTAGACACTGACTGAAAGCCTAACTTCCATCAGGTTTTCTGGCTACACATATGTTCTGAGCCTGAGCTCTTCTGTGTCCCTCACTCTGACTCTTTTAGCCTGACTTCAGGGTTCAAGTGCTGCAGAAGACCAGGTGGTTGGAACTGGGTTTGGAATTGCTATTCCTAAACTTGCTGTCCAAAGGGATCTTGGGATAACTTGTCAGGGAGATAGTTTTCTGTTCATGGGGTCAGGGCACTAAGATGACATTAAACCTCAGTGGGAAGTTCAAAAGGAACCCCGAGAATGGTGTGATTCTCTGAAAGTTTAGAACTCTGTCTTAAGAAGGATTTTGCAGAGCTTATACATGCTTTTTAGGTCTATTCTCATGAACCTCCCCGCCCTTTTTTGTGACAAGGTTTCACTGTATGTTCTTGGCTAGCCTAGAATTCACTTTGTAGACCAGACTGTGGACTTGACTTGCAGAGATCCACTTGCCTCTGCCTCCCATGCAGCATCAACCACCTAAATAAGAATTTTGACAAGATAGGCTGGTGGTATATCTCAGGAGTAGAGTGCTTCCCTGCTGTGCTTTGGACCCTGGATTTAGTCCCTAGCACCACAAAACAGCAGCAGTGTCATAAACCACCTTTTGGGGTGACTTTTGTCGTGGTCCAGCCACGACGGGATTGTACATTCCAGAGTAGGGGCATGAGGATTAGAAATATTAGGTAGGAGGAACAGAGACGTGGGATAGTACTGAATAGGATAGTTCTGAGTTCTGAGTTTAATTTTCATATGCTTTTATACCCCAATACAAAAGCGGGGGGAGGCAAAAGGCTGCTTTAACATGACACAAAGGACAACCAGAACAGTTATTTGCTTCAATACTTGAGACATCAAGCCATTATTTCCTGAGTAAAGCATTTGATGTTTGGGTAGGATATATTCTAGACCAAGTACCCTGTAGGTGGCTACTCCCTCTGTCAAACCTCCTATTTTAAATGAAGGAGCTCAGGAGTGTGCTTGAATTCTCTGACCTTTGGTCAGGGTGGAGCAGATCCATTTCTATGAGCCATCTTAATGTCCAAAACACAAGTAACCACACCTTAGGTCAGGATATCTTGTTTTGTAGCCACACCTGTTGTCAACAACTTTGAAAGAGTGAAAGTAAGCTCAAACTCCTTGACCGTCAGATGAACTGACGGCTCACACTTTTGGTTCCCCACACAGCAACCACAACTGGAACTTGGTGTGGTCTTTGGTAAGCTGGTGGCCTCATTTCCCCCCAAAATTTCAGAGTCATTATCCTGTTACTGACTTGTGTAGTATTTTGATTGCTTAAAAATCTGGCCATTCTATAACCCATAGAATACCCCTATTCCAGAAACACTCACTAGTGGATTGGTGAAACACTTCAAAAATGTTGGTTGGAAAATTAAGTTCATGTTTCTTATTGAAGATAAGGTTCGTCTTCAGCTTCACTATTTGTAAACCAGTGGTGTGTTCAATTATTTAAACATGCTAAATTTTATTTTTTTTTTTGATGTATGAAATGAGGCCCGTTTACCCTGTTACGCCAAGGTTATTGTGGTGATGACATTTCTGAAGATACTGTTTTTAACTACAAAGACTGTGTAGTTGTTGCTGTCTTCAAAGTAAGACTGTTGAAGTTTATCTGAGTTGATGTGATTTTTGAGTAGGCTGGTTCTCAGTGATCATGCATCCTTTTCGTTGTTTACTGATCATCTGCTTAGTATTTGTCCCAAATTTTTGTCTGGAATTCACTTAAACTTTTTAGGCTTTGGTATCTAAGAATATAGTTTCATTTTCTTTTCCAAAATTTTTTTCTTTCTCTTAGCATCTTATTATTCATAGCACAAACAAGTATGTGTTTCAGGTGGTCAGTTTAAGTATGTACAGCTAGATGCCTAGTTAAGACCTTACCCATTCAATCCCTCTTTACCTGTGTGTGTGCTTACCTGTCCATTTTAGTGTTTTTTTGGCAGAGAAAATAAGTTGTATAATAAATTGAATGATTGATCTTTCTTTCTATTATTTGTTGCATAATCTGAGGATGAAATGTAATTTATATATTTGATTTCTTAAATGACACATATTTACATATGCAAATCGAGCAAATCCTACATTTTCTATTTTTTTATTTCTAGTATCTGTAGAAAATTGAAAAGATCATTTCACAGAGTGAATGGTAATGATATCAAAAGGGTAAAAGCATGTATAGGCTTAATATTTAAAAATAATGAATTTACTTTCTCCTGAAACTTGCTTGAAAAGTATGACATGAATATGTCTAATACATAGAAAGTATGTGTCTAGAATAAATTTGATGTATATGTTGAGATGACTGTATTTTCAACTTAAAGCATCTGGGTTCTAGGAAATGTTATATTTTAAATTAATCTAGTGAAATACAAATAAAGGTCTATAATCTTTGTGAATGTTTTCTTTTGCTTAGGTAAAATGGACTATGGAAGTAATTTGCTATGGACTGACCCTTCCATTGGATGGAGAGACTGTAAAATATTGTGTTGATGTATATACAGATTGGATTATGGCTTTGGTATTGCCGAAAGATTCTATTCCATTACCAGTTAGTAAAGAGCCTAATCTATATGTTCCAAGTATATTAAAGCACCTACAAAATCTTTTTGTACCAAGGTAAGTTATACCTATATGGTCATTACCAAGATCATAATAAAGTATTTGTAAATGTTACTTTATTAAATATAGATGCTGATTTTATTGTTCATCCTTTGAACTTTACTCATTCACTTATGGATTTGATTAATATGACTAAAGTAGATAGGCTTACAGGGTTACATAATGTTTCACAGGAGGTTTTTGCTCTTTTTTTTTTTTTTTTGAGATGACGTCTCATTGTGTAGCCCAGACTGGTCTTGAACTTTATATGTAGTCCATATTGAGCCAAATTTATAATCCTCCTGTCTTAGTCTTTTGAGTTCTGAGATTACAGGTATGTTCTACCACTCTTGGATTTACCACAATTTTTAATAGATGTATTTTTATTTTAAATACTTTTTGGCCTTGTTAGTGAACTCTAGATGAATATGGTGATGGTGACATATTTCTGTCCCTTGTTAAACTTTTCTTTTTTGGGTTGTGGGGGAACTTGCGTGATGACTCAGTGGTTAAGGTTAAAGGTGCAGGCCACTAAGCCCAGTGGTCGGAGTTTCATCTCTGGGATCCATATGGTGGAAGGAGAGAAGGACATTTGTGGATGTCTTCTGACCTCCATGTGTACTTCATGGTATATATGCACACACATGCACATCAATTAAATATTTAAAAAATACACCCAACTTGTATATATTTTTGTTATAATTCTTGTCTCCACATATAGCTGAAGCAACTGTTCTTCCCTTAAATAACCTATGGTGTATGAAAGCATAGAATTAAGCAAGCAGGCCAGGCATGGTGGCTCATGCCTATAATCCCAGCACATTAGAGGTGGAGTCAAGATCAGGAGTTGAAGACAGCCTTGTCTACAGAAGTAGTTGAACGCCAACCTGAACTACATCAATGGATCCTATCTCAAAGAAACCAAAAAAGACTGATGAGATAGGTCAGTGGGTAAAGATGCTTGTCACCAAGCCTGAGTTCAATTCTTGGAGTCTACTTGGAAGAAGGAGAAAACTGACTGCTACCAGTTGTCCCCCAACTTTCACATGAGTGACATGCATGTAAATATCCACCCCACCCCCATATATACAAGTGTAAAATTTTGAAATTAAAAGTTTGAAATAAAGTTTAAAATCTCCTTTAAAGAAGCGAGCTAAGTAAAAAGAAAAAAGAAATAAAGAAGTTGGATTTTTTTTTTTGAGATTAAGTTTCATTGTATATCCTTGGCCTGAAACTCACTAAGTAGGTCAGACTGACATTGAACTCATAGAGACTACAGGCCTACATCTCCCAAGTGCTGGGATTAAACCTGTGTGCCCTAACATCTGGTTAGCAAACTGGAAGTTACAGATATTTATGATAAACCAAAAGATTACCCTTGAAAGTTTGTTATTAATTTCTTCTTCATCTTCTGAGGCAAAGGTATTAAATGCCAAAATGCAAGTTATTTATCTTACTTGATATTTTTTTTTCCTAATTGTTAAGAACGTTACATTCCAGCCCAGTGTGGTGACTCCTGCATTTAATCCCAAAATTCATAAGTCAGAATCAAGTGGATCTCTGTGAGCTGGAGGCAAGCCTGTTCTGTAGAGTGAGTTCCAGGATTGCCAGGGCTACATAGAGAGACCTGTCTTAAAAAACAAAACCAAACAAACAACAAAAGAATGTTACATTCTGAGGCTAAAGCTACAGCTCAGTCAGACTATTTACCTGCATACCCAAGAGCTGTGGGTTCCATCCTTAGTATCACTGAGAAATGTGTATAACCTATGGCAGATCTTTGAGAAATACAGAAACATGTGTGTAAATAATAATAATAATAATAAATAAATAAAAGCAGTAGTTTCCCACCAGTTCATGAGAGTGTTTTTGGCTGTTTTGCGCTTGTCAAAGAGACTGTGGGACTCATCTCCTTTTGGAAAAGTTTTTGCTAGAGCTTTCAATCTGTCTGGTGAAGGACTTTGAATTACTCAAAAACCAGCTCTTTAAATTTAAATTTTTTAGCTTTGTAAATTTAGAAAGAAGTTTTTGTTTTAGAAAATCCAAATTGAAAAAGAGAAGTCTGTTAGAACTCTGTTCTGTGGGCCAGATATAAACTCCCCCATACAAAGTGCCATCTAGGGCCTTCTGGTCCTAACTAGACTAGCCACAGCTAATTTTGTATGAGTCCTACTCTGTAGTCAGACTTGTAAACATTTCCCTAAGTGCCCTCAAAGCTCTTTCCTGTCTTCACCAGTCCTTCTGTCATTTTCTTTCTCCCTTGTCTATTGCTTGCCTAACTCACTCTTCCTGGTTTCCAGTCAATTCTGTCTTAGAATCCTTATATAATCACACAACCCCTCTGTGGTCACACCTTGGAATTCGCTTGGTATTTCCCATCCTACTCTCTTATCGCTCATTGTTTTGTTCCATATCGTTTAACTTGTTTTGTTTTCCATCTAACCAACTTGAAGACAGGAACTCAACTGGCCTTCTGTATTTGGGGGGCATCTACACTAAGTATAATACAGTACTGGGTTTAGATATGGATTAAATATTTGTTGCTTATATTCATTGACCTTAAATGGAAACAACAGGAAATATTTATTTGCAGCTAAACAGGCTTCTCTAAAATGATATAGATCTTTTTTTTTTGCCTTCCCATCAGAAGATTGATTTACAGTATTTTTCAGTGTGTATGAAATGATCCTGTTTGAAAGGTTGTCCCTATGTCTCTCTCATCTCTTTTGCTTTACCATCTTTTAATTCTCAGTTTGTATTGCTGAAAAACAATAATGGCATTTGGATAAACTGTGCTTTTGTTTTTACTTTTCTCTCTTGAAAAGTATGACTATATATTTTTTTTTACTATTTGTTCCTCAGGAGTGTGTATGCATACAGGTCAGTGAATTCTGAAAGACACTGATTTAAGTAGTAGAGTTCTCTTGGCTAGTGATAGTATATGAAGATTAGGTGAATATTTCCAATGCTGTATATTGGAACTTCTGATATAGTCTTTAACTACTAGAAGTTTCAGTTTAAAAAATTTAGGTAATTCATCAAATTGTTATCAGAGCTTACTTAGTTCTTTTTATATAAACTGACTCTCAAAATGGAGGAAACTGCCTTAACCTTTTGCTAGAGATTAAGTTAATGTGACTTTCTCTTTTGTCCATTTGTCTGGTATTTTTTTCATAATTGAGTGAAGAATGTACTATCTCTTCAAATTGATTGGAGTTTTAATTGCTTAGATATACTGCACTATAAGAAATATAGTCCCCCCCCATCCATGTGTACATGTCTCTTAAAGCAGTGATCCATAATTTTGTTTTTGTAAAAAGCTAGCTAGTAAAAGTTTCCTATATTACAGGCCATATGGTGGTGTAACTTCTCAAGTCTGTGATAGAGCAGAAAAGTGTCCATAGACTATTAAATTAAGAAACAAGATCTTTACTTACAAAGGTGCTTGGGAGATGGCTCAGCAGTTAAGTACGCTGACTGCTCTTCTAGAGGACCTAGATTTGATCCTAGTGGTGATTCACAACCATCTGTAACTCTCATCCACACTATCTAATGCATTGCCTGTGGGCAATGATGTAAATACCTGGTACACAAACAGGCAGAATGCCTGCATAAAAATAAGTAAATAAAAAATAGTGTTACAAGGGCAGGTGTAGTCAAGTTCTGTATGATGATTTGTGGACTAGTTTCACCTTTAGATGAATGTGGAATGGAATGGACACCTGCCTCTCCATATGTTTGATGCATGCGTAAGTGTGGGTCCACCCACTTCCAGAGGTCAGAGGAGGAAATTGGGTGTCTTCCTTTATTACTCTGCCTTATTCCCTTGAGACAGGGCCTTTTGTGAACCAGAAGCTTGCTATGTCAGTTAAGTTGCCTGGCTAGTGAGCTTCCAGAGTCCATTGTCTTCACCCTACAGTATTGGGGTTACAAGTATACACAGCCATGCCCAGCTTTCTTTGTGGGTGCTAGGGATTCAAACTTAGGTCCATAGGGTTCGAACTTAGGTCCTTTTATGATTGTACATAATCATAAAATAATAGGCATGAATGATCATGTCTATTGAGCAATCTCTCTGGTCCAGCTTTGACTTCTTTAGGGAACATTTAGTTATTTAGCTGTGTCATTTGTCTGCAACTCTAAGGTAGGATCCAGTTTTCTGGGTCATGGCTAAGGCTTAAGGAGTGGGAGTTTTAGGAGTTTTAGGAGTTTTAGGAGTTTTAGGAGATTTGCTGACATTCTTTTAGGACACTCCAGCTTTTTGCGTCAAGTCACAATTTATAGAAACTTGACTTTAGAGTTTATATCAGTATTGTGTTGAGTTTATCATGAGAACGCTGGATACCAGCTCATCAATAATTAAAGCTATTCTTGAAATTCTCAGGTGAGACATCTTAGAAATTGAGGCAAAGGCTACTAGGCCCTGGATCCTCTAGCTTCTCTTCTGCCTATTTTATGGAACAGCTGTTTCCTCCCACCCCTTCTCTGTCTTTCAAGACATGGTCTTAACTATGTAGCTCTGGCTGTCCTGAAATTCACTCTGTAGACCAGGCTGGCCTTCAACTCATAGAGATCTACTTGCCTCTGCCTCCCTAGTGCTGATATTAAAGACACGTGCCCCCACTTCACCCAGCAAGTCTTTTCTTGAACAAAAATGTCCTACGAACTAAAGAGAATTTTGCACCTGTTGTTTGAGGAACCCTTGGATCCCTTTGGAATGCCTGTGTTTTTATTAGAGCAATAGTAGCAAGTGCTCTTCTCTGAGGAAATGCTGACATGTCTTGCCAATTTTGGACGTGCCCTTGAGCCTTATAACAGATATCAGCTTTAGAGTGATTGTGAAAACTGTAAACACTTGAAGAATTCTTGTGAATGTAGTTTTCAGAAAATTGAAAAAGAATATAAGGACTTTTCTGCTCTGTGTACTCATCTAGCAGAAATTAGTTGAATATCTGCTATTATGTGCCAGACACATTTCAGAAAGAAAATCCAGAGGTGAAGTGTACATTCTAGTTTTCTCTTTTCTCACAGAAGCTAATTTCTCACATGACCTCTCCTGAGGCGGAGCTCTCAGGGTGCTGAAGTGAGCAGTGGGGAAAACTAGCTGTAACTGAGGAGAGTTGTGCTCAGCCCTGTCCACTGATATTTAGGCAATGTCATTGGACCACTGTTCTGCGTCAGTAAGTTTCCTGTTCTTTGGCTGTTGCTGTCTCTCTTCCAGGCCTGTCAGTGATATCTGTCTGTCTTCTTCAGACAGGAACAGGGCTCCAGTCAGATCCGACTATGCTTACAGGTTCTGAGAGCCATTCAGAAACTGGCCCGTGAGTCATCCACCATGGCTCGAGAAACCTGGGAAGTCTTACTGTTGTTTCTTCTGCAAATTAATGACATACTTCTGGCCCCACCAACTGTTCAAGGTTTGTTAATGAACTTTTTCCCCTTATATTTTTTAATGCCAAATAATAGTTCTCTTTTAAACTTAGTGAGTGATAGACTCAGTGGAATTTTTAAATTTTGGTAAAACTATTGACAAACTAAGCTACCAGTTTATACTGGAAAGACACAATGTGGGCTGGCTGTGGTGACACATGCCTTTAATCCCAGAGCTCAGGAGGCAGAGGTAGGTGGATCTATGAGTTCAAGACCGTCGTGATCTACATAATGAGTTTCAGGCCAGCCAGGGTGACATAGTGAGACCCTGCCTTAAAAAAAGAAAAAGTCAGGCAGTGGTGACATGTACCTTTAATTGCAGCACTCAGGAGGCAGAGGCAGGTGTATCTCTGGGCCCAAGGCCAGTCTGGTCTACAGAGTGAGTTCCAGGACATTCAGGGCTACGGAGCAAGTTCCAGGACAGCCTGTCTTGAAAAACAAAACAAAAAAGTTAGTATGTGTCTAAGTTATTTTACCGTCAGTGTTTTATTTTACTAATGTAGAGAAGGTCTTGTAATTAAACATGTTGGAGAAGGATAGAAATAATGGCTTGTTCTGTGCAGTATAGAATCTTTATAGGAAACAGAAAATGCTAAATTAGGATCTATAGATAATGTACTAGATGAAAAAGTTGTTATCAAAGTAAAGTATAAAAGCTTAATGGTGATGCTAATGAAATATCTTGGTTTTTTGCCCTGAGGTACTTAAGGAAATGGCCCAAGGCCTTGCCCATGCCAAACACTTAACCCCTGTGACTGAGCTCTACCTTCAGCCCACAAAACATCTTGTTTGGCAAATAAAACCACATTCAAAATCTTAAGGTGTTTGCTTTGGAAGTGTGACCTTTATTAGCTAGCCATTAAAAACTTCTAGTTTTATATACTTTTGCAGCATTTCAGAAGTCCTCCTTTGTATATTAAAACAGAGTATGCTTAAACTAGAAGTCGTTATTTGAGTTCCAGGTTCTGTTGTTCTAATTCTCTTGATATTCTCTCTACTAACATAAGTTAGCATACTTGTGTTGTCAGATAGATGCAGTGATTAAGGAAATGTTTAAAAGGAATCATGGAATTATAATGTGGGAAAGGACCCAAGATAGGAATACTGTCTTGTTTTGACAGTAGCTTCCCAGTCACAGCACTGTTTCATTGGCTCTCTGCTATTGGTTCCCCATGCCAGTGACTGATCTCAGAAGTGTGAGTCAGGCAACTTTCTTCCTCCTTGGGCTCTTTATTTTTGGAACTTTGATTTTGCTTGTTTGATATGCACCTTCTAATTTACTTTTTCTTCTAGTCCTAACTTTACCTTCTTGAGCTGTGCAGAGTAAAGTCCACCTCCCCTTCTGGTTTCAGACTTTGAAGAAGGACAGCTCTGGGTTCTGTTTAAGGTTTGCCCTTGTCCGGTGCCATAGCTTAGCTTTCCTTTTGTCTCTCTCCAGTCAGGGGCAACTTTAAGCACCTGGAACATTTTGTTGCAAACTTTGGAGTCAGGAAGACCTTGGTATTTGTTCTAATTTCTTTTTAATTAGCTGATTGGAGTGAAAAGGTGGACGCAAAAGGATTGGAAGTTCAAGGTTATCCTGTGCTACATAGTTAAGTTCCAGGTTAACTTGAGTTACATTACAGGACTGTGTCTTTAAACAAAAAGCTAATTGGTATATACAAATACCTGTCCTGAAGAAATAAATGAGAAGATTACATGGTCATGTGTGAAGTGCTTGGCATGAAAGGTGACTTCTAGTGGTCACTCATTGTTGACATTCATCTTTTCTTTCTTTTGTTTTCCCCTAGCTGGAACCTTAAGATCTGCACTAAAAACTAGCAGGGCAATTTGAAAATTCTCAAAAAGTAGTTGTTGATATTCTCTGTGATTCCTTCATGGGAGCTTGCGTCTAAGCTTCTCCATTTAGTTATTCAGAAACTTGATATTAACATTACAGCTATTTAAGTTTTGATCAGTTTTCCCATATAATGAGTGAGTTGCATTAAAAATAAGTATACCAAAGATATGTTTCTTTTCATTGGCCAGGTGGCATTGCTGAGAATCTAGCAGAGAAGCTGATTGGTGTTCTCTTTGAAGTTTGGTTATTAGCTTGCACCCGGTGCTTCCCAACACCTCCTTATTGGAAGACAGCCAAGGAGATGGTGGCCAACTGGAGGCACCACCCTGCAGTGGTGGAGCAGTGGAGCAAGGTCATCTGTGCACTCACTTCCAGGTAGGTCATTTTCTTCCTCATCCTTCTGACCTTGGGGCAACTCTTCTCTGGTTCTGGATTCATGGAATGTATTTTGAAAAACCTGGGCACATCATTATTGTACTTTATAGACTGAGCCAATTTAAAAGAAAAAAATCAGGGAGATGGCTAATGGTAGAGGCACTTGTCATGCAAGCCTCACAACCTGAGTTTAATCCACACAACCCATGTAAAGGTGAAAGAGGAGAAGATTCTAGATCTGTCCTCTGATCCCTTCATCATGGTATGTCATGGTGATGGCTAATACTGTGTCTTCTTTTAATGAGTTTTGAAGCAAAAACCTATATGTGCTGATAATAGAAAAACTGGAAAATGTAGAGTGAAAGAAACATCCCATCACTTAAAAATGTTTTTAAATATATAGAAATGTTTTTTAAATTTACTTTCTCCATTTAATTTCCTTTTATTAAAAACAGAACAGGGCTGGAAAGATGGCTCAGTAGTTAAGAGCATTGGCTGCTCTTGCAAAGGGCTGGGTTGAATCCCCAACACCCACATGGCAGACTACAATTGTCTGTAACTCCAGTCCCAAGGGATCCAACACCCTCACACAGACATACACGTAGGGAAAACACCAACGCACATAAAATAAAAACAAATAAATCATTAAAAACAAAACAAAAACCCAATTTGAGATAGTGTTATTGTTACCTGTGTTTTTCATTTGATGCCTGATTCGAGTCATTTTAATTACTTGTATTTATTTGTAAATAATTTTTGAGGTTGTATTTTTAGTTAGCTTTATAGTTTACATAGTTTAATAATTTCTATTTTGATAAATATGCTGTTCTGATGTTTTTACTTTAGAAATTTTATTGAAGGAATACTTTATACAGTTTTATATGTATATTGATGTTTTATTAAGATAAAATCCTTAGATACAGAGTAATTGTCAAATGGCTTTGAAAAGTCCTAGTACATGTAGAATATTACTATTAAGTAAATGATTAAGTTGTTGAATTCATTTAATTTTTATGTTACATCATAAAAATGTGCTATAGTCTGAACATATAAATACAAAATTCTGAACTTCATGTAAAGTTGTAAATGAATTATACCTTAGTTGTATTGAAGGATTTAAAGTGCTATCAGTTTTTAAAAAATAATAGAAACTGGTTTGGTAGCATACACCTTTAATCCTAGCATTCAGAAGGAAGGAGCAGGCAAATCTCTTGAGTTTGAGTTCAGCCTGGTCTCCATATTGAGTTCCATACCAACCAGAGCTACATAGTAAGGCCCTGCCTCAAAACCAACACAAACCACAACTCTCCTAACAAAACAACCGGAAAGAAGTAATTTATACACTACTTCTGTGTTTAATGATGTAATTTTATAGGTACAAAAATACATAATTTATTATTTGCAAGTAATATAAATAATAAGTTAAATAGTGTGAGTATTTCAGACAAAAGTTTAAATCATCTTTTAAAAGCTGGAAATCAGGGCTGGTGAGATGGCTCAGCAGTTAAGGAGACTTACTGCTTTTTCAGAGGACCCACGTTTGATTCTCAGCACTCACATGGCAGCTCACAACTGCCTATTAATCCAGTTCTAGAGAAACTGACACCAATTATACCAATGCACATAAAATAAAGTTAAATAGATTAAAAGCTGGAAATCCCTTGCAGTTTATCATTTTTACAAATCAGGGTTTTCATATAGCTTTTCACTTAGGCTGAGGTATCTCTAATCTATTCTCTCATGTATTGGTTGAATATATGTCTAATCCTGTTAATAATGGACTTGGTAGCTGAACCTGATGGTACAGGACTATAACCTTTGTTAATCAGGAAGAAAGAGTAGCATCAGAAATTTATGGCCAACTTCTGCAATTTTGTGAGATCTTGTCTCAAAATAAAATATTAAAATGGGTTGGGATTATATTAAATTAAAATAGCTCAGTGGTAGAGTGCTTGACTGGAATGTTTGATATAGGTTCAATCCTCAATACTATCAAAAGGTATTGTTGTCAAATCTTTAGAGACTTCACCAAAACAAAATCCTGAAAGTGGTGTGTGGCTTTATTTTCCAGATTGCTTCGCTTTACATACGGTCCTTCATTTCCTCCGTTTAAAGTTCCCGATGAAGATGCCAATCTGATTCCTCCAGAAATGGACAATGAGTGTGTTGCACAAACATGGTTTCGATTTTTGCACATGTTAAGGTATTGTCATGTTGTTTCATGTGTTCTTTACCCAATAAGTGTCTTAGGGCAAGAGCCATACTGCTTCTTTTGGAATGTGTTATGTGAGTGCTAAGTACAGTCCATTTAATGGAGCTGAACTGAGCAGTATACATGTCTGCATTGTGATGCATGTCTGCATTGTGCATCTCCTGCTCTCCATTTCTGTGTGGTTGGGTTGCTATTACTGGAACCCTCTCTAGAAACTTGTTTTGTTGCATCTTAGATGATGATGTCTCTCCCAGGACTTTGTCAGACCTTTAGAGACTTCACCATGCCATGTTCCTCTCTGTCAGTACTGGTTCATCAGTCTTGAGCTCAGTGCCCTCTTCTCGCAGCCTCGTTTAAAATTTCACTGAAAAGTAGACCTTAAGTTTCACAGAAGAGTAAATCTCCCTCCTCTCCTGTGATTTCTTTTTTAAAAATGACATTTATTTATTGTGTGTGTATTAAGATGTGTGTGTGGATGCAGATACATGTGCCATGGCACATGTGTGAAGCCCCAAAGCCAACCTTGTAAAGTTGGTTCTCTTACTTTACGTGGATCCTGTGGATTTAGCTTAAGTCATCATGGTTTCATCATCCAGTGAAGGCAAGTGCTTTAGTCCACAATCATCTCATTGGCTCAATAAAATAAAAATTTTAGATATATCTAGGATCGCTTTTAATTTAAAAAATACTTTTATTTATGTTTAAGTGTGTGTATCTCTGTGTATGAGTGTATGCTGTGTATTTGGGTGCTCTCAAATGCCAAAAGAAAGCATCACATCCTCAGAAATGGAGTTACAGGAAGTTGTGAGTCACAATGTGGATGCTGGGAGCCAAACTCCAGTTTTCTGGAAGAGCAGTATACACTCTTGACCATTAAGCATCTCTCCAGCCTCTTTTTAAACATTTTGTTTATTTGGTGCTAAGAATTGAACTAGGGTGTGCACATACTAAGTATATAGTCTACCATTTAGACATACTTTCCTTCTTTATTATTTACTGTTTTGAGGCTGGGCCTTGCTATGTAGCTCAGGCTGGCCTTGAACTTACTTTTCTTACCTTAGCTTTCTGAATACTGGGGTTAAGCTACTGTGCTCAGTTACCTTGTGTTGTAGAATTTCAATCCCTTTAGCCAATGACTTTTGGAGATTATGAATCCTAGGGTGTAGTCTTTGGATCAGCGTCGTCGTCTAAACTGTTTTGTGTCAGTGAGTGTTTACCCTTATTTCATAACTAAATAAATTCTTCTTTTTTTCTAAATAAATTCTTGAGAACCCTTACAAGACTCTCGTGGCTTCTAGTTACAACTTTGCAGTCGTCTTAAGAATCTTACATAGCTAACAGAAGTATGTTATTCACAAACTTTGCATATTTCTTATCCCATTATTTGTAAATATTGCTAAGATAGTGGGAAGCTAGCCTTTTTTATGTTGCTATAGCCTTATATGAGGCAGGAGCATCACAAATTTGAAGCCAGTATAGGATATGAAGTGAGTTTCACACTAGTCTATAATTTAATAATAAGACCCTGATTCCAAGCTGGGCGGTGGTGACACATGCCTTTAATTCCAGCACCCAGGAGGCAGAGTCAGGTGGATCTCTGTGAGTTTGAGGCCAGCCTGGTCTACAGAGTGAGTTCCAGGACTGCCAGAGCTGTTACACAGAGAAACCCTGTCTTGAGAAAACAAAACAAAACAAAAAAGGTTAAAAAAAAAACCAAAAGACTCTGTTTCCAATAAAAAATTTCTTTTAATTAAAAATTGTTGCATGGTATTTTTTAATTTCTTCATTCCTAATTGGTCTGTTAGGCTTTATCATTGTTCTTGGGATAATACTGATGTTTTAGTTAGTGTTTGTTTCCTTATAAATAGTAGAAACCTGGATAGCAAAATCTCAATGGGAGGGAGGTTACTGTGAATCCATGGAGAGCCCTCATTAAACTCTCAGAAGCAGCTGGGGAAGGTCAAGCCTTTAATGTTATTCTTTAATCAAGAAGACTCACACTTCCTTTCTCAGTTTTCTTCTCTTGTATGTACATGCTATCTCTGGTAGAGTGTTTCCCCAGTTTCTCCTCCTGCCTTTCAGGAGTATGTGATTCAGTAGTATGAATGACTATGAACACTGTTGGCTCCAGTTCTAGCTCTTTTAGGTTACTGGGGTGTTCCTTTTGTTCAGACTTTCAAAAAGAGGTGCACTAGACCAAATTACTTTTGTTAATTAGGCTAAAGCAGGCATGGGTTTCTCACAAACCCTTGGATGAACTCCCTTTGGATAACTTTTATGTCTCTGTTTAAGTGTGCTGTGGGTGGCTATGAGGATTCCTCAGGAGGGGCCACTCTGTCCATTGGCAGATTTCCTGGGAAGAGTGCTGCATGTGATGTGGAATATAACCTGAGTCTTGTTTAGTATGGCAGCTTCACCTTTTTCCTGGGAAACAACATAGTTCCTATTGACTTCACTCATGTTATTCTCACTTGGTACATCCAAACATGCAGACAGATGTTTATATTAAAATTTTCTTCATGAAATTCTTGTTGACTTTAGTTTCCTGTTATTTAGTTCCAAATATAAGAAAAAATATTCTCTGTTTCTTTTCTTTTCTTTTTCTTCAGAGACAGGGTTTCTCTGTATAATGGCCCAAGCTGCCCTGGAATTCGCTCTGGAGACCAGACTGGCCTTGAACTCACAGATATCCACCTGCCTCCTGTGTGTTGGGATTAAAGGTGTGCACCACCACCATCCAGCAAAAAAAAAAAAAAAAAAAAAAAAAAAATTCTAAAAAGTTAAAACTTTCTTGCTTTACTTTGATTTTCATTCTATGAAGAAAATAGGTTCATGTTTTAAAATAAATAAAAGAACAAGCTGCTCATGATGGCTCACACCTTTAAACCCAGCACTTAGGAGTAAGGAGCAGGAAAGTAGAGGCTGGGCAGCAGACAGACCTGGATCTGTAAATTCAAGGACAGCATGGTCCGTGTAGCCAGCTCCAGCCACCCCGGGATACATAATGAGACCCTGTCTCAACAAACAAATAAACAAAAGCATTCTATTAAATTCTCAAAGAATTAATAAAAACATTGTTAAAAAACCAAATGAACAAATAAAACCTGCAAGTCTATGGAGAAGCATTCATGTTTTAGTTCCGAACTCATCAAATAAAGTCAGTTTCATCTTCACCACACACAGGCATAAATTGTCCTGTTCTTTTTTTCTTGTTGTTTTGTTTCTTGTTTTTGAGACAGCCACTCTCTCTATAGTCCTGGCTGTCCTGGAATTAACTCATTGTACAGATCAATGATTAATGCTGGCTCCAAACTCAGAGAGATCTGTGTGTCCCTGTCTTTCAAGTGATGGGATTATAGGTGTGTGCTAACATGTCTGGGTGATAGTCCTAATTGTTAAATTAGATTGCATGCATTTTTATTGCTATAGACATTTCTTAGTATGTAATGAATTCTTTCTTCTTTTCTATAGTAATCCCGTGGATCTGAGTAATCCAGCCATTATAAGCTCAACCCCCAAGTTTCAGGAGCAATTCCTGAGTGTGAGCGGAATGCCACAGGAACTGAGCCAGTACCCCTGCCTTAAACATCTGCCTCAGATATTCTTTCGTGCCATGCGTGGAATCAGCTGTCTGGTGGATGCATTTTTAGGTGAATTTTGTGTATATTTCTTAGATGTTTGAAGAGCTGTGTGTAAATGTCCACAGTTTAATGCTGGAAGCTCTCAGGAAAGCCTGAAGAAAGAGGAACAAACTTATTGGCAAATAATGATCTAGGAAAAATTGTTTGCAGCGAACTGTGATAGCTGGAATGCTATTGTCTTTATGTAAATCAAACAAAAATGCCATGGAAAGACAGTAGCTTAGTAGAAAGATGGAGAAAAGACCCAAATAAATGTGCAAAACAGATAACAGATTGCAAAACTCATTCCACGAGTCGCCTACAAAAATCATTTAAAATGCTTAATTGACTGTTTTCATTGGTACTCTGTATCTTTTGTGAACCAGTGTTTTAGTTTGTCATGTGTTTTTGTTTTCAAGACAGGGTTTCTCTGTAGCTTTGGAGCCTGTCCTGGATCTAGCTCTTGTAGACCAGGCTGGCCTCGAATTCACAGAGATCCGCCTGCCTCTGGGATTAAAGGCATGCGCCACCACTGCCTGGCCCTTTTTGTGTATTTTTAATCTGTTGAAAAAGAGTGATGTTTAATAGTTGTTATTTTCTAAAATGGTTGGTATGTATATATGTTAAATGTATCACACAGTTGAGAGGGTTTTTCCTCTGTCATGAAATCTTTGTTTTTGGTGGTAAGTGCATAAAAATATGCACGTATTTTGATAGTGAAAATGTAAAATGCAGTGAGAGGCACTAGACTGAGTGTTCAGAATGGCTGGATGGTTATTGAGATGTGCAGACTTTGGTTGCAGGTTAATTCTGTTTAATTTGCTTGTTTGGTTGGTCTTTTGAGACAGGGTTTCTCTAGTAGCCCTGTCTGTCCTGGAATTCCCTCTGTAGACTAGGCTAACCTTGAACTCACAGAGATCTGCCTGCCTCTGCCTCCCTAAAGCTGGGTTTAAAAATGTGTGCCATCACCACCCCAAGGTGTGTGTTGTTTTTATTTGCCAGTTTTTAAGTAACAAAATTTATTAAAATTTTTTAAAATAGGAAAAACATAGTTAATAGGCTTGTTGTGATTAGATTGCTGGCACATAAGAGCCTACGCTCTCTGTGTTTGACACCTAAGGTTGTTTTCACAAGTGTGAAGCAGGCCAGGCAGTGTGGTTGCTCTAGTAGTTTCTTTTCTGTCAGGAATCAAGGTCCTTCTGTGGAGAGGGTGTCCATTTTGTTGTGTACATCCTCATGGACCTTCAAGTATGAGGAGCCCAGCAGCCCAGGAGTCAGGAAGGAGAGGAAAGCATGCTTGTCTTTTGTAAGATTTCCTGGGAGATGTATCCAATAGTCACTTATTTCTATATGGCCACTGCTTATGGTAAGGGAAGCTTTAAACTGTAGCCATTTCTTCTGGCTTCCTTGTTCAACTGAAATAGGGTTCTCTTATTCAGAAGAAAAGGTATGTGGGTCTTGAGAGGTAGATCCATTTTTCTTAAAAGCAAAGGCAAAACCTTTCTTTTATTATTATTATTTTTTTTTAAAGGCATTTCTCGACCGAGATCAGACAGCGCTCCCCCAACACCCGTGAATAGATTAAGTATGCCTCAGAGCACTGCTGTGAATACCACATCACCACATAACCGAAGGCACCGGGCTGTGACTGTGAATAAGGCCACCATGAAGACAACCGCGGTAAGAATGTTCAACATCATTGTTTGCTTTATGAAGGTTAACTTTTACAAGTCCTGCCACTTTCTCCAATTTTTCATGACTGTGGACACTTACTTGTATTTTTTTGGTAGGTTACTACTGTTCACACCTCGAAAGTACAGCACCAGGCATCCTCCACTTCTCCTCTGTCAAGTCCAAATCAGACAAGTTCAGAACCCAGGCCACTGCCTGCCCCTCGGAGACCAAAGGTTAACAGCATCTTAAATCTCTTTGGATCGTGGTTATTCGATGCAGCATTTGTTCACTGCAAACTCCATAATGGAATAAACAGAGACAGCAGCATGACTGGTAAATATGCCCAGAAACATATAGTCATTATTTCCTTTCTGTTTCTTTCTCTTTAGTCTTTCCTACCTGCAAGATTAATATGGCTCTTGAAAAGCATCATGTTTCTCACCAAGCAATATATTGTGCTTAACCCCTTCCAGCTGAACTAATAGAAACTTGGGAAGCTTTCCTATCTGTCTTTTTTTGTATACTTTATGAAGTTTGGCCCTTTGTCTGGTTTTATTAGGGACACTTCAGGTTAGCCACTTTTTGTTGAATCAAATTCCTTTTTGTAGGTGACCTGGAAATTCTCTTCATGTCAGCCAGGATAATAATAGATATTTAAACAAAGATTTTACTCCTTGAAATGTATTCTTAGATTTTTCACAGCCATTTAATCATCATTACATGTTAATATCAGGAATTTTCTGTTTTCTTCGTGGTAGTCTCTAAACTCTCAGGTTTTAGCCCAGAGAAAACATAATCTGCTCTGTTAACTTTGTAAGATTTATAGAGAATTAATAAATCAACTCCAGTATCTTCATTAGATTTACTATAGAATGAAATTGTCTAAATGAAATTGGACGTATTTTGTCATCTTACTATTATGTTAGGAGCGAGAGCCAGATGGATGGTGAGGCCCGGCAGAATGTTTTGAATGGTTATCATCTGTCTTGCACAGTTAAATAATAATAATGGCTGGCATTTATTGAGCTGCTGTTAGTATGTGCCAGGTCCCATGTTTATACAATAATAAGTGTATTAGTTGTTTTCTAAAAATATACTTTTCTATAGGTGTTGGAGACAGATTGAGGTAAAAAGATTTCTGATAGTATTATTCTCTAGGGAGACTGTTGAATTCGGGGATAAAATTAACAGTGTTCATAAAGGTCTCTGTTTTTCTCAGAAATTTATCTACAGCTAGGTTTATGCATGTGAATATTCTGTAAGTGTAATTATTTTGGATGTTCTTATGAATCTTTTAAATAATTTAGAAAGGTTTTAAGTATGAAGATGTTATGAGATGTGAGGCTGCATGAGTGAGTTAGAGATTCTTTTGCTTGCTTTATTTTGTTCAAATTCAGTCCCTTTATATTTTACCATTTTCAACATTCATGAGCTTGACTAAATAACAAGTTAAAAAAAAACCATTCATGGATATATTTTCATTATTTATGTGCTATATATTTTAAATTTTCTGACCAATGTTTATCAGTTTATATGATACTGTTCAGAGTGAGTCAGCCTTTTGTTTGTTTGCTTATTTATTTATTTATTTATTTATTTATTTATTTATTTATGGGTAGGTTATAGTTCTTACAACATTACCTAGCTGTTGAGTATGGAGCTGTTGGCCTTTCAATCTCTGAATCTAGCATGGCTCAATCTGCTGCTTTCTGGAAGGCTTGTATAATGAGAATCTAGAGCTTTCTGTCTCTGGAGAGTTTGTAACAACTTGGATTGCTCACTGCACTAGAAGATAGAACCAGAATTCAAATGACAAGCGAGCAATATCTCACTTTCCCATCATTCTGAACCTTCTTCCTGGTGGAGGAAGGAAAGATGCTCCTCCTGACTATGTCCAGAGATGCTAAAGGGTGTTACATTACCCAGGACATTTGAGGTGTCCAAATAGTTAAAGTGGATTTAGGGTGCTCTTGGGTGCCAGTCTTGACGTCTTGGATGGGAGGTGGAGGGGTTGGGGTATTGTGTGTTTTCTACGTACTGGCTGTCATCAAGGAATTCTGCCATGCAGTTCACCTTTAACTCAAGTATTTGCTTCTTTGAACTTAATTAGCTTTCAATTTATCTGATGCACCGTGCTTTGTAAAAGTAACATTGAGCTGGGAAGGGTTAATAAACTAAAAATTTTAATGCACGTTATGGGCAGTTCAAAACCTCAATTCTTTGTAGCTATGTAATTTTCTTTGTTCATTGTTTTGCATGATACAAAATCATAATTTTGGACCTGAATGCACAATTTCCTATGTTTTTGAATTAGCTTGTGGTATCATAAAACTAAATCTAACTTTTAAAAGCTAAAAAGCTTCTTAATTTATTGTAAAATTTCACCATCTTTAAAGTATTTTATAATTACTGCTGTCCTTTGATTTGTTTCCATTTATTTCTATTATCTTGCAGCATCTTTTATCCAAATTCTTCTTTCTTATAAATCTTGTAAGTAGGAACCAGAAGCTTCTCCTTAATTGCAGTCATGTTTTTATTTTTCCATAATTCCATTAAAATTTTTGATTGTCATTGTCTATTGTAGTTTTTGCACTTGGGAAGAAAAATATTTTTTCTGTGTTTTGAATGGGGAAGATTGTTGGCAAAAGCAAATTAATCTGCCTGAATCAATCCCATTATTTCTGTATACTAGTCTGGTCATGTCATGAATTCCAGGACTTTGCACTAACTGTGTTTTGGCTTTTATTCTTTTCTTTTTCTTTTACTTTTTTTTTAAGCTTTAAGCTTATTTTTATACAGATTTAGTGTTTGATTTGTATGCATTCTGCATGTAGTGTTTTCCAAATGTATTATTGCTGGATAGCTTATTCAGGACTAAAATGGCTCATGGGAAGTTGCATAAAGATTTATGCTTGACTCTGCATCTATTAAGCCTCCTATCATTACAAAACAATTTAAACATTTTATGTAGAGTAATAAAAGATTTCAGAGTGATCTGCGTGCTATGAAATCTTTTGTTAAAAGCAACTTTCGAAGGGCTTCTGTTTTGGTGACAACGAATGACCATGATAATCCTCCTTACCAACCCAGTTTTCTGATTTATCAACCTCAAGTTTGCTGCTGTCTGTGGTTGTTAAAATTCATTCTCATTTGCTTGGTTGGGCAGCTCTTTGGTGTGTGTTTTGGAGCTGGGTGGGTGGTGGGAATGCTCTCTCTTCCTCCCTTACTCAGTTCTCATCCTTACTCTGCCGTATTCAAACTGGCATATAGTTGCCCGCTTAATTGCTTTGTTCCTTTGAGTTAATTGTATAAATTGTAATTGCTACCCTTATTAATGGTTAAGATCATTCTATAGAAGGAGGAAAAAAACAGAAAATAAATAATAGAAAAGGCAAATTCTGTATATATCTGTATGCAGATGTATACAATTGTAATCTTCTGACTAGAAATTCAGTGAAAAAATTCTTTTTGTAGAATCTGTTAAGTTGAACAATGCTATTGTAAATTGTTACCCATTTCAAAGAAGATATCAGAGAGCCCTTTTTAAAAAATAAATTAAGACATAGTTGCTAAACAAAAGCATTATTGGATTCTATTAAAGTAGTTATGTAATGACACCAGTATTTGATCTTTGTGTCCAGGGTCCCATGAGCCTATTTGGCATTTTGACAAAAGTAATAAAATGCTCCTTTTCTCTCCCCAGCCATTGCAACACAAGCTAGCATGGAGTTTCGACGAAAAGGGTCCCAAATGTCCACAGACACCATGGTTTCCAATCCTGTGTTTGATGCAAGTGACTTTCCTGATAACTATGAAGCAGGAAGAGCTGAGGCTTGTGGGACATTATGTAGAATTTTTTGTAGCAAGAAGACTGGAGAAGAGATTCTGCCAGCTTATTTATCCAGGTTTTAGAATTTTTTGTTTATTTTTGCATTTGTATCATTTTATGGTGAAACACTATTGTGGCATGGCTTGGTAGGCTAAATCAATAAGCTATTCTTGGTCTGAAATACCTCCCAGTAATTGAAACTTGCTTGTTCTTTCATTTTACCCTCCTCATCAGATTTGGTAAAGACTTCTAAGGTTCTATTCTAGAGCTATTATTTATTCTATCGTTTATAAATTCTGGAGAGATTTGGAAGTACTACAACAGCTTGTTAATAGATTTTTTTTGGGCACAACATTAGGTTCTGTATACAGTCCAGAAATAAGTCAGCTATGAATCTTTACTCAAAGGAGTTTAGTGACTGTGGTGAATAGGTTCATGCAAAAATAGCAGTGGTTCAGTAGGAACCAGAAGTTGACAGGAGACACAAATAAATGGTTTTAAGTATTTGGAGGAAACAGCAGCTCATACTTAGCCTAGAGGGCTCAGTAAAGAGCTCTGGCATATATTAGATGTTTGTACTGGATTTAGAAAGGATGGATAGTGTTTAAACTGTTGGGAGGTTGGGTAGGACTATCATTTCCAAATCTCTGGCCTCCACCATCTGTGGATGGTTCTGCCATTAATTTAGCTGCTCAGGCCAGAACCGAGGCATCTTTGGCCTCTGCTTCCTCTCTCTGAGTTGATTATTCAGTTCCTGCCTTGTAGCATTTGACTCTCTTATTTCCCTCACCATGGCACTTCAGATTTTGTTACTCTTCCTAAATTTATAATTTTTGATTCTGTTTTGCTCTTCTCCACTACTTATTTACATGGCTGCTTAAGTAAGATTGCAATCAAGTAGAACATTGAGATACCTGTATTGCTAGGTGCTCAGGAAAGATTAGGTAAATTGACTTCTAGCAGAGGAAACCAAGTCTCAAGCATAAGACATAGAAAAACATGGTATGTACTGGTCAGAACAGCCTTAACCATGGGCTCTTATCTTTAAATCTGCTTTAAGTCAGTGAATAAATTAAAAAAGATGCTAAGGATACTTAACAGAGTCTAAGGTCAAGCAGTACAGCGAGGAATATAAAAAGTAGGAACTAGGGGCTGGAAAGTGTTCAGGGACCAGAACAACTCTCCTTCTTTCTGTGCTGCTTGTCTCCTAAAACTACTTCATTTTTCTCTGTAGATCATATTTCTTATACTGCAGTGTGCTTCTAAGCTCCTAGTTGTCATAGCCTTAGTCTAGAAGAGCAGTGGGGTCAATAAATATCTCTGAAATAACGGGAGATTCTTGGGAAAGATCTGATCAATTAGGTGTCTGTTTCTGCTCTAGCTACATACAGCTGTAAGAGCTGGAGAGATATCCCAAATTATATCAGTAGCAATAAGAGAGAAAGCTATGTACATGAGCTTTCTGTCTAGTCCAGAAGACTGGGTGAGAGGTCTTGAGACTAACTCAGCAGGTTTGTGAGAAGACAAATGATGTATTTAAGTTTCAGCCTTGCATTTCAAGGGTTTGTGGGATATTTATCAAGAACTGCATATTAAGTGCCTGTTTTTAGTTGAGTTCTATGCATACAAGGTAGACTGAAATAAGTTGAAAGACATCAGTGAATGAGAAGATTGTTTCCAAAGAGTTTTACAGAGAAGAAAGAAGTATCTAGTGGTAAGAAGAGTATGGCAGTGCAGTTGCTCTTGAATAGCAGGAACCTAAATGCTTAGTGGCTTGGTTGCTTAGTGGCACAGTTGGGGGTGGTAGGAAAAGGACTATATGTTCAGGTAAATTCCTCAAAGGACTCTTTGCACAATTTTCATGTTTTGATGAATGCAGAGTTTAGTGGGCTTACTTCCTTCCTCTCACTAACCCCTCAGAAGCAGTGGAGGAAGGAAAAAGGTACAAACTCACCTGTTTCCTGGGATTGTGAATGCAACAACAGTTTATTGCTTTAGTATTGAATTAATTGATTCCACCAATTAATTGATAAGTACCCAGGCATTTGTTTTGTTATTAGTACCTCATTTGTAGGCACCTGTAATTTGATTTACAAAAATTTAAAACTTTAAAAACATGTAATAGATACAGATCTTATGATTCTGAATTGTTGAATCCTAATAGTATCTTTAAAGTCTATAAACTAGAGTGAAGAGTGGACAAAGGCTCTTCAGATAACTATGTAGAAAATAATAATTCTGGAAATATTTGCTCAACAGTTTGTTTAAAATTTTTTTCTTGCTTTCCTAGATTTTACATGCTTTTAATTCAAGGTTTGCAGATAAATGATTATGTGTGCCATCCTGTCTTGGCCAGCATTATTCTAAACTCCCCTCCTTTGTTCTGCTGTGACTTGAAAGGGATTGATGTTGTGGTTCCTTACTTTATTTCAGCTCTTGAAACCATTTTGCCTGACAGGTAAGCTGTCATTTTTTATTACTGTGTCAGTTGTCTAGTTTGGTACTTCTTGTGTTTGCTAATTTACCCTATCTAGTTGTTTTCACAGTCCAGTGGGACCCAGGCTACATTAAATTGAGTAAAGAGCATCTAAATCCCTGATGCCTTCAGTCTGATATGTCCACGGGCTTACTGGATTTTTTTTTTTTTTGCTTGGTCTAGACGAGTCAAAAAAACAAGCCTGAGATCCTACACGGTTTTAGTCAAACTCTAGCTTAATTCAGTAATAGTGTAACATAGATGTTCTCATATATACAAGTAATAGTGTAATGTAGATGTTCTCATAAATACAATGATTGGGTTGTGGACAAAATTGGTATAGTAAATATTTGGCAGTAGGTAAAAATGCTCTTTAGCTGAAACATACTAATAACGTTTTATTTTTTGGCAGAGAACTCTCAAAATTCAAAAGCTATGTAAATCCAACAGAATTGAGAAGATCCTCCATTAATATCCTGCTTTCTTTGTTGCCCCTCCCTCATCATTTTGGCACAGTCAGATCTGAGGTAATGTTTCTTTAAATATTCCACCCCGCTCCTTTTTTTTCTTCATGATGCAAGGTCTTGCTATAGCCCAGTTTGGTTGCAAACTTGAAACCCTTCTGTCTCAACATCCTGCCGACCATTATTAACATTTTTATCCTATATTCTGTTTTTGTATGCTAATTTAAGTCAAATTGCACTTTTAACAAAATGGAACTGGAGCTTTAGAAAAGTCACTTTCTAGTCCTGCATGCTCATACTGGCCTTTAATCCCAGCACTTGTAGGCAGAGGCAGATGGAGCTTTGTGAGTTTGAGGCCAACCAGGGCTATACAGTGAGATCCTGTCTCAACAGTAGATAAATAAACATTTTAAAATACATGTTTCTAATGAATAAATACATATTTCTAATAGATTAATGAGGTTTTTCTCATTTAGGTATTTTTTCTTTTTAAAAGTTCTAATATGCCTTGACTTACTATTCATGTGTTTATAGGCTAATGACATTTGATTACATGTGTCGAATGGGAGCTGGGATTGTCCTGGAATCCTGGATCGTTAGTCTGTTCACCTTCTCTCTCCTCTTGCTGTTTCTAAATGGGCATCATGTACAATAAGTGACGTGAAATATTTGTTTTTGTTTTTCTCCAGGTGGTCCTAGAAGGGAAGTTTAGTAATGATGACAGCTCTTCTTATGATAAACCAATAACTTTTCTGTCCCTGAAGTTGAGACTTGTGAATATACTAATAGGTGCCTTGCAAACGGAAACGGACCCTAACAACACCCAAATGATACTAGGTTTGTGTTTAGATAGTTTTTTTGTTTGTTTTATTTTATTTTTGGATTGTGAAACCCAGATATGAACAGGTATATGCTGGGGAGACAGGTGAGAGGAGCTTAAGCCTGATACAGCTCTTATTATTCTGAATCAGAGGGATCTGGCAAGATAGCTCAGTGGTTAAAGATGCTTGCCAGCAAATCTCACAGACCCGAGTTTGATCTCCAGGTTCCACATCTTTTTAGCTGTTCTTTGACCTCCATATCATGCCATGGTGTGCACATAAGCCCTTCTCTCCCCAAACAAATAAGTAAGTAAATAAATAAATGTAGTAAACAATTTAAAAAAGATATAAGAAGATGAGATGAGGGACAGAAAGCATTTGGTTGTCTTGTTTATGCTCCCCCTCTTCTTTGTCCTAACTTTCTTCCCTCTTTTTCCTTTTTCCTTTCAGTAGTTGGGGTGAGTACTTAGGAAGTCTGGTATGCTAGACAGTGAGAAGGTAAACTTGTTTAATTTGACAAGGAGCTGAAGGAACAAGTGATAACATATCTTCACATTACTCTTGACATGGCTGTAGAAACATAAAAAAGCCAAGGAACAAAGCTGGAAGCAAGAGAAGTGGGCTATGGGAATTCTGTACTTGGGAATTGCATGTGAATGTTACATGTTAGAAAGATATTTTAAACCAGAGAGAGAGAGAGGAAACAAAATAATGTTCACATGGATGACATTGTCAGAAATAAAAGAATGTAAAGAGTTTAGTCCCGTGCATTTGGGGGAAGGGGTGCTTTGGAGTTGGTCAGAAAATGGCTCATTGGGCTAAAAGTGCTTGCCTTACAAAACTAATGACCTGAGTTTCATTCCTGGATCCTACCTTGGAAAGAGAGAATTGATTCCTAAAAGTTGTCATCTAACATCTACATACACTTCCGTTGCATGAGTTCTAATTGGTCTTTTTAATAAAAACCCAGAGCCAGATTTTGGGGCAAATGCTGAAGATCAGAGAAAGGAGCGAGCCACAGCCAGTTCTTTCCTTGCCAACTCCTGACCCAAAAAGAGGCCAACCTCAATTCTCCTCCCGCTTTCTCTGTCTCTCATTTTCTATCTGTCCATACAGACCTCCAGACCTCTATGATTAACTAGTGGCTAGCTCTGCCCTCTGATCTTCAGGCAAGCTTTGTTAGACTGCAAACAAGATATCACCATATACTGTGGCATGCATATGTGTGCAATCCCCTTCCCCAAATAAAAAATAAAATCTTGGCAGGCATATCAGAATTTGGGGATTTATAAAGCATTATTTTTTAAAACAATATATTTATTCATAATCGTCAGAGAATTTCAGGAATATTTTACCAAAATTTGTCCTTTTTTCTTTTCTTTTTTTTTTAGAGGGAGGGGAGGAGACACAGGGTCTTGTATAGCCCAAGTGCCTTCCTTCCTGCCTCAGGCTTCCAAGTGCTAGGGTTATTCTTTATATTCTGACTGAGCCATTGTAACTGTAATTGTATGTATGTCAGGTAAACTGGTTTGTTTTGCTATTGCAGGAGCAATGTTAAATATTGTTCAGGATTCTGCACTTTTAGAAGCTATTGGTTGCCAAATGGAGATGGTAAGAAGCTTACATAATCTGTCATAAAAAATCTGCTTCTGATTTTATATAAACCGTAGTCAGTAGTGCTGGAATTGAACCTAGGGTATGCTTGTATGTGTGTGTGCTTCTATGTTTGAGTGTGTGTTTGAGTGTCTGTGTGTGAAAATGGGATATGGGTGGGTGTGAGCATGGAGGATATCAGGTATTCTGCACAATTGCCCTTTTCCCTTGAGAGAGTGTCTTTTGATGACCATGAAGCTAAACTGCCTGCCACCAAGCCCAGTGATGCTCCTATTTCCACTCTTCCCAGTGCTGTCATTATAGGTATGTGGGTGGCTATGATCAGCTTTTTACATAGGTGCTGGAGATTTGACCTGAGGTTTTCATGCTTCTGTAGCAAGTGTTCTTATCCATTCTCTCCCTTCCCCTTCCCTCCCTCTGGCATTTCTTTTAAAAGTAGATTTTGTGGATCAAACTCATGTCCTCTTGCTTGAGTGGTAAACACGTTATTGACTGAGATCATCTCCCAGCCCCATATTGTATTTGAAGATTATATTCCTGTTCTGAGGTTTTGCGCCAGAGTCACTTAAAGTATTTTCCTTAATGACTCAGAGTCATTAGCTAGTCAACTGTAGCATATGTAAAGGGTTCTGAGGTGGCCCTTTGAAAAACAGCATGGGGGACCCCATTGTGGACACCTGTAGCTATCAAACCCTGTATACCCTTTTTAACAGATAACATCAGAACAACAATACTACAGTGATTCTAATCCCTTGTCTGTTTATCTATGTATCACCTTGTGCTAGTTAACCTGCTATGTTTGCATTACTGGTTATGAACCCAGGGCCTTATGCATATGAGGCAAGTGCAATACTCCTGAACTATAGCCCCAACTCTTAACAATTTTGTTTGTTTTGGTTTTTCAAGGTCTAGATATCTGCCTGCCTCTGCTTCCCAAGTGCTGGGTTTAAAGGCATTTGCCATCAATACCTGACTCTAACAAAGTTTTAATATTAAAAAAAAAATCTTCTTTTTATACTTGTGAACTGTATTGGCTCATTTTCGTTTGTCTAGGGTGGTGGAGAAAACAACCTGAAGAGTCATAGTCGCACTAATAGTGGCATTAGTTCAGCAAGTGGAGGAAGCACAGAACCTACAACGCCTGACAGTGAGAGACCTGCTCAAGCTCTCCTAAGGGATTATGGTAAGCTGTGTTTAAATGGCCTGTTAGCATTTACACGTAAGCAAAACTAAAACTTTTCAAGAATCTAGAACAAAAATAAAAATTTTATGTACTTAGGTATAATTGACAGAAGATGTTTGTTTAAAAAAACTAAGGAAAAAGTATTTTGTAGCTCGTTTTGGAGTTTGTTAGCTCATCAGATGTTTATGATGAGAGTTCAGGAGATGTTTGGGTTTTGTACTAGGCGCTGATGGTATAGGCTCACATAAGATGTGGGCCTTGCCTCAGAGCTCTCAGAATAATGGCAGAGATGGATGGTGAGCCCCATAATTTCAATTGAGAGAAGTGATGGAGGTCGTATTAGAGGAGATCTAGAGAGGTGCGTGTCTCCATGTTAAAACTTACCTAGCTATTCTGTCTCGTTAGGTTCTTCAGTTACAAGAATAAAGAGTCATTTTCTGCCCTGCTAAATAAAACACTTGCCAGGAAAACATCCTGTTCAGTGATGTCGTTTACACTCAGTAGTTATTTTATGCACTTAGTGTGAGCACTTTGTTTTATGTGCAAGTGCTGATAGTGATTGAATCGTTGTTTATTCCTTGAGATTAGAATACCTAATTCCCTAGATGTGAGCTTGACTTTTAATCATCTGGAGAGTCCATGAGCCATGTGCATGAGGCATGCTTTCATAATTGAATTTATGACACATTACCCGTTCTCATGTCAAATACATAGTCATTATGTGGATAGTACATTTAAATGGTTACCCCTTATGTAGATTTAGGCATTCTCCAGGTTGAAATGTTTCTTGTACTTTCTAAGATATTTTAAAATGAAAGATAATTTTGCGTTACCGCATGTGTTGTATTTAAGTGTTTGAACTGTTGTTTGTTCCAGCATTTTCAGCTGGTGTTAGTGGGCTCTGCTTGTTATGTCATATTTTTTACTAAAAAATATCCAGATTTGTGTTAGTGTCGCATGACTGTCTCTCTTTAATGATCATTCCTTTTTCTGTTGTCACTGCCCTCTTTCTGATAGGATCCACAGGTATAATGCCCCTAAAGATTCCTTTTTAATTACAATTTAATTTATCTTAGTTTAATTTCTTGGAATTCACTTTTTAATGAGTAGTAGTTACTTTAAATTAAAATTGAAGTCCAAGTTAAAACAGTGACTTGGTTATTTAACTTTTAAAAGGTATTAACATAGTGGTAAAGAGCTGAATATGAATGTGGGTTTGAAGAGGCATTGCATGTGGTTTTACTGGTTTAAGCCCTGTCATTGCAGGAGATGCTTTAAGGTAATTCCTAGCATCTGAGGAGGCTATCAGTTGAATTCTTGCCTCTGTAAAATTCTAAGGAAATATTTGGTTGCCTTTTCATTGTTCTTTTTGAAAATTAAATTCTACAAGTTATTTATTTAAAAATTTAAGACACTATTTTTCCTTATAAGGATGGTACTGAAATTGCCAAGTCCATAGTGTTCTTTGTCAGAGTGTAGACTGGGAGCTAGAAGCTGGCCCAGCCCCATGTGTGCCTCATACACCATCAGTCAGGCCTGGTGCTCAGGCCGGTGGGCGGGGAGCATAGCTCTGTGTGGGTGCCCATTGTGCTCACTGTGGCTGCTGTGGTCTGTGCCTGATGGAATGCTGTGCTTCTGTTACTAATGCTTAGTTGTTTTCCCTCCCTGTGGATGTGGCATTGGGTTATATCCTAGCTCTTAATACAGATTCAGCTGCTGGGCTCCTGATTCGCAGCATTCATCTCGTCACCCAAAGACTCAACTCCCAGTGGCGGCAAGACATGAGCATATCCTTGGCAGCTCTGGAGCTCCTCTCTGGTCTGGCAAAGGTGAGGACAGACCCTTATTTCAGTCCAGCACACTTGCGTCATGCCTTTTTTTTCTGTATTCTGACACCCACCCCTTTGTGTAGGTATTTGAGGGTTGTCAGTACATGTACTTATTTTACATCCAGAGTATACAAAATTGAACCTTCAAGTAAATTTTGCAAAATGAAAAATAGGTACAAAGGATATGAATATTTCTGTTAAAGTATAGAAAGCATTTCAATACTGGTGACTATTTGCACATAATAGTATATTTACTGCTTTTATAAAGAACATTTATCATAAAAATATTTCTGTGATTACTATTTTCTGTTGTCAGTATTAAGCAAATATTGACTGTGTATTCAATTTTCTCTCACAGTTATTTCAGTTTTGTGGAACCTTAGAAATGGGGTTCACTTGCTCTTAAGCCTCAGTCTCTCTTTCTTGCTCTCTCCGTGAAATTCATGTAACATAAAACTAGCCATTTTAAAGCAAGTGATTCAGTCCTGTCAGTACATTTGCAGTGTCTTTATCACCCCGGAGGGAAATCCTTAAGCCTCAAAGCAGTTGCTTTCTTGTTCACTTTCCCAGCCACCACCTCTGACAGCCACTCGTCTTCATTTTGCTTCTTTGGCTCTACCTAATCAGGACAATTCACAGAAAGGGATCAGTAGGAAAATCATGTAATGTGTGTCATTTCAAGAGTGCCTGTTTTTCTTGCTTAAGAAGTAATTTTTTGAGTAGGGCCTTTTTTCTGATTGCACAGCACCATGCTGAATGTAATTATTACTATTTGTTTGCCTGCTCATCAACTGAGAGGTATTTAGACTGTTTCCGTCTTTAGACTTTACTAGTAGAGCTGCTGTGGATGTATGGGAACATGTATTTGTTTGGAATATCAGTTTTCAGTTCACTAAGGAGTGAAATTCTTGGGTTTGTGGAAATTCTGTTTAACTTTTGAAGAACTGCAAATAGTTTTCCACAGCTACTGAGTCCTTTTTCATTCCTTCCAGCAACATGCAAGGGTTCCAATTTTTCCACATCGTCACTAGCATCTGAGTATTTTTTATTATTGAAATGGAAAAGATTATTTTTCAAATACCACTTGGTGTTGTGAGGAGGATCAGATGAGATGAAAGTATAAAATATATTGTGGTCATGTAATGATATTCATCACAGAGTGGTAGTGTCTGAGATGAAGTTTAGGCCTTTACTTTAAAGTTGTCTTACAAATTGTGAGAGACAAAATAGACAAGAAAACTTAGTATGTTCTCAACATTACTTGGAATTTAACTGAGAAATCCCCAAATGTAATAGATATATGTGGAGCAGTTACTGATTTAAACATTAGGATGGCCATTCATGAGAGATGGTGGACCACACAGAGAGCAAGGTGCTGCTCCCTATGACTTGTGATCTACTTTCAGTTTAAGATATGTTTAGCTTGTATGGAGCTCTGTTCTGAACCTGTCTCATAATATAATGGGTTAATACTACCTGATTCCATTCTCTGTAAAGATAGAGTTGATTAAAACAGTCTTATGTTTGAACAGGATTGAATGAATAGATTAGTGGTCTATAATTGAGACTTCATGACCACACTTTTGTGGCTGTCTGGTTTTTAACAATGGTGCAAAGATAACTCTAAGGAGAAAGGTTAGTCTTTTTGACCAGTGCTAATGGTAGAAAACTTGGTTTCATACCTGTTTTGTATATGGTAGGTACAAAAATCAGCTAAAAATGGGTTGTAGACTGAAATGTAAAAATGTATTAGTTACTTGTCTCATGCTGTGACAAAATCCCTGACAAAAGCATCTTAAGGATGGAAGGGTTTATTTTGGCTCACAGTGCAAGGGTACAGTCCATTATGGCGGGGATGTCAAGGTGGCAGGAGCTTGAAGCACCTAGTCACGTTGAGTCTGCAGTCAGGAAGAAGAGAGCAGATGAATGCTTGTGCTCAGCTGGCTTCCTCCTTTTTATGCAGTCCAGGACCCAAACCCAGGGAATAGTGCCACTCTCCTTTAAGGTGAGTTTTCCTACCTCAATATCATTAGTTGTTAGGGAAATGTAATTAGATTCACATTGAAATACTATTACATACCCAGTAGGATGACTAAAATTGAGGGCCAGGAGAATAGCTTAGGGTAAGAGTGCTTGCTATGCAAGCATGAGGACCTAATCATATCCCCAGCACCTATTTAAAAAGCTTGGAATGACCACATGGACATCAGGTGGAGATAGAAAGATCCCAGGAGTTTTCTAACTTGTCAGCATAGCTGAAACAGGAAACTTTAGGTTGTGTGAGAGACCCCTTCTCAAGGGAATAATATAGAAAGTGATAGAGCTGTGGGTCGAGACCCCTTTGGGGGTTGAATGACCTTTCACAGGGGTTTCCTAAGACCATTAGAAAACACAGATATTTACATTACTATTTATAACCGTATCAAAATCACAGTTATGAAGTAGTAGCAAAAATAATTTTATGGTTGAGGGTTACCACTACATGAGGAACTATATTAAAGGGTTGCAGCATTAGAAAGGTTGAGAACCACTGTGATAGGGAAGGCACCTAGCAGTTCTCCTGTGGCCTTTTCATACACAAGAAAGAGAGAAAGGAAGGAAGGAAAATTTAAAAAGATTGACCATACCAAATGTTGATGAGGATATAAGGAAACTGTTAATGAGAATGTTAATTGTAATAATCATTTTGGAAAACAGTTTGGCAGATCCTTAAAAATTTAATAAAACATATATCTTATGACCCTCTCATTCCAGTCCCAGTATATAAGAGAACATACATCCAGTCAGTGACATGGATGTTCATAGCAACTATATTTGTAATATCCACAGGATAGAAATAACTTATATGTCTATTAACAGGTTACTGGGTAGACAAATTGTGCTGTATTCATACACTGGAATATACTCAATAAAAAAAAGCATTACAAAAAGTAGATACATTTGGAAGTAATTATGTTAAATACCTTTCCCCAAAGTAGTAGTCTGATCTATTATAATAACAGATAAGCAGTTCCTCACAGAGGGGGACAAGAGGAATGGGAGGAAGCTTACAGAGGTGCATGAGGACATTTGGGGGTGATATTTATATTCATTTTCTGATTGTAGTGATGGTTTTTTGAGGTTATATATTTTGAACGTGTAGCTTACTGTAATTTATAATTGAACTGCTAAGCTGTTTCAACTAGACTTTTGTGGAGAGCAAAAACCATCACTGTGAGGTTGGGTTAGGGACTTTAAAAACACACACATATTCCATTGCTGGCCATTCCTACACATTTTACAATACACGTAAGTACACCCAAGAGCTTTGAGTTTTAAGGTGTAAACAACCATGTTAAAGTACTGTTTTAGGGTTTGAGAATGTCACTTTTTTATAGTATATCTGTAATATTCTGTTCCTCTATATAAATAATATTTTAAAACAAGACCTCTTGTGTATCACATTATCAGATAGGCTCAGTTGCAGGGCAAATGCTTGGTGTAGTGGCTCCTGACTGACTGATTTTGTTCCTTAAATGGATATGCTTAGGTGAAGGTGATGGTTGACTTGGGAGACCGGAAGCGTGCCATCAGTTCTGTGTGCAGTTATATTGTATACCAGTGCAGTCGGCCAGCTCCTCTTCACTCCCGGGATCTGCACTCCATGATAGTGGCAGCATTTCAGTGTCTCTGTGTCTGGCTGACAGAGCACCCTGATATGCTAGATGAAAAGGTGAGCTTATTCAGTCTTGAAACACCAAGTAGGAATAAAACTGTTTGTTGAGAAAATACCTTTTAAAAGAGAATATCTGAATTTAAATACAGTGTCATATACTTTGAATGTACTTGTTTGATTTCAGTAGGACACTTATCTTTTGAGCATAACTTATAAACTGTCATCATGCTTAGATTTGTTTCCAATAATCCCACAGAAAAATTCTTTATGAAAGAGAAGATCTTGCCTAATTTTTCTTTTATTAAAATGATATTCTCATTAATTCTAGTAAAAATTCAAACTGTATTTTCAACATATCATCTTCTTTTACCAAAACCTACTCTCACTTCCCTACCTACCCAATTTTGAGATTTTTTTTTCCCCGCATCTATTGAGTTCAGTTTGTGTTTCCTAGCTACTATTGGTAATGAGTCTGCCCTGGAGTATGGTCAGCCTACCACTGATCCTGTCATTGAAGAAAGTTGATTCTGTCTCTCCTAGCAGCTATCATATATGATCACATATGCCTATAGTTCCCCAGCTAGTGATAATATTTTTTGCCTATTTCTACCATCTTCGTGCTGAAATTTTGGTTGAGCAAACTCAAGCCTTTTGTATGCTTTCACAGTCTCTATGGGCTCATATATGCAACTGCTGATCTGGAAAAGTACTTTTTTTTTTGACAGGATGGCAGACTGGAGATAGCTAATAAAGCTATTTGGTTTCCTATTATCAAAGACGGGCATTGAATTGTGAATCTACAAAGCTAGGGCACAGTTTGGCTGTACAAGTTACGTTTATTGAATCATCCCATTTCTCACAGGTTTCTGCAATTTTAAATGGGCACAGATACCTAGTCTTTTTTCCCCCACTGTACTTTAGAGGGAAGCAGGCATAATAAGCTCAGTGACATGAGAGCTTCCCAAGATCACTGATATTTAGAAAGGAAGCGATCTTTGTAAGTAATTTTGTTGATAAAATCTGAGTTATTTTCATCATGACTTTCAAAGTTATGATGTCAAAAATTGTTTACAGTACTAGACTTGTAGCCAAGTTTAATACAATGCTTGCTTAGCATTTTTGAAGCACTCAGCTTGATCCCTAGCACGACATTAACCAGCTCTGATGGTGCCTATTTGTAATTCCAGGTGCTTGGCAGGTAGAAGAAGGATCAGAAGGTCAAGGTCATCCCTGGCTACATAATGAGTTAGAGGCCAGCCTGGGCTACATGAAACTCTGTTATACAAAACAGTTTTAAATAGAGATTATTTTAAAATGTTGGTCATTGATGTTGGGGATGATAGCAACTTCTTGTAATTCTAACACTTAAGAAGCAGAGGCGGAGGGTCCTGGATTCAGGGTCAGCTTGGGCTACATAGTGAGTTTGAGGCCAGCCTGAACTCCATAGTGAGATCCTGCCTCAAAAAATGAATAATTAACCTCTTTGGTATATTAACCATCTGGGTTTGGCAGAATTTTCTTCGGAATCTATTTTACTCATTCCATGACAATTTTGTGAGCTCTGTAGCTTATAAAATTAAAACCTATCTTTAGTCTTCTTCTGAACATACAAATTTAGTTCTTTTAAGAGAAACTTAATGGAAGTATAAATTTATTTTATTATGATGCAAACATATCTGTTAAAGAGCATTAGCAACTGGAACGTCACCCCTGAAACATAACCATTGTTATGATTTCCTTGTCTTCTCTTAACCAACCTGAGGTTGTGAGATGGCTCAGCAGGTAAGAGTGCTTGCCCCCAAGTTTGATGACTTGATTTTGATCATTAAGTCCTATACGGTGCAAGGAGAGAGCCAGCTCTCAAAAATTGTTCTCTGCCCTTGATTTGTACACAAACACACATACACCCTCTCTTAAATAAATAAATGTGTTTGAAAAATATTTGAAAAAACCATTTTGTCTTTTCCTGCTTCTAGGATTGCCTTAAGGAAGTATTGGAGATTGTAGAACTGGGTATCTCAGGAAGCAAATCCAAAAACAGCGAGCAAGAGGTCAAGTACAAAGGCGATAAGGAGCCAAACCCTGCGTCCATGAGGGTAAAGGATGCTGCAGAAGCCACTTTAACATGGTATGGAAGCAGCCGCTGAAGGCTGAGCTGTAACAGACAGGGCAGCAGTGTTCTGTGCTGCTCTGTTTTCCTTGTTCAGCACGGAGTAACTTAGTCTCTGTAGGGTACTGCGTCTCCAGACACAAAATGGAAAGGGAATACCCTTTTTGTCTTCATTCTTAGATCAACAAGAAACTAGAAATTTGGAATCTTTGCATTTCCATAGTAACTGATAACTCAGGTCAGCTCATATTAGAGCTAGGAATTATCTTAGAGCTACTTCATCTCCTTCTTTGATGGCTTAACCTAGAGTTGAGATGTGACACAGCATCAGATCTGCTACCTAGTGCTGGTCTCTTCTACATCTTTCATGTTCTATTCAGCTAGGATTTTTTTTTAACTCCCTTTTAAGAGCTTGGTAATAGAATCATGCAGAATAATCAGATTCAGTTACTTAATGAGTAATATCTGGCACAAAGTCTTTCAATATTGGTGGATAGTAAGTACCCCAAAAGAAGATATATAAATAAAATGGCAGGGAGCTGGGAGTAAGTGAGTGAGTTATGGAACCGCATTGATGGAGCTGAGAAAGTCCTTTGTACTTGGTGGATGGGGAAACTGGAAAGAGGACTGGATTTGGGCACATCTGCAGATTGAATAGACTGCATAAGTAGAGATTGCATTGATTCCTAGAATATGTAAAGATGTAGCTCATGCAAGAAGTATGAATGAAAACCTAAGAAAACAGAACTAAAGGAAGGAAGAGTTAGTAAGGACTGGCTGGAAGATTGTGTGTAAATCAGCTCTGCCTAAGATCCTGACATCTTTTTTGAGTGCAGTGTCCTTTACTGCTTAGGGTTATATTCAGATTAGTTGGATGTGTTTCTGTTATTCTTGGGCTTCAGTCATAATTTTCAGGATGCTTGCTTTGCTTTTGTTTAGAACTATGCACTATGGTAATGGCTAGACTTTGAATACATTTGTTTAGGTTTAATTAATAGCTAGAAAATTGGTGATGACAGTATGTGCTTGTGTAACACCTGGGTGGGGAGCCATAAAGTTCCATAGCACCGGGACTTGATATGTGTCAGGAAGAAGAAGGCTGAGAGATAAGCAGAGAGAATCTTTGCTCACTAAGAGTTCTTGAGTTCTTTGTGCTGCAGGAAACCTGTTCCACTTTGGCTCGTTGTTTTTGTGAGTATGGTTGCTACTGGGGGCTGCCTGTGTTCCTGGGGTCTTTTTCCTTCAGTCTATAGTTGTCTAAATAGCTCTGTCTTCATTTTTTGCTGTTTTGTCTGTATTAGGCAGTTCACCACAATGTCTTTAGTTTCCACTCTTCAGCAGTGCAGAGTTTCATCATGGTGGGGAATCTTCCCAATCAGTTTTCTATTCTCTCACAGTTGCTGCTTTTCTGTCAGCATCACCATTGGTTGTTCTGTTTTGACTTTTTTTTGAGGCAGGGTTTCACTATATCTGGCTGTCCTGGAACTCACTCTGTAGACCAGGCTGGCCTCAAACTCTCAGAGATCCTCCTGCCTCTGCCTCCCAAGCACATTTGCCACTATGCCCAGCTGCCACCATTGTTTTCAGTCCTCCTCCCCCTGGATTTATGTCTCTGTCATTCCTCATGAAGCCAGCAACTAAGTCCAGCAGACTATCTTCGTAAGGTCTCTCCCCGTCCCCTGAAGCCTGAGATAGTATTCTGTACTAGGTCACCTCACTTCTTGCATGATTTCTGTTTCCAGTCTAACTCTTCCTGTTTGTTTTGCACTCTGTGGCTAAACTCTTCTTCAACACTATTTCATCCTACTGCTTGAGTGGTTAAAAACCTTGAGTAGATCTCTGGTTTCCTAACATGTCTGAATTTCAGTGGAGGGTCAGGGAGGTGTCCTGATTTCTCCCACCACTGTTCCCTAACACTCCCTTGCCATGGTTGGGCTACTTATAGTGGTGAACTGGGCATGTTCATACCCACTTATGCATCTCTCCTGTATTTCAAACATTACATACTGTTCAATGCTCACTACTAGCTACTTGTACGAACCTTTTTATTATTCTGATTTTTGAAGGACAGTGATTTTCACTACCTCCACACTCATTGTATGCCTGTCTCACATAAGGTGGAGTTCCATACTATTACAGTCATATCAAGTTTTTTTGGTGCATGCCCGTCTGTCTTTGATAACATTTATAATGTTGACATATTAAAAGTATAAATTCAGAATTTGTGCTCTTAGAAGTCATTTCAGTGGTTCTTCTGTGTAAGGCATATTTATTAAATGCTTAGCATTTAATTTGGGTTTAGAGTCTAGCCCCTAAGATTTATTTTAACTATTAAAAGCTTGATGTTCTGTATCAAACTAAAATCTCTCATGTTAACTTGTTCTCATTGGTTCTTATTCAGACTTTTGGTAGTAATTCTTTCTCCAGGAAGGAGCAGTATACAAAGACAATGTTTATGTTGCTGTGGTTCGTTTCTGCTAGTGCCTTCACATGGTTTTGGTACTACATGCATTTGAGTACCTTTATCATCCTGTCGCCCAGCTGTTTAGCTTTGACCATGTATCTCTCACAGGAGGATCACTGAGTACAGTGTACTATATGGGATCCAAATGTCGTCAGACTCTATAGGGCAGTGTGTTTCATCCACCTCTATTGGGAGACAGCAACAAGACTTTGCTCACTGGAGAGTCACATTGAGTTAGCTGGACTCTTGCCTTTTCATGTTTCCTTTTCATCTGTTGTTCTCATCCTGTGCTTATTGCACAGTGTTGAAATTTCTTTTTGTAAATATTCCACATCATCTGTAGTCTTTTTAAAGCCTAACTCTTTTTCTAATATATGATATCTGCAGATTAAGTTCTAGTCTTTTGAAGGTTTTTTTTTTTCTTAATTATTGCTTTTCCCCTCCTCCACGACAGGGTCTCACTATGTAGCTCTCTCTGATTGTCCTAGAACTCACTGTGTAGACCAGGCTGCCCTTGAATTCTCAGAAATCCTTTTGCCTCTGCCTCCCAAGTGCTGCTCTTTTTAAAAACAAATCATGTATTTATATGTATGCATGGGTATGTGGATGTCAGAGACAACTTTTGAGAGTCTTTTCAAATCCATTTCATGTGAGTTCCAGGGACTCCAACTCTGCTTGTTGGAATTGATACCAATAGTCTCTGCGCACTGAGCCATCTTCCTGGTTGTTGTTTGTTTTGTTCCAGATTCTCAACTTTTTAAAGCCCAGGCTGGCCTCAACTTCATGTCAATCCTCCTGCCTCAGCTTTCTAGGTATTGGCATACAGGCATGAACTAATATTATGAGCTTGTTTTATGTGTTGTCTGAACACTGCTTATAGAAAGCAGAGGTTGAACCTCAGAACATAACAGCAGAGACTCTCTGGAGGTTCACAACGATGTTTAAACTTTATCTACAGGTTTATTATGACACAGTCAAGTACTTGTCATGATTTCAGAGATGTTTACTCAACATTCCAGTCTAGTCACTACCAGGAAAAGAAGAATGTGATGAGGCTGGTAATGATTTAATCTAAGTGGCATAACCTCTTCCAAAATCCTGTTTGATACATCATATATCTTCTGTGAAACATGACAAGCTCACCTGGCTTTGTGACATCTGTCTCTGTTCTGCTGGAGAAAGCCAAAGCTGTATTTTCTAAGTACTAGTCTCCTGGATGGCTCCTGTTTTTCACAATCATTAGAGTCCTGAACTTACTGAGTTCCCTCATTCCTTGAATTGTAGCAGTCCTTCTAGGAGTGAAAATTGCAAGGAAGACGTCTGCTGGAAAACAGTACCTTCCATCGTCAGAGATCTTAGCTGAGGCCAGGGTGTCCAAGCTGAAGATTGATTGATAAATGGTGTTGAGGGTTGTGGAGATGGCTCAGTGAATAAGAGCACTTGCTGTACAGCCTGAGTTACTGGGTTCAGATCTCCAGTACTCATGTGGAAAACTAGACATGGCTCTATGCATTCCCGTAACATCAGTGCTGAAAGGGAAGGCAGAGACAGGAAGATCACTGGGGTTTATTGGCTGCCAGCCTAGTTCCACAGTTATTAAGAGACACAGTCTTAAGGGATTAAGGCAGGAAATGATAGAACAGGACTCTTTATTTCCTCCACATACACAACACCCATGTATGCATATAACACACATGCAACACATTCAAATGTGTACACATATACAAAGGTGTTGAGTAGTTTTCTGTATGGGATGCATTGATACTACATGGTAAAAATCTGTTTAAATACAGAATGTTTTTTCTTTGAGCATCAGTGTATTATAAATGAATAAAAAAGTGATAATAAAAATGGAAATAATGATGGTACTTATTTGATACGGTTATTATGAAACTATATGAAAAATGTATATAAAGCCTAGAATAGTACTTGACACAGAGTTAGGTGAGTTATTAAATTCTTGCTTGTATGCAGAAATCTTTATTCCCCCCTCTCTCTATGTGTGCATTAAGTATATACACACATGGTGTATACTTGCAAACGTTTCTGAATGGTAAGTCTTGATCAGTGAACCTCTGCTTGATAAAACATTTTGTGTCATAGATTTATTTATGACAGTTTGAGATTTAACTCTTAGTGTCTCGGACTCCTTACTTGAAATGAGGATATATGTATTCCAGGACATGCACGAAATAGTCAGCAGGTCCTGGGATTTTGGGCCTCTTAACAATCACTTAGCTCTTTGGAGTTTTACATTTCCTTATCTGAAAAGTGATGGGGTCTGGCTGATCTTTTTATCCTTTTCTCAGCCTAAGGTACTTTTCTGTCATAATCCAGAAACCTGGAGCACACAAGCAGAATTTTAAATGTGTTTTTAGAAGTTTCCTGATTTGGAACTGTAGTTCGTCATATTCCCTGGGTAAAAGAGAGAAATTTGCTTGCAATATTTCATTGGGATGAAGCAGGACTGGGCAGGCAGAAGAACAAAACTGCTGGACAGTAGAGGCAGTTGCAACAAAATGCTCAAGCTGACTTGACCTTGAGTGTTCTTTCCAGCCGGGGGAGGGGGACTTGTACCTAGGAACCTTGCACTAACTAGTAGTTGAATGTGGAATGCAGTGGTCCCCAGTGAGGCGTCCATGGCTGAGGGCAGTTCGTAGGTCAGTTGAAAGCTGTGGCTATTGTTACTCTGCATCTGGGTGTGGACATCAGCATCCACAACATCTGGGGGAAGACCTTTCATTCTTGGGGTACAGATTCTACCCAGCATGCCATGGTATTTTTTGCCACAAATACTAAATCTGACCTGTGAAGAGGAAGCATAACTGTGTCTAGTTAATTCAGAGGAGCAGAAGGATATATAGATCTAAAAGGCCAAGTTAGAATTTTCTTTAGGAATTAATTGTTCTTTATTCCATTCTCCGTAGTATCATGCAGTTGCTTGGTGCATTTCCTTCACCCAGTGGTCCTGCCTCTCCTTGTAGTCTGGTGAATGAGACCACTCTGATCAAATACTCCAGGCTGCCAACCATAAACAAGCATAGTTTCCGGTACTTTGTCTTGGATAATAGTGTCATCCTGGCAATGCTGGAGCAACCGCTTGGAAATGAACAGAGTAAGTTGTAGCACTCGTAGCTTTCTCTACTGCTCAAACAGTGTGTTCTCAGTTTTCCCAGGCATGCAAAGTCTGAATTCCAAGTAACTATTTGTCAGAAAGACTTGGAGCTATAAGATAAACCACTGGAGAAACAGGGGTCAGAAAATAGAATGTGCAAATGAAGTAGAACTGTTTAAAGAGTGTTTATGTACGCTTGAAAAGTGTCTCAAACTTTGATGTAAAGTTTACCTTAGAGAGATATTTTATATTTACTATATATACACCAGTCATTGTCGGTCTTTCTTTCCTTGTTAACCTTGGATCCTGCCCCTCTACTCCCTTTCCCTTCACCCATACTTGTTCTGTTTTGGTTGCTACTACCCACACAGGCTAGAAATTTGAGATAGTCATCTTTGTTTCCTCCTTCTGTCACTTCCTTATATAATTAGTCTCAATGTCTCTATTACCCCAGGGACTCTTGGATCTTTCCTCTGTATTCCTCCCAGTATATCTGAATGCAAGGCCTTATTAATTTCTTATGTTGATTTGTTGCATTTTCTTTCTACCTGGTCTGATATCCCCTTTGGCAGTTCAAAAATTTGCTTGCCCTTCCCACTGCCCTCCTTGCACCATAGTGTTCATCCTTAAGCATGTAGATGTGATCTGGTGAAAAAACTTCAGTGATTGTTTATTGACAAGACATGCACTATCCCACGTTTATGTGGCTCACAGAGGGTGCGTGATTTGCTTAGGGTAACTTGAGAAGTATATAACTAGGATTCAAATTCAGGTTTTCCAAACAATACTATTTTCTGTTGTTGTCCCACCACAGTAGGACTTCCTCAGTGACTAAAGACACATGCAAAGGTAAGCGGAGTCTTTGAGTCCTGTACGGCTTCTGTTGACTATAAGCAGGATGTCATAATTCTACAAGATGAGAAACCTAGCCCTGGTCGCAATAGACACTATTTCCATCGTAGCATGGTTAAGTTTAGTGACATTAGTATGAAATAGAATGGCACTGTTCATCGTTGGTCAGCTCTGCCTTCTTTACCCCAGAGCTAAGGCTTGCCTGGCTTTCTCTCCTTGCTGCCTACTTTTCATTATTTCACCATCCTCCTACCCCTAAGTCATTTGCTGAACAGCCTGCAGAATCTTAGTGTCCCCTTTAAGCTTTCGGGTTCTCTTGCAAGTTTTTTTAGGCTTGCCTTACTCTTATTCCAAGTAACTTTACTGCATAGGTAGTCTACAAAAAATAAAATTAAAAAATTAACAATTTTATACAATTAAGATTGTTTATTGAAATAGTTAATAACAGAAGAAAAGAGAGTTTGAACCACTTTTGATTTCCATAACTGAGACAAAGAAAGGGAATAAAAAGGATCCTGAACTTTTACATGTTCCTGAACTTCTGCTGGGAGGAAAAAGTGTCTGCCTACAGTAGCAGGACCCTGATCTAAGAGCAGATGTATGTCAACACTTTAGATAGCCAGCCTGTTTTCTTTCATAAAAGTTGTCTTCAGCATTGGAAGTTTAAGAGTGTTTGCCATTATAGATACCATTTCACCAAAACATATGTGTAGAGGAATGTGAGGATGTTAGGAGAGTCAAGCTAGAGTCGGTCCAGAGTGGGGTGGTAGTCATGGTGCTTAGCCATGGCATTGCCATTTAGGAGGCGCTGTGCTAGGGCTTTGATCTGAAGTGTTCTGCAGGTGATAGCAGGTTGTATATTAATATGATTGTTATCTGAAGTAAAAGTTTTTGCATATCAATTTTATTCTAGATGATTTTTTTCCCTCTGTCACTGTGCTGGTCCGGGGAATGTCAGGAAGACTTGCTTGGGCTCAGCAGCTTTGCCTTTTACCCAGAGGAGCAAAAGCAAATCAGAAGGTACATCAGAAGTTACAGTGTGTGAGTGAGTACATATATATGGGTGCATATGATTGTGTGTGTGTGTCTGTCCGTGTGTGATTTAAACACTAAATAACATTTCAACAGAAAGTCACAGGTTACATGTTTCTGATCCCTGGTGAGGTCCTCTTTCAATGAATTTACTTAAGAATCATCTTAGGAACTTAGAATTCTGGGTCTACTGTACTTGTTTCAGGTATCTATAAAGCAAGGATAGTTTTCAAAAGTTTTTCTGGTGATGCTGATACTCAAATTAGGAATAAGAACTACTATTCTAAACAGTGGTCCCAGGCATATTTCTATGCAGCTTTAAAAGTCAGACGCATACTACATATGGGAGAAGTTTGCATAGGCCTTTGAGAGGTCTGGCATGTAGGATTTAATTTCACATCGTTTTGCATGATTCATTCTGTATAATTGCTAATATGCTATACAGTTTATTGCAATATTTTGTAGTATTTAAAATTAAATGGTTATTTTCGGCTTGTTGGAAAGTTCAGATAAAGAAATGTTAAATCCCTTGTCATTTTTCAGCGAGAGCTAGCCATAGTTTGATAGTTCATGATTTACTGAATTTCCTTCACTTTTCTTTCTGTATAAGGTTTGCTGCTTTTTAAATTATTACTTTCTAAGAGTTTACTATTCCCCAGCATTTGGATTCTCTCCAAATTTAACCCCTGAGTCTGTTAGTGAACTATTGTATTCCATCAATGACTCTGTAAGGCTCAGAGGGGAGTGGAGTAGGAAAGGCACTGAATTCACTAAAGGTCCAGGTATGCCATGTACAAGCGAGGGCCTATGCTCTAGTAATAGTAAATTTAGCTAAGGTTCTGATTGAACACACTTTCTAGAGATGCCTGGGGAGCTGAACTTACATTTTATTGTGTGAAGTAACTGGAGAGCTCTTAGAAAAATGAAATTGAACACACTGTATATAGCTTTCCTGTTTGCATCATATATATGTACAGCATGTGCAGATTCTTGCTGAGTGTTGGTGATGTCCATGCCTAGGAAAATAGAAGCATTAAAGCAGACCAGGGACATGGCTAGAAGACACATCATCGGAGGTAGTTGTTGGATGATGTGTAATACCTATAATGTCATTTGTGTTATTTTGACAGCTTTTTGTGCCAGAACCTCGCCCAGTTCCTAAAAATGATGTTGGATTTAAATATTCTGTGAAACATCGACCATTTCCTGAAGAGGTGGACAAGATTCCTTTTGTAAAAGCAGATTTGAGCATTCCAGATTTACATGAAATTGTCACTGAAGAAGTAAGACAAGTTACTGTTAGCTCTTCTTAAAAGGATAAATGCAGACATTTTTAGATGGTATATGTGGTCAGGTACAGCATTTAGTGTTAGGGAGAAGAGGTAGAAGATGACTTGTGTTTTTGTAGAAATTAGGAGATTTGACATAACAGAACATGGATGTGTAGATTTGGACCATTTGTTAAGAACTAAACATCTTTTAGAGACAGGATCCTTGGCAGCCTGGGATGTTTGCAGTAGATTTCAGTAATATGATAACATTACCAAACTCTGGTAGTAAAGGCAGTTATTTGGATAGTACAGGAAGTGGGGTTAGGATTGGAGAGAAAATCCTTGAAAGTGGCTCACATCTGAGGCGCAGGAGCATGGTCTAAGTAATTAAGGTTGAGGTGGTTGTATAATTAAGCCAGTTTGTTTGGAAGTATTTTCACACATGAGGAGGTAAAACTTTAAAGTAGGATTGATCAAAAGGTAAGGAATCCATATGGGTAAGTATTTTAAAACACAAGGATAGATACTGTAGAGTGAAGCTAACCATCTGGGGGTCCAGTGAGAAAACAGCTCTGCCCCTCCAAGAGCAGAGATAATAGTGTCCTTTACAGCCAGGAGATGAAGAAACAATTGGTTAGGGAAGAATTTTTGGATATAGGTCTAACTTTGAACCATGTTTGTTTAATCCTGTGCTTTGTATCTGAACATTATTTGAAACATAATGTTGATCAACAAAACTTATCATTTTCTTTGTTGCTTTATTTTTGTTTTAAAATTAAAAGAAGCTTACTTCATTTTAAGGAAATGCTTTAAAAATATCTGACTTATTTCAGTTAGAAGAGAGGCATGAAAAATTAAGGAGTGGTATGGCCCAGCAGATCGCTTATGAAATACACCTGGAACAGCAGAGCGAGGGAGAATTGCAGAAGCGAAGCTTTCCTGACCCTGTTACGGACTGTAAGCCCCCTCCTCCTGCTCAGGAATTCCAAACAGCCCGCCTTTTCCTTTCTCACTTTGGATTTTTGTCCTTAGAAGCATTGAAGGTAATTTTTAGAAAATTCTATTAATAAATATATTCATAAATTAATCACCTGATGTTTCATTTATGATTAATTAATAACTAATTATGATTAATTAACTAATTTATTTATAATTAACCAGCTGATGATAGCTATAATATTTTTATCAAAATGAAGAAAGGTTTAAAACAAGTGAACAAACAAAACCCCAGCTTATATACTCTGCATGCGAATCAGTGGAGTCCTGTGCTGCAGTTGTGTTCAGTGTGGACTCCAGGAAAGTACACCTGTGAAGGGATTACTCCAATGATGAGTTCAGATCTGAATTGGCTTTTTCATGTCACTCTGTAAAAGAATGAAGTTAATTCTGTAGTACTCTAAAATTTTCTTCTATTAATTTATATGTTTGGTCTTGGTTTATAGTTGTAATGATTGAATACAGGGCCATGCACATGCTAGGCAAGCACCCTGCCAGTAAGTTACGTCCTCAGTCCCAATTCTGTACTATTGCCATAATTCATAAGCCATATTCTTATGTTGTATAGTTGGTAAGACTAGCTAATCATTGTGGCTCGTGTTTATAATATGGAGACAAAAGTTCAAAACCAGCTTGTGCCACGTAGTGAGAGCCTGCTTTAAAAAAAAAAAAAAAGCCTGGGGCAATATACCCTAGTATTGTAGCTAGCTAAATGGGTAGTTAGGTAGATAACTTGCTCAGGGGTGGTAGAGAGCTGACTCTCAGAAGTTCTCCTCTGACCTTCACAAAGGTGTATGCATATACTTTACAAAATAAAAAAAAATTAACTGCAGTGTGAAATTAGGTGTGGCAGTGTGCATTTTTAATCCCAGCACTCTGGAGACAGAGGCAGTTAGATGTCTGTGAGTTTGTGGCCAACTTGTTCTACATAGTTGAGTTCCAGGTTAACTAAGGCTACATAGTGAGATCCTGTTTCAAAAATAAACAGTTAAACATACACGCAACCCAAGGAATGTGAAAATGCTCCATGTGCAGCTGAAATACTAACTCGAAATACATTTACCTTAAAACACACACACACACACAAACAAAATTTTGTGAAGGAGCTACAAGAAACATAACAGAAAAACAAAAATATGTGAAGACTGCTCACGTGGTGTCTACAGCATGCCCAACATCCACAGTTCCTCATACACAACTTCAAAGTAAAAGAGGAAAGCTGGGAAATCTGACTATATTTCAAGAAAAATCATTGAGTTGCAAAAATCTGAGCATACCTTTAATCCTAGCATTTGGGAAACAGAGGTCAGTAGATCTCTGAGATTGAGGCCAGCCTGATCTACATAAAAGAGTTCCAGAAGAGGCAGGTGGATCTCTGTGAGTTCGAGGCCAGTCTGGTCTATAAGGGCTAGTTACAGGATAGTCTCCAAAGTTACAGAGAAACCCTGTCTTGAAAAGCCAAAAAAAAAAAAAAAAAAAAATTCCAGATCAGATCAGGCAAGGATGCACAAGCAAGACCTCATCTCTAAAAATTGAAATAAAAATATCTGCCTTGAATTAGCCTGGAACTGTTTGTAGTCTTCTAATATGACTTCTCTTCTGTTTATATCAGGAAGATAATGTCTATGGTCAGTGTGTTTCCCAACCCTTAGTGGGAATTTTAAGTATCATATTAACTGATCAAGCTCAGAATCCCTACTGTGTGGAAAAAAAGTAATTCTTATCACCCCTGGGAGTGACTTTCCTAAAATAACAACAAAATCACTATGGTCAAAACCTTGCTTTGTTAAAATTTTGCTCGGCAAGATCAAAGATGATAAGGGATTAGAAGAAAAAATGAAACAAAATTGAATTTTAAAAGCTAATGGATTTTGTATTTTTCAAGAACTTTTAGGCTTATAGAACAACCAAGCAATAAGTGTAGGAGTCTCCTTTACACCTGCTCCCAGAGTTTTCTGTGTTAACACTTGCATCGATGTGTTTGCTACAGTAGATGAGCAAGTAATCATGGGTTACAAACTGAAGTCTCTAATTTACATTAGAGTTCAGTATTGTACAGGTCAATAGGTTTTGACAAATTGTTAAAACCTGTGCTTATCTTTGCAGTACTTCAAAAATATTGCGGGTTTTGTGTGTATATGCATGTATGGGCAAATGGATGTTCCCATGTGCAGAGTCCCCACTGCCACCGCAGATCTCTGTACACACTGGTCTCTGTGATATTTTCTGTGTTTTGTCTGTTCCATAATGGCATACAGTTGGAATCATGTACAGTGTAGTCTCACACTGTTATTTTTTCCACTTAGCAACAATGCACTTAAAATTCTTCCATGTCTTTTTAGGCTTTTATGTCATTCATTTTTATTAATAAGCAGTTTATCTATTCACCTATTGAAAAACATCTTGGCTGCCTGTACATGTTGGCAGTTATGAATGAAACTGCTATAAAGTTAATGTCCATCATTTCCTGTGGTTATGTTTTTCTCTCATTGGGGAAAAATGGCAAAGTATGAAGTTGCTACATTGTATTTAAGACAGTATGTTGGCAAGAAACTGTCACTTATCTTCCAAAGTAACTGTGCTGTTGCATCTGTATGAGCAGTGGATGAGTTTTTAAAATACATTTTAAAAAGTTCTACATGGGCTGGAGAGATGGCTCAGCTTTTAAGAGCACAGGCTGTTCTAGATGATACAGATGCGAATGCCCAACACCCACATGGCTACTAACAACCTTTATCTGTAACTCCAGTCCCAGAGTATTCTATGTCCTCTTCTGGCCTCCATGGACACCAGGCACACATGTAGTGCACATACATACATGTAGGCAAAATAACACATGTAAAATAAAATTAAATCTCAATTTTTTTTTTACATTTTATAAAGCATATTCTAGAGAAAATAAGCTCTCAAATTATATATACTCTGTAACCTCAGTTGTCTGAAGCAGATAAAAATAGCTTGAAGCATAAACACATTAAGCAGTTTCTTTAGGATCATGGTTGTATTTGTTTCTGCTATATTATAATTTTTCATTTAATTTTTATTAAAATAAGAAAAAGTGGTTGTGGTGACAAACGTCTGTAATCCTAGTACAGGCTGAACTAGAAAGAGTGCAAGTTCAAGGACAGCCAAGACCACATAGTGAGGTGGAGGCTACTCTGGCTGCCAAGTTGTACTGAGACACTGTACTAGAATGGATGACACCACCAAACTGTAAATGCTGCATCATGATTGGAGTAACGCCGTGGTAACAATTGTTCCTCTCTCATTGGACAGGAACCCGCAAATAGTCGTCTACCTCCTCACCTTGTTGCACTCGATTCTACCATACCTGGTTTTTTTGATGACATTGGGTATCTGGATCTCTTGCCATGTCGTCCTTTTGACACAGTTTTTATTTTCTACATGAAACCAGGTCAGAAAACAAATCAAGAGGTAAGAATTCTGAATTTTCCCTCTTTTGTGTTACAAACATACAGGACTTTATGTCAGCTGTTTGTACTTGGCATGAGGATTTTGTATTCTGTGCTTACGACTTGTTTCATTTAGAAACTGAGTGCTCATGACCCTGAAGCCTGGTGTCCTGAGCCTTTCTATCCTCAAGAAGCATAGTGTGGGCTCCTTTTTCTTAAGGAATTCATACTCACAGGCAAAGGAAACTAAAACCCCTAAAGGTTAGCCACAGGGAGCCAGAGCTAGGCCTGAAGCTTCAGAAGACTGCAGTCGTAAACTCTTCCTGGCCATCTTCCCTGGGGCTCATGCCAGGTAGAAGCGAGCAGCAGGCTTTCTCCTTACAGGTAATCTCACACTAAGCCATTTCAGCTGAGGTAAAGCATAGACCGTGCTAAAGTAAAACACAGTTGGATATGGGTGACAGGAAAGACTAGGAAGGTGAAGGGATGTATAATATAGGTGAGGATGGAGAGCTGAGAGACATGTCAGGGAATCTGAAGTTTCTGTTGGAAGCAAGTATTGAAACATGGGCTAGACGGTAGCTGTGACTAGAGGAGGGTCAAAGGAAGATGTTTGGGTGCTGTGACCATGATTGGAATTGCAGGATCATTAACCTGTCATTAAATTAACACACCACACCTGTAGAAATTTACCAACGTTACAGAATGTTTCCATAAGAAGCACTGTCTCAAATTGTGCATTAATGAGCCGCAAATTAGTGAGTTCTTGAGAAAGTTTTCATTCATGTTTCTGACTCAGCACACACTGATTAAGTTTGTCCTCTCTGATAGGCTCCAGGGTTATAGGTAAACAGGATCTAGAAGACCATAGAATTTTCTAAGGGAAGGCAGCTACTGAAGTAGCACTCATAGTTTAGCATGTTAATATGGGTGTTAAATTCTGCCTCAGGACCCTGAGAGACCTAATCTGATTTTAAGGTTCTGAGACAAGGCTATTTCCGCAATTTCTGAGTATACACTGACTATAGCATAGATTCTCCAGAGGTAAAGAGTGTATACATCTTTATGAGATTCATCATGGTACCAGTAGTATGCTTGGAGCTTTGAGAAGAGAGAATGGTGGCAGCCAGCAATGAGACTTTGTGTTAGTTTGTTAAAACCCTAGTAAATTGGATTAGTAAGACTAGGGTGATGCTCACATGAAAGTATGGTGTTGTGTGATGATTTACTCTTTCAGCTTTTTGAGGGGCCTACTACTCAGCTCCCAAATAAATCACACACAGAGGTTTATTCTTAGTTATGAATGCCCAGCCTTAGCTTGACTTGTTTCTTGACAGCTTTTCTTAAATTATTCCATCTACCTTTTGACTCTGGACTTTTATCGTTCTCTCTCTTTTTTTTTTTGTATACCTTTCTTTACTTCTTTTTCCATGGCTTTCTGGGGTAGCTGGCTCCTGGTGTCTTCCTCCCCTTGTTTTCTTGCTTCTCCTCTTCCTTGGTTCTCCTTTTATTTATTCTCTGCCTTCCAACCTCACCTATCCTTGCTCCTGCCTTGTGATTGGCTGTTCAGCTCTTTATTAGCCATAAGGTGTTTTAGACAGGCAAAGAATCACAGCTTCATATAGTTAAACAAATGCAGCATAAACAAAAGCAACACACCTTAAAATAATATTTCCCAACAGTATGGGGCAGTTTATCTCTTATCATAAAAGAGGCTCTGAGGCACTTCCTGATCCATTTAGTTTCCTTGGGCTTCTGGGAGCTGTGGGTGATCAGGAAGCTAAAGATTTCTGGAGACTTCTTAAGAATATCTGAATTCTTTCTCTTCCTAGCCAGTGGAGATTATTTTCTGGCTGCTAGCAGGTGAGCTGCAAGATGTATTTGAATCACTTATTGCTTGACTAAAATTTCACAAGTTTTTTGTTTATAGACTTCACATCCAGTCAGGCTACAGTGTAAGATCAAAGCTTTAAAGAGAGCTGGGGTTATATAGTGAGACCCTGTTTCCTAACACCAAAGGAGGGGCAGGTGAGATGCTCCATGAATAGAGAAGCTAAACAAGTCTAGTGGGCTGAGTTCGATCCCTAGACCTACACGAAGGAGAAAATGACTTCCATAATTGTGTTTTGACACTTCTACATGCATGCTATGGCAATTTGCACACTCTTGCACTTTCTCTTTTTTGTTCTCTGGCTTTCTCTCACACAGTATTAAGTAAGTAAATAAATAAATACTAAAAGAGAATTTGAGAGAGCTATGGGTAAATAAAACAAATAGACTGAGAAATAATGACTAACTTCCTGCCCCCCATTTTTTGCTTTTCTAGGCATGTGAGCAGGGTATTGCCATCAGCATTGTATAAGTGACTAGAGATTTATGGATGAGCTGCTTCAGTCATATGAGAGGAGCCCTTAAAAATATGGCAATTTTAGGATCTTGTTTTTGCTAACATTCTAGGCCTGGGGCAAGCTAAGGGAAGTCTTACTTTTAGAAAATTCTCCAAATGGTTTGGCATATTCTTCTCTGCTTTTTCACTTTTACTTTGGAAAGGAATTCCTTATTTTCCTACCTTTAGAACTGAGAGCTTAAGAGCAGCTGTTTCTCTGTTGTGGCAGCTGCCCAGTGTATTTCAGATCAGTGAGCAGCGTCTTTGGCCCTGAATCCCAGCATTGTTCTATCACTGTGTCTTGGTTTTTTTTTCATTTACTGTGATAAAATACTCTAACAAAAACAACTTAAGAAGAAGGGCTTATTTAGCTCATAGTCCAGGTCCATTGTGTCAGGGAAGTTGGAAGCTATAAGGGGCTGGCCACATCTCACCCATACTCAGGACCCAACCATGAATTCATGCAGGCTTGTATTTTTTTCCTCCTTTACATCAGTCCAGAATTGTGCCCATGAATGGAACGTCCTGCGCCAAGGTGGGTCTTCCCACCTCAGTTAACCCATTTAGAAAATACCTTGTTAGGTGGCAGTGATTCCAGCACCTTGGAGGCAGAAGCAGGTAGATCTCTAGTGAGTTCAAGGCCAACTTCATCTACATAGTAAGTTTCAGGATAGCCAGGGCTACATAGTAAAACCCTGCCTAACAAATAAAGAAATAAAGACCCTTATAGGCGTGCCCATAGATCACCCTAATCTAGACAGTTCTTGAGATTCCTTTCCTAGATTTTGTCAAGTTGACAATTAACACAAACCATCATACTGTGACAGTCAAAAACATCTCCAGGCTTGCCACTATCGTTTTGACCTCCAGGAGAGAATGACTTTTAATTTTTTTTAAATTTAATTAATTTTTTGCCCGTGGCCATCCATATGCCATGGTATGTAGGTGGAAGGTCAGAGACCAACTTGTGGGAGTCTGTCCTCTCCTTCCACCATGTGGGTTTCTGGGATCAAATTCAGATCATCGGGCTTAGTAACAAGATCTGTTATGCACTGAGTTATTTTGCCAGCCTCAAAACCTGTTGAGAATGAAAGTTTCCCCTCTTTGTGGCTACTTTGTTTTCCTGTACTTCCTGTCTTCTTGTCTTTGGACTAAGGAAAGGGCATTCTTGTATTCATTTATTAGTTATACCTCATCTTTATTGAGTTTGCAGTAGGCTTATAGTTTTGTTTCATTTCTCAAGGCTGTCACCACGCACCTGTTTTACATTTCTCATTGACAGACTGCCAACTGTGAAGTCAGGGACATTTAATAAATGTTTACTTTTAATAAATAGGTCTGCCTCAGTAATCGTTTTGCCATAGGGATAGTTTAGGATTTTACTTACTTCATCTCTTAATCTTCATAACCCTCATAATCCCCATTTTACTGTGGAGAAACAGAGACAAGGACCAGCCAGTCCAGCCAACCAACTCCAGAACACACATTTTCACTGTGGGTCATATATTCCCCAATTCACTCTGAACTGGGTCTTGATTTGTCAAAAGTGTCAAAGCTCATTAGTTTTCACGTGTGTTTATTTTACAATATCCTTGTATTCCCTTCGTAACTGATGCTTCCTGTGTATTTCAGATTTTAAAGAACGTGGAGTCTTCCAGAAATGTTCAGCCACATTTCCTAGAATTTTTGCTCTCCCTTGGCTGGTCAGTAGATGTGGGCAGGCATCCTGGTTGGACAGGACACGTGTCCACCAGTTGGTCAATTAATAGCTGCAATGATGGTGAAGGGTCTGAACAAGGTAAAGCTCATAAATAGCTGTTGTTTCTTGTTTGTTCCTCCCTCCCATTTCCCATGAATCCTTTAGCATTTTAAACAGTTTATATCATGGAAAAGTCTCCTTTCCTCAGTTCTAGTCTTCTTAGGGTCACGTTTAGTTTGTATATTCTCTTTTTTTAAAGTTATCTGTTTTGTGTAGGAGGGTTGGGTAAAGAGGGTACAAATGTACCTATGGATGTCGGAGGACATCCTGAGGGAGTCTGCTCACTCCCACTGTTGTGTGAGTTGCAGGTATGAACTCAGGTCAGTTGTAGGCAAGAACCATAACCTTCAGAGCCATCTTGCTACCCTAATTTGTCTAGTTTTATAGGTATTTCCTTTGTGTAGGGTAAACTAATACAAAATTAATTAACTACTTACTATTTACTGTGCTGATGTGTTTCTTTTTATATGTAAAGAAACAAATACAACTTCTTATATTTAATAAGTCTAAAATGTATCTAATAAATAATAGTTTCTTAACAAATGACTGTTTTTTCTACTAACAAGATTTTTTTTTTTTTTTTTTTTTTTTTTTTAGAGGGAGAGAGACACTCCCTGTGTATATACCAGGCTATCCTAAAACTCACAGAGGTCAGCCTGTGCCTCACTGTCCTGGGAAAAAGAATGTTTGATAGACTTTTACTCACTAAACCAATCTTATTGGCCCTGGCTTAAACTTTGAAGATCATTTATTTCTCCATGGGACCAAGAAATTCCATATTGTTTGAGTGTTTTATGTAATTATCAGCACAAAAGCACTCATTTTATTTGTAATTTTCCTTTAGATCTGTTCTCTGAATTTTTTTTCTTAATTCCTACTTGTCTTCTATTACGCTAAAGAAAGGCAGTATCAGACTTTACATACAACGTAGCCTGGAAAGGAGAATAACTGAGCTGGAGTCTTTTTTCTCCCTAAGCCCGACTCGATAGAGAAATTGTGTTTAGAGTCTGTTCCAGAGTAGGGTCAGGCAGAGTAGCTGCTGGTGCAATAACCAGAGCAGATGCAGAGTGCTCCCGAGAGTCTCAATTGTGGCCTGGACCTAGTTTTGTAAGTAGAATGTTATTGGAACTTAACCATACTCCCATTTGTGAGCTGTACATGATTGCTCTGGTCCTACAGTGACAGGATGGTTGTAGCAGAGACATATTCCCTGCATCAAATATTCTCTGTCTGGTCCTTTGCAGAAAATAGATGTCAACCTCTGCTCTAAACTTCTTGCTTACCACATCTTCACCAGCGTTAAGTATCCTAATATGTTAGGTGAAATCTTAGTTTTGTGATTGGAAAAGTAAGCATGTTTTCATATATTCCTTTCCTGAAATCTGTGCCATCTTCCTGTGAAGGTCCTGACACTATGTCATATTGATTATTATATATTCATTGTAACTAAGACTTAGACTAGTTCAGACTGTTGGGACTCATTTTGGTGTAGAGCAGATACTTCTAAACTCCCTGTGTGTTTTTACATCACTGATTACCAGAGGAGAGAGAGCAGAAGCAGAGCTGAGGAGCAGTAGAGTGTAATTTCACAAACTAGAAAATTATTACATGAAGTTATTATAAGGACACTTAACCAATACTCATGATGTTTTGTTCTTCTCACCTACAAATTAATTCTCTTTGGGACTGCCATTGCTTTATAAAGTGACTGGAATGCATGAACAGGAGGTGAAGGTGCCCAACTTTAACTTTACTGATACATTGTTCCTTAATCCCAGATGAAGTAACTTCCTCTGAAGATGCTGGGGCTAGCATTTTCAGTGGGCAGAAGAAGGTGCTGTATTATGCTGATGCCCTGACGGAAATAGCTTTTGTGGTTCCTTCTCCTGTGGAGTCCTTAAGTAAGAACATGTTTTTGCATAGTGCTATTTTAAGATCTGTTTGTATATTCACTATTTGGTGTGTTATGCATTGGAGGAGATTTTTGAAGTCATCAAAATGAAGGCATTCTTTAGCTTCTAAGCAAGGATGTTATAACTAGATTATACACAAGTATGAGAGCTATCATCTCATAACATTCTCTAGTGTGTTAGTTACTTTTCTGGTACGATGACCAATATCTGACAGAAATAACATAAGAACCAGACTGAAACATTCAGGCTATCATGATGGAAAAGACATGGTGGAGTGGCTTAGTCCATGGCAGTGGAAACATGGACAACTTCTTACATTATGGCATACTAGGAAGCAGGGACCAGGGCCCAAACCAGCAGCCAGACTATAACCTCAAAAACCCCCTTCCCAATCACCTACTTCTGCTGGCTGAGTACCACTTCCTAAAGGTTCTGCAGTCTCCCAAGACAGCACCAATAACTGGAAAGGAAAGGACTTAAAATAGGAACCTACAAGCAATATTTCAGATTCTACTTCACTACTCTGTCTCTAGCTTGATGCACAATGCTTCAGTCCAGCTCTTAAGAGTTGCCACAATGTAACATGAAAGGCTGGCTTATTTGGGTTTTCTGCCCTGCCCAGTTCCCCCAGCTGTTTAGTCCCAGAGAAAAATCAACCACACAGAGGACTCTATAAGTTATAATGCTGATTGGCCCATTAGGTCAGGCTACTTATTAACTAACTCTTACATCTTGATTAACCCATTTTATCTGATCTATTTTTAGCCATGTGGCTCAGTACCTTTTTCAGTGGGGCAGCTCACATCCCACTGCTTCGGTGGCCTGGGCAGGAATGGGAAGAATCAACTTCCTCCTCTCCAGAATTCTCCTGCTCTCCTTGCATCATTTCCACTTCCTGTCTAGTTTTCCCGCCTACATCTCCTGCCTGGCCAATCAGCGTTTATTTAAAACATGATTGACAGAATACAGACAATTCTCCCACACCACCACAATACTAACAGTTTCCACACCATTAAAAATTCCATGTCTCTTCTCAGACCCTTGGTAGCTCTCAGCTGCAAGCCCTTGTTAAATAAAAAATTACATATGTCTGATATAGAGTGACACAGAGTAAAACATTCCTTTCCTAAACTAGGGAGTAAGAAAATAGCCAAGAAAGATGGGGCTGAAGCAGGACCTAATCCCAAAAGTCTAAATACTAAATCATGTAACTATGTGTCTGGCAGTTTGAGAACATTGTTATGCTGTATGAACTCATAAGACTTGACCATCCCTGCCCCTATGTCCTTGGCAGTTGTAGAACATTGTCAAGTCCCTCTTAGTCTGACTATTCCACCTGTAACTTTTCTTGACAAAACCTCCCTTGTGCCTGACATCCTGTAATCTCCGTTGTAACTTTGGTCACAGCCTGCTTTAGAGCTTCTTGCAGGGTTTCTTACCCCATGCTACACTGCCTGGCCTCACAGGCACATCTCAAAGACGGGATAAAACCTCCATAACTCCACAAATCTTTTGAGACAGCATCTCTCTGTAGCTTAGGAGCCTTCCATCTTATTCCAGCGGTTGAGGCCTAGCTGTCTTATGAGTTAAGTACCTGTCTGGTTATTTTGGTCGAACAGCCTGCACCAGCCAGTCTTCCCAGACCTAGAGCCTTCTTCACTCACACGGTGGCTTCCTACAATTGGTTCTTAGCCTACAATCATGATATATGCCTAATACCACTTGCCATTTGTGCTGTTACTCAGCTTCTGGTGATACTCATATTCCAGGACAAGAAAGAAGGCTCTGATTTGAAGTGTTTATTGCTCTTTGAGATGATCTGGGTTTGATTTCCTGTACCTATGTGGTAGCCTACAACCATCTGTAACTCCAGTTCCAGGGAATCCAATGCCCTCTTCTGACTTCCTTGGACACCAAGCATATATGTAGTACATATACATATCTGCAGGCAAAACATCTGTTTGCATAAAATAAAATATCTCTATTTTCCTGGGTTTTTTGTTCATTTCTTTTGTTTTTTTACTACCACCAGATTGTACTTTAACTTCAGACTAGGTCCTTGGTAGCTTTCAGGTGTCTCAGTGTCTACTTAGGATGATACTTTTGATTGATATATAAATGATTCAGAGAATAACAGATAGCTTTGATTTTATAATTTTCTTGTCTTAGTTATATCCTGTAGAACAGGAGATGACAAACTATAGTGCATAAACAAGATTTAGCCAAGAATGGGCTTTATGTGGTTATTAAAGATTAAAATGTTTCTTTTATGTGTATGAATGTTTTACTTGCGTGTATTATGTGCACTTCATGCTTGTCTTTTGTACTCATGACAGCTAGAAAAGGGCAGGGAGCCCCTGGAACTGGAGTTACAGATGGTTGTAAGTACCTTGTAGGTCCTGGGAACCAAACCCCATTCTTCTGCAAGGGTAGCCATTGCTTTTAACTGCTGAGCTGTCTCTTCAGTCCCAAGTTTTACCTTTTTTCAAGTATTATAAGTAAAGTCCAAAGAAGAGTGTGCTGCAAAGGCTTCTATGATCAGCAAACCCTACTCTAAGGTCACCTGCTCCTTCATAGAATGTCTGCCAAGACTTGCTGTGGAAGCAGTGCTTGGTCTTCAGTTACTCAGGGTACTTAGATTAGACAGTTAACAGGGTACTAGTTAACATAATTAAATTTCTGCCCAAGAGAAGTAGCAAATATAATTTTTTTCTTGTCTTGCAGCCGATTCTTTGGAAAGTAATACCTCAGACCAAGATAGTGACTCAAATATGGATCTTATGCCTGGAATTCTGAAGCAGCCACCCCTGACACTTGAGCTGGTCCCCAATCACACAGACAATCTTAATTCCTCACAGAGGGTAAGTTGTTTTATTGATTCACCCACCCCAAATTTTGTGGTAAAGTGGCAGTAATTATAGAACCAATCTGAAAGTTTCTCAATTTTTGTAATGTAGAAGGTATAGCAAGACTATTGATTCATTAACTGAAATATTTTAAAATGAATTCTTGAATTTTTCATTTTTCTAATCTATAATAAATAGTTGGCCCTACATTTTCCTTGTTTTTGACATTCTGCTTCAATGGTCAGTTCTCTCACTCACTCCTGTGTAAGCTGAGGCTTTCGGTATCCACTAAGCATTGCAGCAGGAGCTGTGTGTAGCTTTTGTACTCACGATCCAGCTAAGAACTGACTGCAAAGCCATAGCATTTGCAGACTCTAAGAACTGCAGTTCTCCTTTGTCTGTTGCTTTCCTTTCAACCATTTTATGACCCATGTGCAACTATAGTCTAAAAATATTTAAAGGAAAATTTCAGAAATAAGCAATTTGTAAGTTTAAAATAATGTAGTATTCCAAATAACTTGGTGAAATCTTGCAAAATCCTGTTTCTTCCAATCTAAGATGCTAATCATTCTTTGTTCAGCATCTGTATGCTTTCCCACCTCTGCCCTCACTTTAGCTTTGGTTTGGTGTCATGGAATGTAATACTGCAATGCTAATGTTAAAGTTAACAATGCCTAGCATTTTGTCACAGTGTTTTACTGTGGCTCATGTGGGCGTCGCATCACCTTGGTATCATCGCAGGAAGAGGAATGATTATAGCATGGTAAGCTTTCATGAAGGAAAGAGAGACCAAATTCACATAGGCTTTTATTGAAATATACTTTATTTGTTCTGTTTTATTGCTGTTGTTACATTTACTTCAAGGGTGTTTCTCTCTCCTCTGTGTGTGTGTGTGTGTGTGTGTGTGTGTGTGTGTGTGTGTGTGTGTAGTTGTACACTAGAAAAGAATATGTATAGGATTGGGTAGTAACTGTGGTTTCAAGAACCCATAGAGAGTCTTTGAATGTATCCCCATGGATAAAGGTGGGGTGGTGGCTACTGTTTATATGACACACAACTGCTACTGCATATGAAAACCTTTTGCTTTTATACTTACCAGCCGATTTTATTTTTTTATCTGTGTTTACCCCCTAATCTTTATTTTTTTTGAAAGTAATTTTATTAAGTTATAAAAGTTTCCATTTACCCCCCTAATCTTTATTGAAAAATGACTTAAGTGGTAACAAAAATACACAATCAGGCTGATTGATTTCAAACAAATAATTTAAAAGATGAAGTGTAAATCTGACCAAAGTCATTCCTGAATATAAATTCAGGAATAAATAGAATTTTAGTTTGGTTCATTCCAAAGTGAAAATTATTACTCCCCCACTCCTCTGCCCCCAGTACTGGGGTTAAGCTTAAAGACTCTCACATGCTGGGGGCTGGAGAGATGGCTCAGCGGTTAAGAGCATAGCCTGCTCTTCCAAAGGTCCTGAGTTCAATTCCCAGCAACCACATGGTGGCTTACAGAATATTGTATGCATAATAAATAAATAAATATTTTGAAAAAGACTCTCACATGCTAGCCAGATGTTCTCCCATTAAGCTATATTCTCAGTCTTATTTTTATTTTGAGACAGGATCTACTAAGTTGCCCCAGATGACCGGGAACATATTGTGTAGCCCAGGCAAGCCTTAAACTTCTTCTGCCACAGCTGCATCACTAGGTATAACTATGAAGATTGTTTTTAGCATAGATACATGCTTAAGAAAGGTCTCCACTATTAAAATTATTTAGTAAAAATATCAAGTTATATGACTCCTAATAATAGACTGATTGTAAACTTCAAGAGGTTAAGAGGCCCCATAGAATACAGTTTGAAAGGAATAGAGAATACAGACATTCAGTGGCTGCTTGCCCTAACCCTCTTAAAGCATCTTGCTTTTTATCATATATTCTTTTCAGATTAGAAAATAAACCAAAAAACCTGTTTAACACTTGCCAGTGAGGAGACAGTCTCAGCACCCTGAACAGAAGTGAGCCTCTTTAACATAATAAAGCACACTGACTAGACAACAGCTAGCATCCTGTTTGCAGATGGAGACCTCTTTCTCCTGCTTCTTGGTGGAAAAGTAGAAATCTAACACAGAGAAGTAAGACAAAATGCATAAAAATCAGAAAGCAAAGAGTAAAACTGTTATTTGCTGATGGCTTGACCATGTGCAGGAAACCTTATGGAATCTCCACTGGAATCTAAGTGAGTTTAGCAGGACTGCAGGAAAGAATGCCATTGTGTTGACCAAGGTTTGAAGATGACACCCGGTGATCCTTGCTCTGTGTCTTTCTCACCTGTTATGATAAAAAAAAAACCAAAACCTGTGAATATGATATGTACCCTGTTGAGAAAAATCTTCTCCGCTGGCACACAGAAATCCAATCAAAATAGATTAAACCAAATTAAAATGTCCATATTTTTAATAAATGCAGCACTCTTGGATGTCTGAGAGCATGGCAGGGAGACAGAAAACCAGGGAACACATGCAAAACCCGGGACCACTTGTTCCTCCTCTGGGCGCCCACTTAAATACCCTGTGGGAATGATCTTGACCCTCCTCCGGGGAGGGGTCAGGACCTGGCATGCTGGGATTTGTAGTCCAGATATACGCAACTCCCAGGCTGGGGGCTGGGATGGATACTAGGGGTTGGGGTGACACTCCCAACTTAACATCACATTCTGTCATTCCTGCCATGCTCTTGGCCACCCGAGAGTGCTGTATTTACTGAAACATGGGCATTTTAATTCAGTTTAATTTGGCCTGATTGGATTTCGGTGCACCGGCAGAGAGAATTTTTCTTAACATACCCAATGATTGTGTATGATTTATGGCAAAGGGAGTTTGGGGATGTAATTAAGATTACTTTAAGGAGTCATAAAGTAGGTGATCTACAGAAACCTGACCTAAACAGAGAAGACATGTCAGTCTTGGGCTACAGCTCAGAGGTAAAGATAGTAGCTTATTAAAAACTACTCTGCTATGAGAGTAGTTTCTGGATATGCTTGGATTTGTTTGAGAGAAATCTTTATTTTCTGTGATACCAGATAGAAATAAGAATCTGGGGGCTTGGGCTGGAGGAGAGATGGCTCAGGGGTTAAGAGCACTGGCTGCTCTTCCGAAGGTCCTGAGTTCAATTCCCAGCAACCACATGGTGGCTCACAGCCATCTGTAATGAGGTCTGGTGCCCTCTTCTGGTCTTCAGGCATACACACAGACAGAATATTGTATACTTAATAAATTAAAAAAATAAAAACCATTTATGTTTAAAAAAAAAAGAATCTGGGGGCCTGTCATGGACTCTGGTCATATGGTAATATATTTGATATACCTGTTTCTATCCTAATAAAGCAGTTTTAGTTTTAAAATTGAATTTAACTATGGAATTCGTGCTCCTGAACATAGGAACTCTGTTGATGTTATTAGCACAAACATAGTTTTATATGTGTCATGCGTGTGGTATGGTTTAGAGTGCCAGTGTGCTAAAGGGCATTCACATAGTCTGTTAACCTTGCAAAGAAACTTCAAGCTGACTTGGTGAGCCAGGCATCGTGAAACATGCCTGTAATTCGTGTGTTCAAGTGGTAGAAGCAGAAGAATCAGGACTTAGGGCCAACCTTAGCTACATGTAAGTCTGAGGCCATGGTGGGTTACGTGAGATCTGTGTCAAAAGTAGATAAAAGTGATGGGCCAGTTACTGTCATACTCTATACCTTCTCAGCTGTCTCCTCTCTACAGGTTTTCCTCTTTCGGTGTTGTGTGTCATTTTAATAGGCTAGCTCTATCCTGCTCTTTTCTTTTCCTGTTTAAAATATTTCTCTTTTCTGTACTCTATTCTTTTCTTTAAGCTTTTCCCCCAAAGAATGTTGACTAGCCATCTTGACAGGATCTCTGGGAATGTCCAAAGTGTTTTGATTGAATTCCATTTTTGTTGTTTTTAAGACTTATTTTATTTTTTGTAAATGAGTATTTTGCTTGTTTGTATGTATGTGCACCATGTGCATGTCTGGTGCCCAAGGAGCCCTGAAGAAAGTGTCGAGACTCTGGAATTGGCATTACAGATGGTTGTGAGATACATGTAGGTGGTAGGAATCAAATCCAGATCCTCTGCAAGAGCATTAAGTGCCAACGAGCCAAACATCTCTACAGCCTCTTGGTTGTATTTTCAATAACAAACAAAAACCCCAGCAACAGGTAGCATTCTAATTCCAAATGAGTGCTGGGCTTGTGCTTGATCACCAGTCAAGCAGAGGAAAACCACATCTCCTGTCTCTAGTCTCCCCTGAAAACACTTCCTCAGAAAGAATAGCAATGCTTTCTAAAAGATAAAACTAAAAATAAATTCAACCAGTAACTTAAACACAGATGTGCAAGTTCCAGTACAAAAACATAAGTAACGTGGAAAACCAACACAATATAACGTCTAAATACCACTAATCCAAACTGGGCAGTGGTGGCTCAGACCTTTAATCCAAGCATTCAGGTGGCAGAGGCAGGTGGATCTGTGAATTTGAGGCCAGCCTGGTCTCCAGATTGAATTCCAGGAGAGCGATGACTACACAGAGAAACCCTGTCTTGAGGGTAAAAGAGAAAAAGAAAAATCACTAATCCATGCTGGTCAAGGTGGCACATACCTTTAATCCCAGCACTGGTAAGCAGATCTCTATCACTTCAAGGCCAAACAGGGTACAGTAAGACTTTTGTCATGAAAAGAAGAAAAAAAAATCACTGATCCCTCAGTAATAGCCGACAGTAAAAGAGAATCACATGAAATCCTAAAGAACTCAAAGAATGACTAAGTATATTTAAAAATGGGCTAGATGTGGTGGTGCATCCCTTTAATCCCAGCACTTGGGAGGCAGGGGAGGCAGATCTCTGTGGGTTTATGGCCTGCCAGGGCTAAAATGAGACCCTGTCTCAGGGGTGGGGGGTGAATTAAAGAAGACACAAATTCCTGAATGAAGTCTAAGAAAAACAAAACAAAACAAACAAAAAAGCTCAGTTGACTGAATGAGAAAGCTAATAGAGGAGCCTGTGGATTGGCACTGGTAAGACTACTTGTCACCACACCTGACAACCTGAGTTTGATCTCTGTGACTTACATGGTGTGGGAAGAGAACTAACATTCACAAGCTGTCCTCTGACCTCAACATACATGCTGTACCATGGTCATAAAAAATAAATGTTTTTAATTGACACAGTCAATTCAGGTTATGAAAGAGAATTCAATAAAGAGAAATACTAAAAAAAACCCATTGAAATACTGGAAATGAAAACCACAGTAAGATGAATAGAAAGCTCATGAAAAGCATTATGAACAGAAGTGCTCAAAGAGAACATCAGAGTTTGAAAACAAGATAGAGAAATTGGGACACTGAACATTGGCAAAGATTAAATTAATAAGAAAATAATTGCAGTACTTTGAAGATGTATGTGATACCATGAAAAGGCCAGATTTAATAAGTATCATGGGCAGAGAGAACAAGAATTTCATTCTAAAGACATAGAAACCATTTCAGTACAATCATAACGTTTCCCAAAACTAGAGAAAGAGATGCTAGTCCAGATACAGGAAGCATGTAGAATAGGAGAGTAGACTAGAAAATGAACCTAGTCTACTATGAACCTATGTGATATGAATCCCATATCACAGTGTGATTACATCACTAAATATACAGAACAGATGAAACGAACTGGGCTGGGGAGGTGGCTCAGTGGGCAAAGTGGTGGCAGGAGTGCTGAGTACCATCAGGTCTGTGTTTAAAAAATACATTCACAAGGATATCAGAGCGACCAAACTCTTAGTTAAGCAAGAGAGAGATAGAAAACACCATTCTAAGGCCAACAAAATGAGAGGGATTAATACTGTCCTCTTAATAATACTTTTTAATAGTATGGTCTCATTTCTCCAGTCAAAACACAGACAACAGTTTGAATTTTAAAGAGGGATTTGTTGCCACCAAGAAACACACCACAAAAAACACAACCATAAAAAACTAACTTCCTTAAGATTAAAGGATGGAGAAAGGTAGTCCACTAAAATGGAACAAACAAACAAGCCTTTGTTTTCCTAAATCTGATAAAAGTATACTTGAAACCAAAACTAGTCAGAAGAGTTCCTCCATACTCTTCAAAGGAACAGTCCATTAAAGGGACATTCTAATTCTAAAACATACATTGAAAATGAGTGCACACAGTTTCATAAAGCAAGTACTACTAAATGTAAATTCACACATTAACCTTATCATAGTAAAGTATCCAATATTCATCATTTGGACATGTTATCCCAACAAAAAGTAAATAGAAGAACAAATCATCCATTAGGTTATACTTTAACAAGTGTAAAAATACTAATGGCAGACAAAATGCTTGACTAATGAAAAAGTCACTAAAGAAATTAGGAAATACAAAAATCTCTAGTATCAAAAATGGAAACACAAATACCAAAATGTGGGGTACAATGAAAGCAAGCCTAAGAGGAATATTATAGCTGTAAGTGCCCACACATATAAGAAATCAAATAAATTTCAGATAAACAGTTCACCTTAAGATTTTGGAAAAATAAGAAAAGACCAAACCTACAATCACTAGACAGAAAAAAAATTAAGATCAGGGCAAAAATTGGTGAAATGGAATCAGAAAAACAAAGAATCACTGCAGCAAAGAGTTGGTTCTTCCAGAAGATGGACAAAGCTTCATTCAGCCAAGCTGATGGAAAGAGAGAAAGGCAGGTGTTGTGGTGCACGCCTTTAATCCCAGCAACTGGGGAAGCAAAAGCAAGTGGGTCTCTGAGTTTGAGGCCAGCCTAGTCTACAAAGTGAGTTCAAGGACTGCTAGGGCTGTTACATAGAGAAACCTTATCTGGAAAAACAAAAAGAAGAAAGAAGAGAAATCATAAATGACTAAAACTAGAAACCTAAGTGAAGTAACTGGTTCTTACAGATAACAGTGAAATTCAGAAAATCATCAGGACAAGGCTTAAAAACATGTATTACACAGAAAACCTAAAAAGCATGGACACTTTTTAGGTACATAGGGCATACCAAAATTAAATCAAGGTGAGGTCACTTTAACAGATTTATAACAAGCAACGTTGTTAAAGGACTTAAAAAGAAAATCTTTCCTAAAAGAGAGCCATCCTGGATTAGCTTTGCTGCAAAATCTGCTGACTTGTAAAGAACTAACACAGTGTTTCTCAGGCTGTTAACAACAGGAAGCACAGAATACTCCAGAACTGGTTTCTTTTCTGATGCCAGAACAAGATACAGACATACAGACACAACTAAAGGACGATAGACCAAGCTACCTAGCTGCAAAAAAATCTCAACAAAATATTTGCATTCCCAAATCAAGATTGCATTGAAAAGATCATTGGCTTTGATCAAGTTATCTTTATTCTAGAGATTTAGCTGTAGTTGTACATACAAAAATCAATAAATGTAATAATACGCTATGTAAACATTTTCTAAAGGGTAGAAATCAGATGATCATCTCCATAGATTCAGAAAAGCCTTATGACAAGATCTGAACCCCTTCATTATGAAGAGATGGCTCAGTGATTAAAAGCAACTGCTGCTCTTGCCGAGGACTGACTTTGTTTTCAGCATCCATGTTGGGTGCTATCGCCACAGTTCCAGGGAATCCAGTGCCCTCTGCTGTTGTCCTTGGGCACCCACACACAGACACACAGATACATAAATAAACCTTTAAAAAGAAAACAGATGCATCTAAGAGAATTAAACCAGCCTCAGAAAAATAGATGTTCAATTTTGTGAATTAGATTTTGTATAGTCACGTAAAATTATGTACGGATATATAAAAAGAAAGTAGATATGAAATTGTGTAGTGCAACAAAAGAAATAGAAGTGGGGAGAAAAATGGAAGATGGGAGGAATGAAGGCTGATGATGTGTGGTCAACACAAAAATATGTCTACAAAATTTTGAAGTAAAATTTCAAAAGTACTGATACATGATGAATACATAACAAAGATGTTTATTGTAGTAATGCTTGAGCATATATTTGAAAGTAAAAGATCCCACTATATACTATAGAACATCATGCATAATAATAAATGCACCTTAATATATTGACACATAACCAAAAGTAGTTCATTAAAAATAAGCCAGTTGAGTGGCAGAAAAGGCAAATGTGTGCATGAGCTTGCCACAGAGACCAGTGAACTCTTGTCTTTTGCAGACAATATGAGGAAAATCAGGTATAGATTGCTACTGGAACATTTCATCTCAGAACTAGAAATAACTTTCTGATGTTGCATTTTAGAGACTATAACATCACCAGACAAAACAGTTGTATTTCTTTACCTGGGAAACATAAAGCTTTCTGGCCACAACAGAGGTTGATTCAGTCCTTTTAAACCTTTGTTAAAACATAACGTGCAAATTTTATTGCTTTTTGTGCAAATTGTAATTGTTCAGTATTGCTTTGATATTTAAAAGTTATATCATGCTGGACAGTGGTGACACACACCTTTAATCCCAGCACGAGAGAGGCAGAGGCAGGCAGATCTATGTGAGTTCGAGGCCAGCGTGGTCTACAAGAGCTAGTTCCAGGGCTACACACAGAAACCCTGTCTTGGAAAACAAAACAAAAAATGTCTTTCTCCTTTCCTGTCATATAGCTTAGTCCCAGTTCCAGAATGAAGAAGCTGCCTCAAGGTCGCCCCGTGCCTCCCCTTGGACCTGAGACAAGAGTGTCTGTAGTCTGGGTGGAACGCTACGATGATATAGGTACTGTATGAGGAAAAAGGTTTTCTTTAAGAACGATTAAGTTGCCAGTGACTTACCAAATGTCTGAAAAGGGTGGGTACAGAGACTTGCAGTTCATAAACCTGGGTTTGTATTCCAGCCTCTCTACCTATTTCAAGAAACCTGTTAATTGGGCATACTTGTGACCCTTCTTTTCTAGTTATGAATATTTGATAGATTAGTAGATACAAAGTCATTAACTGTTTTGTTTGTTTCCTAGTTAGTGTTCCCAGCCTTCCCAGGAGCTCTGGGCCATCTTTCCATGTGCTTTATATAATTGCTTCCTTTGTCCTTAAAAGTTCTGCCATGGATAAGTTTCTTAGGATTTTTGTGTGACTTAGGAGCATCAGAAATGCGTGCTTAGCTTAGCACCCTGTCCAGCTCAGGGTTTATAGGAAAGTGTCATTCTGCTTCTAACCACGCCCTCACAGCCACAGGTCATATTCTCTAGAAGCACTTTGCTTTCGGTGCACTTGGCCAAACATTGTGAAAGACAGCAGTTTTTATGTGGGAAGTCATTAGGATTCCACACTGTGGTGCAGCACAGACCTGTGAAGAGGTTAGGAATGAATTGGGGAAAATCAGGCAGTGATAACTGTAACGTTGTTGTTTTCTAGAAAACTTCCCCCTGTCAGATCTGATGGCAGAGATCAGCACTGGTGTGGAAACTACTGCCAACAGTAGCACGTCTCTGAGGTAGTGTCCTCTTCTTTGCTTGAGTTTATCAGCATGTCTGTTGTATCTGTTGGTTACGCTTAATAAAAGAATAAAGAATTGTAATCAAGCAGTGGTTAAAGGCAAATAAGAATCAGGACCTGGAGAGATGGCTTGGTGGGTAAGAACACTTGTTCTTGCAGAAGATCCAAATTTAAAATAAAATAAAGTTTTTAAAGAGTCAAAGAAAGGGCTGGCAAGATGGCATTTATGTGGCCCCTTTTCCCATGTTTAAGTATGTGATAGACTAGTAAATACAGCTGTAAGCTATCCATTGGTTTCCCAGTCTTCCCAGGAGCTCTGAAGAGGGGAAAAGCCAGCATGTGAAATGCTCAGAAAAAAACAAAATTAAAAACTTACCTTATTGAAATACAATTGTTATGCAAAAAGTGGTACATATTTGGCATGTTCAGTCTTGAGTTTGGAGGTATATTATACATATGAAACCATCACTACTATACCCTGTAAACATACATTATCACCTCTAGAAGTCTCCTACTACCCACAGTACCTATAATTTATTATTAATTTTTTTGAGACCATTTGTTATTATTATTACTATTAACTATTTGATTTGCCCTCTTAGACTTTTAATAATGTGATACAGTATTACAGCCTTACTCAGTACAATGAGCACTTGACTTCTAGGACTTACTTGGTCTGCAGAAATGAAATTTTGTATTTTTCCACCAAAAACCTTCCTGTTTCCATATTTAAAGACATTGTCATCTCCGACTTTATTTTATGTTCTTCAGATAAATTCTATTATGTAGAAGAATCTATCTTTTTATGCCTAACTTATATGTATGTATAATTTCCATATTGGGCTTTTGCTGTTACTGATTGTACTCTGGGCTCTGTCTTGACACTGTAGCAGCCATGCTGACAGCAGGTCCCAGGCCTTGATACATGTTCTTACACCTCATAGAAAAGATTCTTGTGTCTGAACTAAAAGGACTTATCTTTTCTAAGATCTACAACTCTTGAAAAAGAAGTCCCAGTAATCTTCATCCACCCTTTAAACACTGGATTGTTCCGGATAAAAATCCAAGGAGCCACTGGAAAATTTAACATGGTCATCCCCCTTGTTGATGGGATGATAGTCAGCCGGCGAGCACTGGGTAAGTGCTTTGTGTCCTGAAGGACAGCGGTCCTGACTTTCCTTGTTTTCCTGCACCTTCAAATTTTATTTTATTCTTATTCTTTGATAATCTCATAGATGTATTTAATGAATTTTAGTCCTTTTTCACTTCACAGTACGTTGCCTCATTCCTCTTTGTTCTACTGAGGCCCTGTCAGCATTTTATGGTGTGTGTGTGTCCCACTGATAGGGCCCCATGTATGGCTGAGGATTGGATGTTATTGTAGCATAGGATGCCAGCAACTGTATCACTGTTTGCCTTCTTTAACACTTTCATAAAACACAAGTAAGGATATGGTCTTAATAGTCACTGCATGTTGAAAATGCTGCTGTTTAAGCTTTAATCTGGTAATATAAAAAGGCCTTCACTAACTGAATGAATTAACTACCTAACTAAAGAGGAAAACGGAGAACATGGGCTGTGGAAGAGCAGGCTTTGACTCTGGTCCTGAGCTAATGTCTCTCTCAGCAGTTTCGTCTTGGTGCTGTGTTTGTCTCTGAGGTGGGAAACCATGGGATTGCAGTGAAAGAGTTGCAGTGTTGAGAAAATGGGTCCTCTGAACATAGCTCACCTGACAGCTTACTGACAGTTATCTCACCTGTTTTCAAGGCTTTCTGGTGCGGCAGACTGTAATAAATATTTGTAGAAGAAAGAGACTGGAGAGTGATTCCTACAGTCCACCACATGTCCGTCGGAAACAGAAAATCACTGACATTGTCAACAAATACCGGAATAAGCAGCTGGAGCCAGAGTTTTACACAGCCCTTTTCCAGGAGGTCGGGCTCAAGAACTGCAGCTCTTAGAGCACAGCCTGTCCAGGGCAGTGGACTGCGGAAAGGGCTCTGACATCAAAGCAAGACAGTCCTGAAAAACGCAAGTGAATCACTCCCAAGAACTCACTGTTGATCACCAGAACCACGATGTGAAGCCACTGGCTCGAGGACCGCCTGCTTTCTGATGATGGACCTCGCACAGTCACACTCCTGCTGAAAAGGACAACAAGCATTTTAGCCATAAACTTTCTTTTAAAGTGACAATTTTAGTAAAATATAAGTCTTTTGAGGATAAAGGCTTTTATGCATCAGTTAAATACATGCATTGGTAGTGTCAACAGGCTTGCAAGGTAGGAGCTGAAGATAGTTTATACCTCGCTTTTTAGGAGGGTGTATTCAAAATTAAAATCAGTCTCAGAACCTTCCAGAACTTGTTAAGGCTCAAGTTGACACCGTGAAGGAGGAGGTAGCAGCTTTGTGCTCATGTTTCGATCTGTTTGTTACCTGTCATACTGACAGGTGAAACATAAAGGGTTTACTCAGATGAATCTGACATTAAAATATTTCCTGTTTTTTTCTCCATGTTTAAGCAAGTTGTCCCTCTCTCTGATGTGGAGATCTGTCATATGGCCTCAGCTCCTTAGCAGACAGATGGAAGTGGAGGCACAGCTGTGTACTCTAATGGCCTGCTAGTCATGTTTGGGGTGAAAAGCTGTGAGTGAGCAGTGATGCCTTCGTTCTCCATTACCATTGAGTTTGATGTCCTGATGATAGGGTAGACATGGTTCCTTGATTAAATACCAATAATGGGAGTTCACAACAGGCTGAAAATTATTTCAGGACCAAGCAGCAAGCTGCAGTAGTTCTTGGAGGGTTCTGTTCGTGGTTCAGGAGGGAGTGTCCCACTGCCACTCACTCAGCTCTTCAGAGAGCACCTGCTTCACAGTCCACAGAATCAGTCATCTCCATAGGTGGCAGCTGCTGTTGTGTTTCCTGGCCTTAGCCAGCTGAAGGTACAAGTCCCTGCCAGGACTCTGGAATATTTCAGTCACTTGACTGTTGTTTTTCTGCAAGGGACTAAGCATAGGAGGTGGCCAGAACCAAACTGTTTTAGAAGGATTCCTGTTACAGTGTTCACTATATTCCAATTTTTATGTTCCTACTCCTTCAGTAAGATTATTTGTCTTAGAAAACAAGTGACATTTATAGTCCAAAGAGGAATAATCAGAGATTAACAGGGCTGTTCCCCTGTTGTCATTAAAATCTGCAGATCAGGGTCTACTGTTTGGTTTGAGGTTTTGCTCTTTTTCTAGGATATTAGGGGCAATGTTATACCTGTTCCTCTGTGCAGGTGCCTCCATTCTAGAAGTACGTATTCTGCTGTCCCTAAGCAAGAACCATGGGTATAGCATCCCGTAGGCTGCCACAACCCCCTTTTTTTCTCTACTCAGGTACAGACCCCTCCCTCCTTCAATCTTCCTTGTCCTTGGTGTCATCCTCTTCCTCCCCACTGTGAGTCCAGTTTCCATTCAAGGCATAGTGTTCTGTCTTTGATTTTTTTTTTTTAAAGCCAGGCAATAATCTAATGTCTTCAGGTGATACCATGGGGTAAGGAATGGTAAAAATTAGTAGTGAGGTTTTCCCTAAAAATATTCTAGTAATTCAGCAAGAAGAGGTGAAATTGAACAACTTTTAAGATCCTTCCAGACTGACACTTCATTTCTTGTTCTGTGTGAAGTGAATAAAGAATCTGTACATACATGTGCAACTTAGAACATTCCAGAGGCTACAGATAACTGATAAAGATGTACTTATTTCCTACTCTGGATATTGTTTAAATGATACCAGAAAGATGACATATGGGATTTATATGTTGGGGTGGACTTTCTGGCCCTTCCCCTTCGGTTGTCTCTAATTTCTAATTTCTTGTAATTCTGATAACTTTGGTAAGAGAACAACAATGGCAGATGTAGTTTGAGATCTGGGGTACATGGTGATTCCCCAAGAAGGGAGGGATTCACACCCCTAAGGTAGAGAAGCCCTAGTGTGTACATCCAACAGAACTTGGGATGCACCCCCTCACTGGTTCCTTCTGCACCACACACCATCTACCTACCAAAGGGTGTGGTAAGAGCCTTGGGTCTCAGAGTGTGGTTTGGAATCCTGCTCATTGAGTTCACCCTCCTGCCTGCGCTAAGATCACTTTGAACAGAATCTTGTCAGAGGAACATGCTTAGTACTTACAATAATCTTAGTAGTTCACTTGATAAATTTGCCCACACAGGCTCAGAAACTTTGAGGAAACACTGGAACCAATCTGGACTGTTGTTTAAACTGTACGGTTGCTGTACTTGGCTGCCTAGGCACTCTCAAAGAGGAAAACATTTGCTATGGGTATTTAGGCTGGCAGCCCCCTCCTGCTCACTTCTGAAACTGGGGGCGGGAGTGGGGGATTGCTCCTTTGGCTGGGAGTCCAGGAGACATGGCTCTTAACCTCTTCAAACCTTGCTGCCACCTTTCCCATTTGTCTAGAGTTTCCTCTTAAGACCTCCTGGCCTTTGGCTCCTTGAAAAGAAGAGCTACAGTGGTAGAGCAGCCCTCCCGGCCATACAGATGCATGTGCCATGCACATGTGCATATAAGCATCTCCCTCTTCAGCTCCCCGATCTTAGGGTAGCTCCATCATGGGGCTCACCCATAAAAACACCTACACTTTGGCTGGCCCTGTCGGTGTCTGGCTCACAGGTAGTAGGACAGCCTAGAAGAACGGCTCCCTGTCTGCATTAGGGGAGAATCAGGTTCTGCAGGCTGACCTCTACAGTGATGAGTTTTCCAGGGTGTATTCCTATTGAGAAGTGGAACTTCCCCCACAAAATCAGCCTTGGGCAGAGCTGAGTAGGTGGTGACAACTGTCTTAGAGGACATTTGACACTCTCCTGGCATCAGTTGTCCATTAGCATTTAAAGCCTGTTCAGGCCGGATCTTTGGTGTTAACAGTGACCATTGGCATCCACTAGTCTGGTCTCAGCACTCCCTGACATCCCCTCTTCCTGAGGGATCCACCTGGAAGTGGAGTCACTGGTCTCGCTGCTGGCAGAGCGGGCACTGCATAGTGTTTTCTCAGAACAGCCACCCTTGTTCTTCAGACGAGTTTTTTAGTGATGAGAGGAAATGTGTAATTTGGGATTCCACAGTGCCTTGCATACAGTAGGCGCCCAATACCTATTTGTTGAAGCAAATCAAGTTCTTTGTCCCCACAGTGACCAACGCATCTTCCTCTGAAGGGCTTGGCAGTTGTGGCTAAAATCTAAGTATCATTATTTGCTCGAAACCATATTTACAGTTTGTATGAATTTCGGTATATTGCCAAGATGGGATCTTTTTCCTATTGTATTTTCTGTAAATATTTCTGCCACTGATCTGTAAAGTAAAGGAGATGTAAATATGAAGGTGTGCCTGTGTCCCTCGCTGCCTGTGTTGGATCTGCGCTAGCCTGGGAAGAAGGTGCAGAGGTTCGTATTTATGCCTGTCCTCCATCCACAAGAAACCCACGGGATATTGAATGTAATACACGCGGTCAATTAAATTTTAAGGAGCTTCTTATCTATTAACTTGGTGTGTCCTTTTGGTTACAGGCCATGGGGCTGGCTCCTGCGTGGTCGGTCTTAAGTCACGCTCTCCAGAGGGTCTGCTCAGTTTTAACTAATCTAGGTTTTCACTCTAGGTTTTTTAGTTTTCCTGAAATACTCAAAATTAGGCTAATTTTAAGAGAAAAGGACATGCCCTTCTAATGCTGGCAGGAGTGTGTAGAATTAAGATACAAAGGCTGGAAGTTGAGGGAGGAGTGAGTCGTGGGGTTTTCTGCCTGTAGAGAAAAGTAAGACCATTCCCAGATGGGGAGGGCACAGAGGTCACCTATGCCCTCACTGCCCCTTTGTACTGGTTAGCTCAGGGCTTTACAAGAAACATGTTGGGGCTGTGAGCCTGGGTCGTTGGTGATGAGCACAGAAGTGAGAGCTGTTAATATGCCTGCCTCCACCAGGTGCCACCCTTCAGTCTGGCTCCAACTCCCCAGAGCTGCTCTCCTGCTGCATGTGAGCTGCCTGGGACCCGGAGCCACCTTCTCCCTTTTTCTTATCCAGCTCTACCTGCCAGCACAGGACCTACAGCTGGGCCAGTTGGCAGAAGAGGCTGACTTCAGTGGCCCCATTTTGCGAAATGGCATTCAAGTTTTTCCACCTCTGTAGCTCAGCTCTCCAACACAACTCCATACTGACCCGGCACCTAGAAATCCTAGCCCCGACTGCTCCTTTTCTGGCCTCTTGAGCCTGCCTTGTCCACAGCCTGCCAGCATCCTGTTCTTAGGTGTACATTTGAATCCTGTTTACCCAGACTCCTTCTGTGGGTCCACTCAGCCTGGCCTGGTTCTCCTTCTCTGTAGACTGGTGCCCTCCATGACTCGCCCTCTAACCCAATTTTGATGCATCAGCTTCCCAGTCTAGGACGACCCTGACCTCAGCCTGTGCTCTTCCACTATGAGATGCTGTATTCTCCCACATCATGTCTGCCTCCCGCCCAGGGGGTGCAGTCCCAATGAAGGAGGGTGAGCCTAGGTATTGGCATATTTAACGTACTTCCCAGCCCCATTCATCTTTTGAAGACTGTGCCCAGGCAAGTTTATTACAGACTTCCCCTGACTCCCAATGCCTACTTCCTGCCACAAGTGTAAGTCCAGGCCAGGTGGGGGGATGGTAGGTGTTGTCTTGCCCCACTGAGATAAGGGGGCAAGTTTTTAGAAGTCCCTTGCTAAAACTCATAATAAGGGTAAGTAGAGGAAGCTTCAAAATAATGTTAATCTTAAGTGGTGGCTCAGTGTGTGGCCCGACAGATTTAACCTACAACGTTCTAACAAAGTCTGATCCCATCTGTTTGTGTTTGGAGGGGCAGATGCACCCCATCATCTCTAGTTGTTAGGACAGGGTCTTTGGCTGGATGGAGCTTGCCGTTTTGGCTATTCTGGCTAGCCAGCTAGACCCTAAGATTCCCTGCCTCTGCTGGGATTACAGGAAGGTTGACAAACCCACCTTTATGTGAATTCTGGAGACCGCCCCCCCAACTCTGGGCCTCATATTTGTGGGATAAGCATTTTATCCCCCTCCCCTATCTCCTATTTTAAACTTGGGAGACTCCACATAAAAGCCAGATGTTAGGCTCTTTTGGGGGTAGGCAGTGTGGCAATGCTGTATCTGCCTTTCCTATGCAGCAACGGTTGCTGGAGCTCCCCAGTCTCTTACCTTCCTGCACTGAGCTTCCTCCGTTCCCTACAGTGCCCTGTCCCACAAGCACCCAGGGCCCTAGCTGGTTCATGGCCACTTACATGGGCCGACGTTTGTCCTTCTGTTTCTCTGACTTTAAAATTGCTCAGTTCCCTCAGAGGCTCACATAAGCCCAGTGGCTGCTGGGCTAGTCCAGCCCTGGCCAACCTTCTCAGAAGTCAGCCTGTCTCCCAGCCAGACCCCTTCAGCTTCCTCTGCCTGAGGACTGTGACTTCCTTGTTACATCACACTCACAATCACAGTCACAATTGGGCTGAAAGCAGAGCCTGGCCAAGCTGCCAGGCGCTCAGGGACAGCCTGCCTGCTCAGTCCAGGTGGCTTCACATGGCCACAGGTGCACAATGAAGTACCCTCTGGTGCCACTGGTGAACGACCTCACGCTCTCTTTCCTGGTGTTCTGGCTCTGCCTGCCCATGAGTTTGCTGCTGTTCTTGACGATCCTCTGGTTACGATTCTTACTCAGTCAAGGTGAGCTAGTCCAGGCTGGACTCTTTATTTTGGAAGTGGGCACAGAAGGGGAATAGCACAGCATTTTAAATGCAGCTCCAGTTGAAATAAGTTTTTTTTCCTTCCTTTCTTCCTCCCTATCATTTTTGTTGTTGTTGTTGTTTTTGAGGTCGGATCTTATTAGACAGCTCGGCTGTCCTGGAATTCACTATGTAGACCAGGCTGGTCTTGGACTCAGGTCTGTCTGCCTCTGCCTCCTGAGTGCTGGGATTAAAGATGTGCACCGGCGTGCTGGCAGTCGGGAGAGTTTCTTAACAGAGTTTGATTGGCGTGTATACGTGTCTGCTTGTCTGTGGCCCCTTCGGGGCACTGCTGGTGCTCAGGCTCGGCTGCTGAATTAGAAAACGGTGCTCAGGTACCAAGCAGAGCTCAGACTGGCTCTCCTTTATTCGGACCCTCCCCTGTGTGCTTTTGTAAACAACGTGAACAGTGGGGCATAGCAGCCTTTGATTTTTTTTTGGGGGGGGGGGTCACACTATTCTGGTTTTTGGCCAGGCCTTCTCTGGTACACAGGATCATGGAGGCTTGTTGACAATGGTCCTGACTGCAGCACACTAGCAAGACTGGGTAAAGCAGTTCTCAACCTGTGGGTCACGACCCTCTCACGGGGGTCACAGCAGACATCCTGTATGTCAGATACTTACATTACAGTTCATAACAGCAACAAAATTACGGTGATGAAGTAACAATGAAAATAATTTTATGGTCACGGTTCACCACGACATGAGGAACTGAACTGTTAAATATTAAAGGGTGTTAGCATTAGGAAGGTTGAGAGCCACTGAACTAAAGGCTAAGACATAACTGACCATGAAAGAGGCTAGGTGGCAGGAGGGTTAGGATATGGCAAGAGGCACCCTATCTCCCCAAAGATCCTTCTTAACTCAGAGGCTTTTCTTTCCCTGTTTCTAGGCTCTGTGACCTTAGGTCGACTGGGCAACAGTATGCCCAGCTTGCTGCCAGCTCTGGTCACAAGTTACTGAGGCGATGTGAGCAACACCCTGCACGGCCTGCCCCATGATCCCTCTTGTCTGGCCCACTAATGGTCTCACAGCAGTTTCCTGGCAAGAGCCTAAGAGGGCCTCGGGTTTCTGAAAAACATGTTTTAAGCATATTCACCTCACTTCCAGGGTGAGCCAGAGTCCTCCCTTGGGGCCCTGCCCAGGCATTAGGCCTGGCAGCTAGGGGAGTCAAAGGCTTGCTGGAAACTGTCTCTGGCTGGGGATGTGAGTTGATAGTGTGCCACATAGCATGCAGGAAGCCATGGTTTTGATAAGCCAGGCATGGTGGTACCTGGTGTACTCTCAGTGCTAGCACTCGGGAGGTAAAAACAAGGGGATCATGTCATCCTCAGCAAGTCTGAAGTCTGGGATACATCAGACCTTCAAAAACAAAACCCTATTCCTCTGGAGTCTAATATCGGTTCCTTGATAGATTATACTCAAGTTAACTTTGAACACTTAGAAGTTATACTGAATTCCTGATGCATACCGTCTCCCTCCAACCCTAAGGAGAATCCTGTAAAGAGTCCCCATTGCCCATGTGGGAAAACTGAGGCTTGCCAGGAAGAAGCAACCTACCCAGGGCCACAGTCTGGGTAATGTCATTGGTACAAATTTCAGGGCTGCCTGAGCCTCATTTTCCTTACCACAAAGTGAAGGCAGTCACACCCCCATACACAGGTACACAACTTTCAGGCTGAAGAAAGGCTTTGTGAGATCTAGTGCTCTTGTTGCAGGGAGACAAGGACCTGTGTACATGGTACCTAGTAGGTACTTGTAGGCTCAGCCAGTGCTGGCTGAGTCAATGGTAGCTGTGTCAGTGTGGAAGGAAGTACAGTAGTGACTTTGGGTGGCTTCTCTGGAGATGACATCTTACCTCCGCCTTTGAAATAAGCCCTTTGATCTTCAGTGAAGTCAGCCACTCAGAGGTGACAGCACCCTGGCGCCATTGTCTTCTAACTCCTAGTTTCTCTGTGTGTTCTGCCCTTGTGCTGGGATCTGGTCCAAGGTGGTTGGTGTCTTGCAGCCTCAAGAACCCCAGGCCCGTAGTTTTCTAGCATCATACACTCTGAAAGATACAGATAGATGTCAGGCATCCATCAGCTTTGGGTGTGCCACTGAGTGGCTGGACCAGGTCTCCTGTAAAGTGAGTGTGGCGGTTGGTTTGCCCAGGTCTCTCATGATAGATGTGTGTGCTTTTAGGAATTCTTTCCTTCACATGCGTGTTCACCACCAAGCAGTACAAATCACAGATGTTTGGTAATGACTGGCCTAGAAGATGAATGATGGGCAGGTCGGTGACCCGGGGTCTCTTCAGTGTTTCTTGTCTTTACAGAGTCAAAGGAAGATTATTCAGATTTATGTTTCAACTGGGAGCCCTGGAGCAAAGGAGCTGCTGAGTCTGGCCATGAGGAGACATGCTGTGACTATGAGGACAGGCACCACTGGTGAGCCTGTTCTACCTGGTAAGACCTTTGTGGGGGATCGGAGACTACAGGAAGACCTTGGGCCTGCCGGCAGCTGACTCATTGGAGCAGGCTGCCTCGCTGTATGGATGCCCTGTGCCCTGGTCATGCTGAAGAACTGACTGTCCTGCCACGCTCTACATGGCTTCAGGGATGTGACCTGACTGGGACAGCGAGGATATGAAGACAGGGCAGACACACAGACATAGAAAAGCTTGGACTGGGAGATCTGGGTTCTTGGATAGAGCATGTTTATTACATACATTTGGATAGGGAGGCAGGGTCCATGGTATACAGATGGATGAGAAATGTCTTAGGGTTTTATTGCTTTAAAGAGACACCATGACCATGGCAACTCCTAAAAAGGAAAACATTTAATTTGGGCTGGCTTACAGTTCACAGGTTAGGTACATTATCCTCATAGTGGGAAGCATGGTGGCATGCCGGCAGACATGGTGCTGGAGAGGTAGTTGAGAGTTCTACATCTGGACCCACAGGCAGCAGGAAGAGACTGAAATACACTAGGCCTGGCTTGAGTTTCTGAAACTCAAAGCCCACCCCCAGTGACACACTGCCTCCAGCAAGGCCACACCTCCCGATAGTGCCAGTTCCTATGAACCTTTGGTGTCATTTCCATTCAAACCACCATGAGAAATCAGGGTCTGTGGTACACAACTGGGTGAATGTTGGAGGAGGTCGCTAGTTGATTCCTGGCTGCTCAGAACCCAAATAATCACATAGATACTATATTAATTAAATCACTGCTTGGCCCATTAGCTCTAGCTTCTTATTGGCTAACTTTTACATCTTAAATTTAACCCATCTCCATTAATCTGTGCATCACCACTAAGTTGTGGCCTACTAGCAAAGTTTCAGCGTGACTGTCTCCAGCGGCAGCTCCATGGCTTCTCACTGACTCCACCTTCCTTCTCCCAGTTTAGTTTAGTTTTCCCCACCTACCTCTGTTCCCCTATAGCTCTGCTATAGGCCCAGAGCAGTCCCTTTATTAACTAATGATATTTACAGCATTCAGAGGGGAATCCCACATCAGGTGAAGAGACAGGCTTAGCTAAAACCCATAGGTACAGTCTCTCTTACAGAGAGCAGTCTTCAGGCCACACACATCTGGAGGAAGAAAACTATGGTGGGCTGATGTGGGATTCCTCTCTGTATGCTGTAAATACCATTGGTGAATAAAGAAACTGCCTTGGTCTGTTGATAGGTCAGAGTAGAGCTAGGCAGGGAAAACTAAACAATGCTGGGAGAAAGAAGGCAGAGTCAAGGAGAGAAGCCATGGAGCCGCCTCCAGAGACAGACATGTCGAAACTTGCTGGTAAGCCACAGCCACGTGGCGATACACAGATTATTGGAGATGGGTTAGTTTAGGATATAAGCAAGCTAGAAATATGCTTAACTATTGGCCAAACAGCATTGCAAATAATATGGTTTCTGAGTGGTTATTTCAAGTCTGGGCAGCTGGGAACAAACAAGCAGCCTCTTACTACAGTCCATGATACCAGTCTTCGTCCTGGGTGGATGGGCCTGGAATGTGCCAAGTGTGTCCCCTCTACACTCTCATTGTGAGAGCTATGGCAAGGATATTCTCATCTCCATATATACTGGGAACTTGGAGTACCAGCGTGGTTAAGGAATTTACCCAGAATGCCAAGTGGTGGTGGTGCAAACCTTTAATCCCTGCAACTTGAGAGGCAGAGGCAGGTGGATCTCTGAGTTGGAGGTCAGCCTAGTCTACAGAGTGGGTTTCTGGACAGCCAGGACTACATAGAGACCCTGTCTTGAAAAAAAAAATTAACCAGAGGAACAGTGTGGTGATACTTTGTTTGTGCTGTAATAAAGCTTGCCTGAAGATCAAAGGACAGAACTAGCCACTAATTAGTCATAAAGGCCAGGCAGTGATGGCACAAACCTTTAATCCTAACACAGGGAGACAGAGGCAGAGGATCTCTGTGAGTTCAAGGCCACCCTGGGTTACATGGAGATTGATTCAGCCTCAAAGAGAAACAGCAAGGCAGTGGTGGCTCACACCTTTAATCTCAGTACTTGGGAGTCACATATCTTTAATCCTAGCACTAGGGAGGTGGAGACAGGAAGGGATGTGGCTGGACAGAGAGAGGAATATAAGGTGGGAGGAGATAGGAGCTCAGGGCATTCAGTCTGATGATTTGAAGAGATAGAATACCCCATTCAGTCTGTGTTATGCACAAATCCATGAAGTCCCCCAAAAGCCAACAAGGAGACCGAGTCCTGTAAATAAATGCAAAGAGCCTTTATTTTATGCAAGTTTGCAAACTCGGTCTTTCCACATGTCCAATGTATTGGAATAAACGGAGAGCCCTGAACTCAGTTAGAGTAGGGTTTTTATAAATAGTAAAGGTGGGGGTGAGGGGTTGACATTTGTCTGGGGGTGTCCTGGTGAGTGTGTGCTGGCAGGTGGTCCTGTCTATAGTGGTTGGAACGTTAGGCATTTCCTTTAGATGATCTGTTCTTGGGTGGTGCTCAGGTAATCTCAGTTTGTGGTTCTTCCTGCAACCAGGTATTGCTTCAGGGTAAGCTACTGAGACTCAGGCCTCTATTAAATTTATCAATGGCTGAGTCCTACACTGGCAGGTGATAATGGTTGGAAGTAAAGAACTTCCTTTGGGTGATCTGTTCATATTTAGCTTATCATGGCTGGCTCCTATAGTCTGAGGATTCGGTAGAGTTAAAAACTAGTGACTGGCTGCTCTGCTTCTCCAATCTTCAGGCAAGCTTTATCTGTTAGGTCACAAACAAAATGTCAGCACAGAACAGTCTTGGCATCCATTCCCACGGGGCTAATGCCATTTCCAGCCAGTGACTCCCGGATACATGTCGACGTCACGCTAATCTTCTGTCACCTGCCCATTTAAGCTCTCCATGTCTGGGGTGGGAGTCTCCACTCCCATTGCCACCCAGTGACCTTGTCCCCTTCTCTTTCCTACCTCCCTCCACACAGAGGGGCAGCTGACTCGGGCAACTGACTCTAGCCACCACCTCCTGGCTCAACCTCAGGCTCCTTCACATCCAGCCATGACTGCAGGTCCTGGCAACACACACCTCTCTGTCCTCACGGCTGTCTGTCTGTGAGCATGGTCAAGCGCCATGCTCTCTAGTTGACACGCTGGTGGAGCTGGAACTCCAGCAGTGTTAGGGTTTGAACACAGAGACTCAAGCATACCAGGCAAGCTCTGTACCACTGAGTCACACACATCCCCATCCAAAATTCTCAGTTTGGGAACAAGAGACCATCCATGTCCATTGTTAACGGGCCCCATAGCCAATGAGCGGGGCAAGAAAACAATGTTTTGACTTCATGAAAGGGCTCGGCCCGTCTACAGATAGCGCCCCCCCCCCCCAACACACTATTGCTCTGCTTCCCTTATCCTTCATTGACTTCATTCCTAGCCCAAGCACTTCTTATTCCTGGCATGTTTGTCTAGGTATCATCTGGGCCCACGTGGACGACGGGAAGAGAACACTGGAGACCAAGGAACCTTTCTGGGACCTCCGGTAGTCAGACCTCCCAAGCCTCTTGCCGAATCATCTGTCCTCCGTCAACACAGATGACCGGAAGTCTTTCAGAGAAGAGTCAGGCCCAGGGAGTTTATAGGGGACAGCTGGCCAACTCAAATCCCAGGAGGTGCGGGGTCCCTATTAAAGAAATGAGGTTCCGCTGTGCCCTGCCAGAGCTTCTGATGTCCATTCATTCCCCCCTGACTCCCTCTGGACTGTTCCACCCTCACGTCTGCTCTGTCCCTCTGAGCTTCTAGCGTCACCCAGCAAGCTCGATCCTTGCTTAGACTGTGGTGTGCCTGTCTACTGCGTCTGCTGTGGTCTCCTTACAACGGGAGGGTGTGTGAGTGTTCGCTGTGTGAGCCCCACTCTGCTGGGAGCTTCATGTGGGACTGTGGCTCAAAGGGTTCTACGAGGGAAGATCTCGGTTATCCCTCAGTCACAGAGAGAAACTGGGGCCCAGCAGTTGAGTAACTTTGCCAAGACATGTTGGAGGAACAGGGATTCCTACCCAGCCCAGTAATTCCTCAGGCAGGTGCTGACCCAGTGTCCATCCTCTCCAGGTGGGAAACTGGACACAGGTGGTGGGAGATTTTTAATTTTTTTTTTTAAGACAGGGCGTACCTATGTAGCTCTAGCCTGGAACTCACTGTGTAGGCCAGGTTGGCTTCAAACTCACAGAGACTGGCCTGCCTCTGCCTCTAGAGTGCTGGGATTAAAGGAATGTGCCACAGTGCCTGGAGAATTCCCAAAGTCTCCTGCAGCCCTGCTGGTTACCCCAAGGCAACAGGGAAGATGAGTTAAGGGAGCAAACAGGCCTCCCAGGTACTATCCGTTGTCACTCTGTCCCTCCCCCAACATCCCACTGGACACCACAAAAACTGAAGGCATCCCGAGAAGAAGATAGATCCTGACTTGCTAATGGTTGGCCATTCACTATTGCTCCTCAGTCCTGAGAGAATGACCCACCCACAGCGCGATCAGAGCACTCCCATCTCCCTAAGATTGTCGGTAGCTCCCTGTGGTCCTGCCCAGAGTCCCAGCTCTCAGAGTGGCCCTGTCCTTTGGGATCCGAGCCCAGACCATGTTGCTGGTGAGGCTTCTCTTCCTCCATTGAGATGTGATGAATATGCCTGTACTTCGCCCACAAGTCTGCCCCTGTGTGGAGATGTTCCAGAAGGTTCCAGAAGGTGCAGGGCAGGCCACGCAGTACAGCTTGCAGAAGTTGCCAAGTCTCCCTACAAGGGGTGACACCAACACCTCACAAGACGGTCATGTTTTTCTAAACCTCTCTACATCACCAGCACACAGACACGTACACAGACTCACACACATCCTCAGGGTCTCACGGGTACACATGGGCCCCATTTGAGCTGCAATCTGTCTGATGGACCTGGGCTTCCGGGTGGCATGTGAACAAAATACCTTTGGTAATGGCTCCCACGCAGCATGGCTGGAACTGCCCCTGGCTTTGCCTAGAGTCTTCTACACCAACCCTGGTATAAGGAACCGGCATCTGCTCAAAGGTCAGAAGCCCCTTGTAGCTAGGCATGCTGGGTACTGACAGCAGAACTTCCGTGCAGTCCTGGCCATGCTGTCCAGCTCCCCATCATTGCTCCAACCTGTCTGGAAGTATGTGGAGTGGACTCCAAGGGGAAGTAGGAGCAGCCAGGCCCTTCTGCACCTGCCGAGGCAGCTGAAAAGATTTCTTGGGAGAAGGTGTGATTGTCGGTATCTCTGACACAGCCCATGTCCCTCCCTGGTCACACCTTCAGCCAAATGTCAAGGATGGCCTCCTGCATGACCGTGTGTGTGTGTGTGTGTGTGTGCGCGCACGCACGCACGCATGCATACACACATGTGCTGCCACATGTTCCTTACACACCTGCAGTCTTGTTTTCATTTTCCACTCTGAACTTTGGGTTACAAGCCAGTACTCCCTCCCCCGCAGCCCCCTCCTCTTCCCCTACCACTGTTTTGAGCCTTAGGCCCTCATCTGTAGAGCCAGTGCCCTCTAGGGAGCCATAGCCCAGGGTACAAGTTTAGGGGCCTTGAGCATCTGCAGGCAGTATCTTTGGGTGACAGAAACTACCTGGGTGAGGTGAGGGCACACCAGACTGAGCCCACTGAAAGCTGTCCTTCAGAATCTCTCCTGGGCTCCCCAACATCTGGTGGCTGCAACCCAGGTCCTGGTCTCGAGGCAATGCCATCAGCGCTGCCTTCACATAGTCCCCCGGATGTCTGCTGCCTGCTGTCGCCCCCATCTACCCTCTGTGCCAGGACCCTGCTCATGTTGAACTGGAGCCTGTTCTAATGACTCATTCTTTGTTTGATTTCCTGCCAGCGTCCTATGTCCATATAAGGTCACATTCTGAGATCCTGGGGGTTAAGACTTTAATATCTGCAGGGAGAGACACCAATGCAGGGCCCTGAGCACAGAGCACTTTTCAAATGCCCTATAAATTTTCTTTAAAAAAAAAAAAAGTTGGGCCCCTGGACACAAGGGGAGCCATGTCTCCTGTGCCTGGGCAATAGAGGTGCTGGCCTGTCATCAGTTTCTCTGAGTCCTTACACCAACTCTCAGGACATGTGACTCAGAGAGGTTAAGGCATTTACCGGAGGTTGCACCACAGTGGCAAGGCTGAGGGCCGCCCCCAGGATAGGCACCATTATACTGCCCTGGGTGGACTATTGGGGTCAGGGGCACAGAAGTATGGAGCCCAGGACGTGGTCCCGGGGGCCAACTGGTGTGAGGGACACAGGAGTCCACGGTAGGAAGAGGGTTGTCCAGCTCTCAGGCGGCCTCCGGAGGAGCTGGCAACCTGCCAGGTGCAGGGGCCCACAGGTCTGAGTCACCACTGTGACCTAGCCTGCCTGGCCGATACTCCAGGGACAGGGTCATGGGGCTGAGGAATGTTGCCAGGGGTGCAGAGGTGGGGCTCACTCCCGCCTCCAGGCTTCATTCTAAAGACACAGGGCTATCCAGGAAGCTGGGAGGCGGCACTTCCTGCCAGAGGCTCAAGAGTTTATTGTGTGGGATCCAGGCCAGTTGCTCACGCCACTTGCTTTCTCCTGGCAGCAGGGTTTGTAGTTCTAGGTTGGCATTTGCTCAGGCCCTAGCTTGCTCACTTGGCGTTCATTCCCACTTCCATTTGTCGCTCCCCAGACACTCAATTTTATCACATCATTCAGTCCTGCTGGCTCCCTACACAGCCCCTCTTTCCCTCACCTGCATACCTGTTTGCCCTTCAGCCATCTAATTTCTCACTTAAAGGTCCTCGTGACTGTCTCCCTCCCTCTGTCATTTTCTTTTTTAAGACTGTGCGTATGTGTAGTGTGTGTGTACACATGTACACAACACATGTGCAGGAGCCCAAGGAGGCCAGAAGAAGGCACTGGATACCCTGGAGCTGTCGTTATAGGTGGGTTGTGAGCTGCCCAGTGTAGATGCTAGGAACTGAACTCCAGCCCACTGCAAGAGCAGACGTTCTCTTGGCCAGTGTGCCATCTCTCTCTCCAGCCATTCAGACTTTCTCATCCCACCCCTTACTTTGTTCTTCCACCATCCGTCCACCTATCCATCATCTGTCCATCTGTCCATCCACCCATCCATCCATCCATCCATCCATCCATCCATCCATCCATCTATTCATCTGTCCATTTGTCCATCCACCCATCCATCCACCCACTCCCTGTCCACCCGCCTATGACCCATCCTTTATTAAGCACCTACTATGTTCCCCACACGCAGCTCCATGAACCCTCATCATGTACCAGCTTCACCCCTGACCTCCTTGCTGATTCTTTTTACACACGGGAAGGAGTCTCGGCAGTTGGATCCCAGCTCCTCTCCCTTCCTATGACGTCATTCTTTTGTCTCCTCCTGAGGAAGGAGTGCTGGGAAAGTGGACATTTGTTCCCTGCATGACCTGTCTGAGCCAGTGGTGGCATCCTGCAAATTAGGCCTCCTGTGGTCCTTTTCCTGTGAGGCCTTCCATCTTTTAGGAGCATGTGTAATTCTAGGACTGGGGCTCCTACGGAACCATATTTCGAGTTTCTTCAACTCCATTTCCTGATTCCTGTGTACTTGGTTCCCCAGTTAAGAGTGCCTGGGACCTCTCTTCTTGAAGGTAAATACGCTTTCTCGGTCACTGCCTCTCAGCTCTCCTAGAAGGGCAGACAGAACCAGGACTCCCTGTGATAAGGCCATGGCATTCTGGTCTGGGAGCAGGGGCTTGTGATCGGCAGCAGAGGCAGGGTTAGGACCACAGGTTACACATCCACTCTCCCCTCCGACAGCTACTCCACCATGTGCTTTCTCGGCACTCTCTGTTCCACAGCAAGGCCAGCCCTACTCTGACCCTTGGTACTCTCTGCCTGCTTGTCACCACCATCTTTGCACAGAGGAGGAAGTCACAGCTCCCAGAGGCTTATGGGGAGGGATTATATATGGCTTCATTGGTTTTATTTAATCCTTTTGGTTTTATTTTGAAATTGGAATGGCGGTGGGGGATGAGAATGGCCAGATCAACAGTATATTTCATGTCTGGTGCACATGTATTTGCTTACTTGATTTTCTAAAATTTTTTTAGATTAAAATAATTTATGTGTATAGATGTCTTGCCTGCGTGTATGTCTGTGTACCACATGCATGTAAAGCCCACACTGCATGTAAAGGCCAGAAGAGGGCATTTGGCCCTCCTGGAACTGGAACAATGTTTGAGTTGTCATGTCGGCACTGGGATCCAAACCTGTGTCCTCTGGAAGAATAGCCAGTGCTCTTAGCTGCTGAGCCCTCTCTCCAGCCCTGGGGCATCACTTCTTGAAGCAGAACTTCACTCTGCCACCCAGGTTGGTCTTGAACTCAGGATCTTCTTTCGCTACCTTCTAACTTCTGGGGTTATAGGCAGGCATAACATGCTTAATTTATGCCTCTTTTTGTGCCATTTCTGTTTTGGCAAGGGGCCAAGTGTGTGCTCACACATACCTGCCTGTAGGCGGTCCTGGCTAAGTCAGCCCCACCTCAATATGGGGGTGTCTTGGAAGGGTGTGCCACAGGCCCTGCCACCTTCCTCCGACTCTCGCCGTGATTCATTCGGTCCCAGAGACAGCCTCGTGTGCCTGTCCATGACAGAGCCTTCTCTTCTCCCCACTGCCCAGATGGAAGGGCTGGCCCTCCTGCCCCTGGCCTCACCGTGCCCCCGGATCCCACGAGCCCGCATCGCCAGGCCACCGGGGCGATGGGCCCCCGTGGGCTGCAGGTACTGGTGTCAAGGGCGGTGGAGGGAGGCTGTGTGCCGGGGACAGGTGTCACCTCAGCCTTCACAATAGTCCTGTGAGGCAAGAGTCCTTTTAGGCTGGTCCTGATTTTTCACCGTTCTGAGTGATACTCGGGACTAGCTTGGGCACAGCCATCCCTAGATCGATGTTGCAGGTGTGAAAGTAGCCTTGGGATGCTGACAGCTCCTGCCACCCTCATTTGCTGCCCAAATCCCTGGAGACTGGCCGGGGTTCTTCCCCAGAGAGTGGTTCAGGAATTGGGGTTGATACTCTCAGATGGTGCTACTCCGGGCTCTGGCTGGGAGTAGTACTCATAGACCTTTGTGCCACATAACATAGCCCCTGAGCGCCGGTGGGGGTTCAGACCCATGGGGGGGGTGGTAATGGGCTCAACAGGGGGAACTTGTTTGTCTGTCCACTTAGCCTTGGCCTGTCGGATGTGTTGGCTTCCTGCTGCTTCTGTTGGGACATGTGACACAACAGTTACTCTCTTTGAGTTCTGTGTGTTAGGCATCCCCAAACCAAGGACTCTCTCCACTTGAATCAGGCTCTCAGGGGGAACTGGCTTTCTTTCCCAGATGTTAAAGGCCCACATATTGCTTCCCTTCCCTTCTCTTCTGTCACCTCTGCCCCTCCCACCTGCCTCTGTCACTAATTAGGTGACACCAGTGGTGACCTTGGGCCCACTCAGGTTGTGCAGGCTCTCCCTCATCTAGAAGACCTGAAAAATCATAATCATATTGTTAAAGTTCTCCCCCCATACATCAGAACATCGTCACAAATTCTGGGGATTAAGATGTAAACATCTTTGAGGGTCCATCACTTATTCTACCTCTGAATCTATACATTCTTCCCACCACTCTATACTGTGATCACCATCTACCCATCCACCCATCCATCCATCCACCATCCATCCACCCATCCATTATTTTTTTAAAGATTTATTTATTTATTATGTATACCACATTCCATCCATGTATGCTTGCATGCCAGAGGAGGGCACCAGATCTCATTATAGATGGATGTGAGCCACCATGTGGTTGCTGGGGGTTGAACTCAGGACCTCTGGAAGAGCAGTCAGTGCTCTTAACCTCTGAGCCGTCTCTCCAGCCCCCCACCCACCCATTATTTAACATTTCACCTGTCTATCCAAAACCAACCTACCAACCTATTTGCAAATGTGGCTCTTCTTACTCCTCCCCCCTTAATCTCCTGTTATTAATACTGGATCCAACTGTGGGAACCTCTGGCCCGTTGAATGTGCTCAGTGATTACGGTTGAGTGAACAGATGAATGCTACTTCTGAGTGTGAAATTTCATAGCATCCTCTTTGTTTACTTGCAGCAACATAAAAGGAGCGAAAGTGAGACATGCTTGCCTCCCGGAGAGTGGCTTTCCAAACTCCACGGTTATGTAAGCATCGTTTTAAGTTTTATTGGTATGATTTGTTTTTGAGACAGTCTTACTATGTAGCCTAAGCTTGCTTCTAATTCTCTGTCCTTTTGCCTCAACCTCCCCAGTGATGAGGTCACCATGCTCAGCATTATTATATTTTTTATAATAAATAAAATATATTTATTAATATAAATATATTATATTAATATATATAATAAATATATACTATTTATATATAAAAATATATACTAAATTTATGTATTTAGTATATATAAATACTAAAATTTATATATTTAAATTTTAATAATTTAAATTTTAATTAAATTTAATTAATTTAATTAAAAATAAAAAACTAGTTAAGGGGATGGGGGGTAAAGCTCTTGCTGTGCAAACATGAGGACCTGAGTTCAAGTCCCACACATGCAGGTAAAGGCCAGGTGTAGTCATGTGGACCTGTGACCCCAGAGCTAGGGCAGGGCTAAGCCCGAGCTGTATGAAGCCAGGTGGATCTCTAGAGCGCACAGTCTGTCCGAAGTGGGAGCTGCAGAGACAGTGAGAGACCCTGTCTCAAGAATGTAAGGTGGAAACCAGTAGCAGAAGATACCTGATTGTCCACCTCTGGCCCGCACAGGCCAACATGCCCATGCACACCCACTTACATGTACCACACACACACACTCAAGAAATAAATGACTACTGAAAGCGTTTCCTCAAATGTGCTATATACTCAATACTTTCGTCCATCAGAACAATGTTAGAACACAAGCTCAGTAGGTGCCTTGTACCGAACTCTCACCATGAGCCTTGAGCAGGGTGTCCTCTCTCTTTTTTTTTGGTTGAGAATGGCATCCACTGTCCCCCGGCAGAATACCACTTCCCTGGGACAGTGTGGCCGTGTCCCCTCCAGGCTAGGTTTAATGTGCCATCCACAAAGTCACTACGTCAAGGCTCCCACCTCTGAACCTTTTCATCTCAGTTGTCATTCACTGAGTCATTTGTTTACCCAGCAGATTCCAGCGAGGCCACAACCTTCAGATGCCATGCTCCATGTGACATGACTCTATTCACTTGTGCCTATTGCGGAGGTCCAGGGCTGGCCCCTCAGCGCTGCTGGGGAAAACATTCACTCAATGAATGAAATGCTTGTTGTGAAGTTCCAGGTGGACAGGGAGGTAGAAGAAGACACAGGAAGCTTTGGGCTGGGGTGCGGCAAAAGTCAGCGGCTCATCTAGTAGGGCTTCCTATAAAGTGAATGGAGTCAAAGCACAGAATCTTAAAAACTATATCACAGTGTTGACCTTGGGAGGAGGCTTAGAGTCCCCCTGTGCAAGGTGACCTTGGCAGGGTTCACTTCTTGCTGCCCAGTAGAAATATATTTTCTGTTTGCTACCCAAAATTGCAAGTCAAGTTCCATTTCTCATGTGGTAATTAAGCAAATATTTATATTGCAATTATTTACTTATTTGTGTGTGTATATGTGTGCATGCATATGTGCCACAGCATGCATGTGTGTGTATGTGTGTGTGGGAGGTCAGAGAACAATTTGTATGAGTTGTTTCTCTCCTCCTACTCTGTGAGACCTAGAGCTGGAACCCAGGTTGTCAGGTTTGGTGGCAAGTGTCTTTACTGGCTGAGTCATCTCAACGGCCACAACCATATGACAACTTCGTTCCTGGCATTGGCATTCACTCATCGTGGTTAGTGAGCAGTAACCGAGCCAATGTGCGGTAGCATCTGCTGACTCTTGGCTAGATTTTGAGAGAAACCATCAGCACTTTGAAACCAGGGGCGCACAAGCTGTTTCTGGAGGACAGTGTGGGCCAGAGAGTCTGCAGGACAGTGTGAATCAGTGTGTCTTGAGGACAGTGTGAACCAGTGTGGCTGGAGGACAGTGTGAGCCAGAGAGTCTGAAGGACAGTGTGAACCAGTGCGTCTGAGGACAGTGTGAGCCAGTGTGTCTGGGGGACAGTGTGAGCTAGTGCGGCTAGAGGACAGTGTGAGCCAGAGAGTCTGAAGGACAGTGTGAACCAGTGTGTCTGGAGGACAGTGTGAATCAGTGTGTCTGGAGGACAGTGTGAACCAGTGCGTCTGGGGGACAGTGTGAATCAGTGCGGCTGGAGGACAGTGTGAGCCAGTGTGTCTGGGGGACAGTGTGAATCAGTATGTCTAGAGGACAGTGTGAACTGGTGTGTCTGAAGGACAGTGTGAGCCGGTGTGTACGTTTGAGGGACAGAGTGAGCCGGTGCATCTGGAGGACAGTGTGAGCCCGTGCGTCTGGAAGACAGGCAACCAGTGCCCTCTGGTAGAGGGTATCTGTTGTTTTAGAGTGGGAAATGGTATGTGTTGTGTATCTGTTGACTGTGTGGCTTGTCTTCCCCAAAAGCAGGATGGACTTCAGCCATCCTACATATTATTTCAACAAATTATTCCGCTCTCTGTGGACTGGTGGTGTGCTGAGTAATTGTGGCCTCCTTGGAGAGCAATAGCGACTCATGCTGACCGCCACCAAGAAAGCAGTGTTTACCATGGAAAAAAATTATAAGCAAAATTCACCTGTTCCTCCCACCTACAACCCACAAGGACAGTGACCAAGGACGCTTTCGTGCACAGCCTGTAGGATGCTAGTCTTTGTGAATACACATCAACATATACATATAATGTACGTGTGATAGTTCATATAGTCAGCTTGACAGGCTCCGAAATGACTTTGGACAGAACCCCAACACCATGGCGAAGAACTGTTGATGTTACATTGCTCTCAGCATGCCTGTGAGGGACACTCTTGATTAGGGCTGGAGACTAGGGGAGGGGGCGTGATTCCCTGAAATTCCCTGAAAGGTGTTGGGTACCCACACCTCCTTTAATCCTGACACCAGAGGCAAAGGCAGGTAGTTCTCTGTGAGTTCAAGGCCAGCCTGGTCTTGATCTCCGTTGAGAGTTCTAGGTCAATCAGTGTTGTGTAGTGATGCCCTATTTCAAGATGAATAAATAAAAATAAAACAGAGGACTCAAGCTGAGCACAAGTATCCCGCACCCTGGCCTTCCTGGCTGCAGGTTCAGTGGGTCCAAGCTCCTCCCGCTTGAACCCCACCACGATGGGTGCATTCCCCAACTACATGCCAGAGTTAACACTTCCATCCTTAAGTTGCTTCCGTCAGAGGTCTTATCTCAACAGTGGGAGATTAACTAAGACAACATACGTGATGTTCTACCTGCATACGACATGTCCTTTCATGTTCTACCTGCATGTATTCATGCACACACACGTGCGTTATTCCCTGACATGTGGTACCGACTAGCAGTGAACGGTCTTTTCCACTTCACGACAGCTGCTGGAGACAGGTCAACGTTGCCTCTCCATGGCTGCCTGACGTTTCCTTTTGTTCCTTGTTAGGTGGCCTCCTCTGAGTGGAATCTGGGGTCCTTTTCCTGGCTCTTGTTTTGGACAAGTGCTATGGTAAAGGGTATAGCAGTGTTCTCAGACAAGAATCTCTGGAGATTTATCCTAATGACAAACTCGCAGGACAGGAATCTCTGGTCCTAAGATGCAGACTTTGAGGACATTGAAATATGTCCTCAGGGGGAGTTCCAGGAAAGCTGTGCCCCTTACAGTCTCAGGGAGGTCATAAACGTGCACCCTTATATTCTTGTTTTTAACTGTTATTTCATTATCGGAGTGTGTGTGTGTGTGTGTGTGTGTGTGTGTGTGTGTGTGTATGTGTGTGTTGCTATGTGCCACAGCATACTTGTGGGCTTAGGAGGACACCTTTGTGAAGCTGGTCTGTCTTTCCACATTGATGTGAGTCCTGAGAATCAAACTCAAGCCTTCAGGCTTGCACAGCAAGCTCTTCTACCCCCTGTGCCATCTCGCTGGCCCCGTTTCTTGGTATTCCTTTTTTTCTTTTCAAGGCAGTGTCTTGAACCAGGCGTGATGGTGCATACCTTTAATCCTAGCACTCCGGAGGCAGGGGCACAGTACTCTGTGAGTTCGAGGCCAGCCTGGCCAATAAAGAGAATGCCGGGACAGCCAGGGATATACAGAGAAACCTTGGCTTGAAAAGCAGCAATAAAAAAGACACCACACACACAAAAAAAACCCTCACTATGTGTTTATGCCTATCCTGGGCTCACTATGTAGACCAGGTTAGCCTTGAACTCATAGAGATTTATCTGTCTGCCTCTACCTCTGGAATGCTGGGATTCAAGACGTGCCACCATGCCTGGCTCATAATTGACAGGATATTATTAAATTCTTTAGTCTTTGTTAATTAGATCCAAATACATTTCTTGTAATGAGTGTGTGTATGTGTGTGTGTGTGTGTGTGTGTGTGTGTATGATAGAGAGAGAGAGAGAGAGAGAGAGAGAGAGAGGATGTGTGTGTGTCCTAAAACTCATAATGTAGGTGAGGACAACCTTGAACTCTAGTCCCCCTGCCTCAGCGTGCTGGGATTGCTGCTGTGCGCACACCACACCGTTTATGTCATGTTTGGGATCCGACAGTGCGCCCTAGGCAGACCTCCTACCAACTGAGCTGCATCCCCAGCCCCACAATTTGCCTTTTAAAGCTCACGGTTGTTAGGCTGGACAGCTTTTCCCACGGTCAGTGTCGGGCAGGGTTTCCAAGCTGGAGCCATTTTGATCCCAGGTCGGCTATCAGATTCCCTTCATCAATAATAGGTAGGTGACTTGGCTGGTAACACCTAAGCGACTCATGAGCCAAATCACCTGTAACATCCTCAACTCATACTTCAGACGTGCAGCTCAGGTCCCTGCCACTGAGGTCAGGGTCAACTGACCTCCAGATAGCATCCTCTGTCTGCAGATGCAAGATCTGAATGAATCACCGGCACACTATTCAAATGACAAGGTTAACCTGCACCTCACCTGCCAGCTGTGGGCTCTGAGGGACATTACTCAACCTCTCTGTGCTTAATTTTCCTTGGATCTAAATGACTGTGATGGCAGTGCCTACATGAGCTCATTGTGAGGGTAAAATGGAGGCTATGCTTGGCACAATACCTGATAGATAGGTCCATGAGGACGTACCTCAGCTATCAGTGGTCAACATGCTTAGAGGCTGTTTCCATGGGAACAGCACATCCAGGCCCACTGGCTTCCTGCAGTGGTAGATAGTTTGACTTAGAGTTCTGAATCCACAACCTCCTTGTGAAAACCCCCCTCTTCTCCAAGCCTGTACTCAAGTTGGTGCCATTCTGAGAGTGGCTATCATCCACGTGGACGTCCTTGGGGATCTCCACTGTGGCCCACAGAGCTGGGCAGAAGCTCCGAGGCCGTAGCATGGTCTGAGGTGCTGGTACTCTGCTGCCCACCACTGCTCTGAGGTTTTCATCCTGCCTGCAGTGTGGACCCTGTTCACATGCTCTTCTGCCAGGCACCCCTAACTCTACCACCTCCGTGGCAGATGCTGAAGGAGCGTGAGGATGCCTTTGTCCCGACTCACACTCATGCAGGCTATGAGGGTTCCCTTGGCTGTGTGTCATTCTGATGGGTGAAACATTTCACCAGCTTTAATTTGCCGTTTCCTGACCTTTGTGGGTTCTGTATCCTTCCATAGAAAGCCCTGATACTTTGTCTCCAAAGTGTGTAGAATATGCCAGCTTTCCTAGTCTATTGGTATTTTATTATTGATTTCTGGAACTCTTTATATAACTAGATAAAACACTGTCATTTGGTTTTAAATTACATTTATTTATTTACTTAGTGTGTGTGCGTGGGGGTGTGTATGCATGTTTAGGTGTTGCCTGCCTCTGCAGCTGGGTGTGGAGCTAGAGTTTCACTTGAGGTGTCTTTTGTTTTGGTTTGTTATTTGTTTTCTGTTTGTTTTTGTTTTTTTTCTTTTAAGACAAGGTTTCACTGTGTAGCTCTGGCTGTCCTAGAACTCTGTAGACCAGGCCGGCCTCAAACTCACAGAGATCCACCTGCCTCTGCCTCTTGAGTGCTGGGATTAAAGGCATGAGCCACTACTGCCCAGCTTCTACTTTATTTTTGGACACAGGGTCTTTCACTGGATTAAGCTCATTGTTTTAACTGGACTGGCTGACTAACAAGCCTCTGGGATCCTCCCGTCTCCAACCCTCTCCCAGCACCAGGATTATAGACACATTACTGCACTTGGTTTTTTTGGTGGGTGCTGGGAATCCAAACTCAGGTCTTAAAGTTGCATTTTGCCCACTGAGCCATCTCCCAGCCTGGCAGTCTGTCTGTTAAGCTCTTGAATATCCAAGAAAAAAGGTGAAAGATGAGAACCCTGCAGTGAAGGCCCTCGTGGCAAGGCACGGCTTACAAGCCAGTCCAAGGGTGCTTTTCCCACGGCGATACTGATTTCGGACTGCTTTTAAGAGCAGGTGTTGAGGAAGCAAGGATGGTCCCTGTGAGACCTAAGACCACTTAAAAGCATCTGCTAAATGTTGGTCATCTACACGCGTGCCACTGTCTGGAGAGAAAAACCCACAAGTCATGGAGGTTTTTTCCTTTTTTAAAAAGAAGGTGTGTGTGTATTTCCTGTGTGCCCATGTGTGCAGGAGTAATTGCACATGTGTGTTCATGTGTCTAGGTCAGAGGTTAATGTTAGATGTCTTCCTCTATTGGGCCCTTCCTAGAGCTAGCTTACTGATTGGCCTGTCTGGTCAGCAAGCCCTGGAATCTGTCTTTCTATGTGCGGCCGACCCAATGTTAGGGTTCCAGATGTGCAAACCAGGCCTGGCTTTTACCTGGGTTCTGCGGACCCAAACTCAGGTCCCCATGCTTGCATAGCCAGCGCTTTACCCTCGAAACCATCTCCAGTCCCTCTCAGAGGTTTTAAAAGCTCTTCCTAAGCTCCTAAAGTCAGCTAAAGACACATTACAGACCAGAAGCCATGCCTCCAGGGCTCCATAGGTTGATTGGGCCATCAAGGTGATAGATACATCAGGGCACAGGGAAGACTATGGTGGGATTTGGGGTGTGGGACCTGCTTAATGTGGTTAATGATACATCTTTCACCTGGTATGTCCAAAATATTTTAGGATATAACCAATATGAAATTTTTACAGGCAGACATTTTACACTTCCAAATCTGGTGCCTAATTTCCATTTGTAGCAACATTCATTGTGATGCTGTCTTTTCCTGTGGAAACTTCCATGTGCATTGAGAACACATAGGGTCACAGTTGGGCAGTGGCTTCCTGCTCCCAAGGTATCTGTCCTAAACACACCTCGATGCTGTGGTAGCTCCTTTTTCCCTTGTGACAAGGTACCCAACAGGAGCAACATAAGTTGGCTTCAGATGGCCCATGGTTTGAGGGAACAGAGACATAGGTGGAGAGAGATGAATTCTGTGTGTGTGTGTGTGTGTGTGTGTGTGTGCACATATACATGCATGTGTGGGCACTTGCCCAGAGCCTTGTGCAGACTAGGCAGCATTCCATCCCGGAGCTACATCCTCAGCACAGTGAATACTATTACAATTCAAAGACTGAGTACAAAGATTGAGTCACCTTTTGTTTTTATTGTTTTGTCTTAAAAGGAAAGCTACTACTGCCTTAGAGGGTTTTGAAGAACCCGGCTGAGGATATGTGGGCATTCACCGCTCTTGTAACCTCTCATTCCCTCTGCCCTCTCCCTCTCCACACAGACCCTGCCTCACAGATGGCACTGCAGCCATCTTCCGATGTGCACTGTGCAATAAGGTTCAGACTGTGCACTATGCCTTGTGCAATAAGGACGTGCCTCCAAACGTATGCCGTCCACACCGTGGTCCTCGGCTCAGTGATGACAGTACGTGAGGCATGGAGAACCCATGTCTGTCTACATGCTTACGGAAGGGTAGGCACCCAAGTTTCCCTGCCACGGCCGTGTGCCCATGGCTGTGCCCTGAGATCACTGTTTGACTTCTGCTCTCAGAGGCCTGATACTTGCCCTACTTTGAACTTGAGTCACCCATTAGGGTTGGCAGTTGGAATACGTGAAGCATGTACACTTCTGGTGGCATGCGTGTGGCATCTGGGAATGTGTCTGAGCGAGGAAACATGGGTTCCTGCCCCTCTTGGCAGAGTAGTTTGGTCGCTCAGGAGAACCCTGTGTTAATCAGATGTTGGTTGCATAACAAATGGTCCAACATCAGCATCAGTCATTTAGAAGCTCATCAACCATTTGTTCTTGTTCAGATGCCTGAGTGTGCTTGATGTTAGCGAATCTAGCCTAGGCTCTACCCGGCTTTCCCCAAAGTCAAAGGCGTTGACACACCATCCAGCCCTTCCTCCATAGTCATCTCTGGCCCATCGCCAACTGCTCTTCTTTCTCTTTATTCCCAGCTTTTCCCTTCTTCTGATTGCCTGCTCAGCAAAGCAAACCTTGGTGCTGCCCAGCAGTGGTGACCGACTGCACTCCCAGCATGCCCCGCTCAGACATGTCTCAATCCATTTATCATTGCACAATTGTAATTATGAGACGAGAGGAAGCTCCCAAACAGACCAACAGCCCTTGGCTGGTGTGACAGAGACAGGGATTTCAGCCGATAGGGCCAAGATGGGCATGTGTAGGCTGGTGGCATTCCCTCTCCATCCAGGCTGTATCCAGCCAATCAAAGGGAAGCCACACCTAGCAGGAAAGGCGCACAGGGGACTTGCCTAGTACTTGGGAACATAGTCTATGGGGTCAGAAGGCCTGGGCTGTCCTTTTTGGCAGGAAATCTTGGGTGAACTCTCTTCTTGTTCTGCACCTCTGCCTTCCCATCCGCAGGATGGGGTAGCGACAATGAGAAGCAGTGAAGGCTGAATGGATCGGCCCGTGTGAACGGGGAGTATCCCCATTTACAGAGATATGATGCTGTTTCCTGGCAACACTTGACACATTCCGGTTGTCACAACGGAGGAATGCTATTGTCCGGGTGGACAGAGGCCAGAGATGCTGCTGCACATTCCTGATGCAAGGGATGGCCCTCATCACAAACAAGTGACCCCCCTGGTGCCAACTGGGAGAGCCACACTGTGGGGGTCAGAGCAGAACCAGGCACAGGCAAATGGCAGTTCTCTGGGGACCTGGGTTAGGGCCAACTGTCACTATAACAGCATCACCTGTATTGTGACAAGAGCCTATTCCTTATGTCAATATCCTCTAATGTATACGGCGAGGATAATGGCCCTGCTGCTGTGACTATAGTCGGTGTTAGTGCAGCATAAAGACTCTTATTCCCGGGGTGCCAGGCTTAACCACCTGTTCCGCTCTAGCCTTCGTGGCTGCTGGCAAGGAGCCCCAGCCACACCTCCACCTGCTCACCAGGTTGTGCCGCATTCTTGGTCCCAGAGTCATGTTGACCTTGGCCTCTGAGGAGTTTCTCCCTTCCTTTCCGTGGACTCTTAGCCTTTTGTGTGTTCCTGCAGCCCTACCCTGCTCGGCAGCCAAGGCCTCTGTCGCTGTCGGCTAGCTGGTAAAATTGCAGGCCCAAACCTCTCTTCAATTGCGTCTTACAGAAGCCAGGCTGTGGAGGGACAGACACACCCGCTGTCCCCACTGTCACACAGAATAGGTGAGGTTGGACCTCCACCAAGGACTTCTAGGGCCACTGGAGGAAGAGAAACTGCCACCGGGAACTCAGAGAGGAACGGCTTTGCTATGGGGCAGCCGATGCGTTCAGATCCCCTGCTCTACACCCAGGACCCCTAAACCAACCAGTGCAGTCGTTAAGAGGCTGGGACATAACACAGTAAATAGAATATGTGTCACACAAGGAGATCCTGAGTTGGTTTCCCTAGCACCCTGGCACATGGACCTGCATCTATAATGTGGAGCACTTCAGAGGTAGAGCCAGGTGGAGCTCCGGAGCTCAGTGACCAACCAAGCTAGCTGGATCAATGAGCTTCATTCAGGCTCAAGGAATGACCCTGACTCAAACAATAAGGTGGAAACCAGGTATGGTGGTGCACACCTTTAATCCCAGAACTCGGGAGACAGAGGCAGGCAGATCTCTGAGTTTGGATATACAGAAAAACCCTGTCTAAAATAACAACAACAATGACAACATAATAAATAATGATAAGGTGGAAACTGACTGAGGCAAAACTCCACACCGCACATCCACACACAAACATACGTATACATACACATACACATACATATACATACGCTGCACGTATAACACACCAAGATCTTTGAAACCTGAAACCTGGTGTTGGGTTCTGGCTCTATCCCTTGATTATTGGGTAAGTCTGTGTGGGTCTTCTCATCTCCCTGGAGACGTTTCCTTGTCTGTAAATTGGGGGGGAAATTGTGTCCCCCCACACGGGGCTGATACATCACCTTGAATAAGCCTGGGCCCGCTGTTAGGCATGTGCGCATGCTCAGTAGTGAGATGGGATGGGCATGGGAACTGGAGGTCGCCGTTCTTTGCATGCCTGACACTGGCTGCAAACCAAGGGTGGTTGTGAGGCTCTGAGAAAATTCCATGATGGTGCTCAACTTGCCTCTTCTTGTTAAAAGGGAACACATGGCCACATGACACAGTGTGATCTTAAGAACTGCATGTGTGTAGCTTCTTCCCGTTCTCGGCGGAAAATTCACCCAGAGGGATAACTGCCCCCTCTTGCTGCTCCGCTAGCGAAAGGTGACACGGCGGATGGTCCTTGTTTGCACTTAGTTTCTCCAGTTTTCAGAGTGTCAGGAAAACACGCAGATGCCGGTAATTTCCAAATGCTTCTAGAGGCAGCTAAGCACAGAGCTGTGCGCCAGCATGGGGTGTAAACAGACTCCCAGGAGGCATTGGCTCTGGCCTTCTGGAAAAGCATAAACAGAGCCCAGAAGCCAATTTTATCATTAACCGGGAATGGATCTCCAATTAGGATGCCTCTGCTGGGAGAAAATGGATAGCTAGCTCTCCCCGCTTCCGGGCCCTGGCACCCTCACACTTTGCCACACTTGAGTGTGTTTGGAGGTGGAACTGTTGGCAGCTCTAGGTGGAGCTCAGGGACAGGGGGAGGCACAGCCAGGGTCCGGGCTGAGGTACAGGAGGGACCAGTGGAGCTCTTCATGCAGGAACGATTGAAATTCCAAGATGGTGGGGCTGGAGATAAGGTTCCATTAGTGCTCATCCAGCCCACACAGGGCGCTGGGTTTGCTCCTCAGCACCACAGGAAACTGGATGTGGTCGTGTACACCTGTAACCCCAGCCCTACAGAAGTTCAGGATCATCATTCTTGCTACACTGTGAACTGAGTTTGAATCCAACCTGGGCTACACAAGAGTCTATCTCAAAATAAATAAATAAATAAATAATAAATTCCAGTATGGCATCAGCAGAACATGAATCCAGGAATGGAAACTCCTGTGTCCACTCTTGTTGTAGAATATTATTTTAAGGTGTGTTACATTTGTTCATGCTCTGAAACATTTGTTTAACGATGTAAAGGTGTGTTGTTTTTGTTTATGCTGCATTTGTTTAACTATGTGAAACTGTGGGCTTTTTTTTCCTGTTTAAAACACCTGATGGGCTAATAAAAAGTTGAACAGCCAATAGGGAGGCAGGAGAGAGGATAGGCGGGGCTGGCAGGCAGAGAGAATAAAGAGGAGAAATCTGGGCGAAGGAGGAGCAAGAAAACAAGGAGAAGAGCATGCTAGGGGCCAGTCACCCAGTCAGGCAGCCAGCCTTGGCGTAAGAGTGGCAGTAAGATATACAGAAGTCAGAGAAGGAAAAAGCCCAGAGGCAAAAGGTAGATGGGGTAATTTAAGTTAAGAAAAACTGGTGAGAAACAAGCCAAGTAAGGCTGAGCATTTATAATTGAGAATAAGCCTCTGTGTGCTTTATTTGGGATCTGGGTGGCAGACCCCTGAAAGAGTAAAGAGTAATAGGAGTTAAAAAAACAAAACAAATAAACAAACAAAAAAAAAACCAAAAACACCACCAACACATTTTTTTCCCTGGGTGGTTGTTGTACGGTCATGCATACACAGAGCTGGCCTTGGATCCTGGGTCACACCCCTGGATCACATTGGAATATAAGGATATTTCAATGTGGGGAGCTCAGATGGGGTGGGGAGCAGCAGCTTCAGAGACCCCACAAGAAAGGAGGCCAAACAGGCAACGAGAGTAAAGTCAACACAGAGACAAAAGTCTACTACGGCAGTCCATTTTGACGGCAGTTTGTCAAGAAGTGTCATTATCTCGCCACGCTGAGCAATTCTGCTTCCAGAAGTCTCTCCTGTGGTTACCTCTGCATAAAGGGGCAGGTCATGTACTGCAGCAGGGTATCATCCTGGCATCCTGGCAGATGCAAATGGCATCATCACGGGGCAGCTGGTCCCCTCCCCAGATGGGGACCTGTGAAATAAGCCGCCCCGTGAAGGAAGGGCAGGGACTCTTCTTTGGTGGCCTCCGGTCTTTTAGCAGAGGTATCAATGCCATTCCTGTGTGGTCGGTGAGGAAATTGAGCCCTAGGGCTCCCCTGAGGAGTGAAACTGGGTCACACTGTGTGAAGAATAGGGCATCTGCCCAGGCTAAAGGCACCTGAGGAGACATTCCCTGCATCTTCCTCTCAGGGTCTGCAGGGGTGTTGTGTAATACGGCCACGGGTAAGATTCCCTGCTTTACTTCTGCGGGAATCCTTGCATTGACTGCAAGCTGGTTGGTGATGAGAAAGAAGTCTACAGGTGTTTTTGTCTAAAACTCGTGATCCCTCTGCCTCAGCCTTCCAAAGACTATCATGATAGGTGTGCGTCACCACCTCAGAAAAATCTTGAGGCAACCAGCACGAGCTGTGTGGGTCCTGAGCTCGTCAATGCTGCACCTCACCTGCATTTTCACTGTGAGGGTCAGCAGGGTCTCATTGTGCTCAGAGCTGTGCAGCCATCACGAGCATGTTATCACCCCACTAGAAACCCTGCCGTCCTCCGCAGTCACCCTCAGTGGTGTCACAGGTGTGGCTGTGCTGTCCCAGCCACGTGTACTGTCCACTTGAAAACGTCAGAGTTTCTGAGCATCTGACTTTGAGACGTTCCCTCTCTAGGCTGCCATTTGGTAGGTGGTCTCTACCACGAGATGGCCAGGGCTTACCCAAGGGAAGTGTGCTGCCTCTGTAGCAGGGTGGCCTGCACTTTGAGGAGGAGATGGACTTGGCACTGATGTCAGGGAATGCAAGATGAGCTGGAGTAGTAAATGCCACGCCTTCAATGCCAGGTAACTTGGTGGGAAACAGCTAGACAAGAGGGCAGCCCATCTTGCTCTGTAGACCACGCCTGCCTCTGCCTCCCGAGTGCTGGGATTAAAGGCATGCACCACCATAGTCTGACCCAGGTTGGCATTTCTAATGATGCTTGTTCACTTCTGTGGTTGCTGGGTTTGGGTTTTGCTATGTTTCCATATAGTTCCAGGTATGAAAGTTCCCACCCTAGGCCCTTTCTGAATACATTCCCCCTCCCTGGAATGCATTTTAATCTAAAAGTAATATTGGGCTCATTTCCCTTGTTAATGTTTATCCAACATTTCAGCCCTTATTTATTTTCTGACCCCCCAGCCTTGTGTGTATGTGTGTATGTGTGTGTTCTGTACCAGGGTTTGAACCTAGGGCCTCGTACCCATCAAGAAAACATTCTACAACTGAGCTATATCCCCAGCCAACTTCCTTCTAGTTTTAGCCTTTGCCATTTTATATTATGTGCCTTATTTATTTGTGTGTGGATATGTGTTTGTGCATATATTGACACACTGGGTGTCTGTATTGATTGCTCTCTGCCCTATACAAGGAGGTGGGCTCTCTCACTTGAACCCAGAATTTGCCAATTTGATGAATCTAGTTAGTCAGCTTGTTTGTCCCTGAGAGTCTACCATCTCTGCCTTCTGAGTGCCAGGGCTACAGGCCCAGCGTTAATGTGGGTACTGGGGGACTTGAATTCCAGTCCTCACGCTGTGCGACCAGCTCTCTATTGTCTTTGCAAAGCGGCATCTTCATGATTGCTTTTTTAATTGAGCATTTAGGGTTTTTTTTTTCCCGTTTTGTTTTTCTAATTTGGGTAGTTTGAAACTTGAAGCAACTTCTTGTTTTCATTAGAGGGACCAGATCTTGGTTGGTATCAATGTTGAGCTCAAATCGCTATAGAGTCTTCTAGCTATACTGACTTCCCATTTGAGGAACCTGGAGGTATTGTCACTGATGCAGGTGTCAGGGATGGTGTGTTTGGGGCACTATTAGCACCGAGAGGTCCCTGAAGCCTCTGGGGCTCTGATGGAAGCATCGAAACAAGCTCACGGGTCATCCTCAGCTGTCATTTGCTGGGACCAGGAGCCTGGTCTTGCTTTGGAGTTATCTGACGGCACAAAGTGGAAATTCATTCTATGTTGTGTGGAAGGACAAGGAGGGTCAAGGGTTGGATGCAGAAGGCCCAAAGGACAAACTACACAGTCCAGGTCATGAGAGTCTGGAACTGGGACCCTGACCTCCATCTCTCATGGCTGCAGAGGCCAGTCTCCTGGGTGATTCTAGATTTTATCAAGTTGACAATCAAAACTGACCACCACCCAGAACAAGGACTGTCGGCCCTGCTAAGAGAGCACTCTGGCCCTTTAGCTGTCCTTGGCATCTGCAGCATTGCTTGTGACCAAGGATTCTGAAAAGGCCAAGGCTCCCGGTCTGTTTGCTGAGAGCCAGTGTCTGCTATCTGGAGAGACACTAACTTCAGGACAGCAAGAACCGAGCCTGGCCTGACACCCTCTTTTCACTTGTACAGCCCTGGCCCCTCTACAGGACCCACACATCTGCAACAGCGTCCTCTGAAGTCACGCCCTGCTGACTGTGCCCCCTCCCGACTGTCCTGGGCAGAGAGCTTGTCCATGGATGGCTTCTGGTTGGAGGTGGAACGGATCCAGCAGAAGGGCGAAGTGAAGGAGGAGGACAGGGTTGGAAGCGGAAGCCAGCTCCTAGAAGGTGAGGGACGCTATCTGGGCCTGGAAGGTGGATGTTAAGGCCTTATTCCAGGGGAGGGTTGTGCCAGGGCCCACACACGATTGAGAGCCTGGAGGATTTCTTCTTTGCCAGGACGATTGCGGTAGTCTCTCCATCGATTTCCCTGCTGGATGCTTCCTATACTACTGTGAAAAGGATCCTCTGATAAGGTCGATCAGTTTGTCACCCATTTGATAAAATAATTCAGGATTATTTCAATCTATTGAGTGTCTCTTATCTACCAGGGAGTGGGTTTTTTTTTGTTGTTGTTGTTGTTTTGTTTTAGTTTTTCGAGATAGGGTTTTCTCTGTGTGTCCCTGGCTATACTAGAATTCACTCTGTAGACCAAGTTGGCCTCAAACTCAGAAATCTGCCTGCCTTTGCCTCCCGAATCCTGAGATTAAAGGGGTGTATCACCAAACCCAGTTGCCAGGCAGTGTTTAGACACTGGGATACAATGGAGAACACCAAACAGTCCAGGAGGACCTGAAATTCTGGCAGATTCTAAACACTCTGTCTAGTACTTACCACCCCCCTTAGGGTACCAGCAGCCATGTGCCCCTGTAACCACATCATAGGTCCCTAAACACAGTAGCATAGAGGAGCACCAAGCCATTGCTAATATGTTTCACGGTTCTGGGGGTGGCAGGGCTCAGCTGGGAGGTTTGCTTAGTCTGTCCTTCATTGAAAAGCTCAAGGTCATCTGGGTCAGAGTCATTTCAAAGGGCTTCTTACCCCTGTGTCTGGCAGTGTGTGTGTGACCTCCCATACCTGTGGCCTGGGTCCAGACACCTCCATGTGGCCTCTGTGTGTGGCCCAGGCCTCCTCACAACACTGCATCTGGGTGTGAAGAGTAAGAGCCTGGGAAAAAGCCAGGAACGCTGTCCCTGGCCAGCCTTGGGAGATAACCACCGTTGTTTTTTACTTCCTTTTACCCAGTGTGCACCCAGATGCCAGGGGTGGGGACTCATACACCACCTCTCGGTGGGATGACGCTTCCCATAGCCCACAAGCCTTTCCAGAACTGGCCTGGGACCTATCTCTGCCACACCATCTAGTCTGTCACTCCACCGCGCTCTCCTCTCTCCAGGCCTCCTTGCTGTTTCTGACCACGGAAGCACACCCCTGCCTTTGTCCTCACTGCCTCCTCTCTCCAGAATATTCTTTGTCCAGGCGCTGGGCTCAGAAGTGTTTCCTAACTTCTATACCACAGCACTCTGATAACCCTTAGACTTTGGCCCGATGTTATTCATTGCTGTAGCAATCATGCATTATCAGAACATTTGCTCACGTACCGCCATCCTCCACTTTCCATGGGGCCAGGGCATCACCAATGCTCCCCGCTTCCGCCTGTGTGCTGGTATCTGGGTGAACTGGGCATGTTTCCATTCCCCATCTTCCCTCGTTTGGCAAGTGCGGGAGTGACAAGGGTGTGACGAGGCTGCCCACATGGAAAGTCTGATCCGGACTGGGCTTCAGCTTTGCCTTGGTTGGTCAAATAGGCCACCTAGGACTTTCAGGTCTTCAGAGGACCGATGGACTGGTGCAGAGGCTCTGTAAATGCAAATTCTTGATAAGGCCAGAGGTGGAGGCCGGAGACGGGCTTTCTTGCTTTATACTGCAGCCAGCAAATACATCAAAAACCAAATAAAGGGGCTGGAATCAGAGCACCAAAGACTGGAGACTTTTCAGACAACAGAATAAAGACAGGGCTGGTGTAGACTCAGGACGGAAGGAGTCAAGAGCATGTGTAGTTCATTATATCATTAGATGTTAGTGTAGGGATGACGGCTTTTGCTGTGATGTCTCCACACACGTAGCTCATTCTGCTTTGCTCATACCTGCCCCTCCCACTGCCCTCTCCCGTCCCTGCTCCTGACGGTCCTTTCTGTGGCGCCTTCTGCACATGGCAGGTGATGGCGAGCACTCCACCAATGGTGGGGCTATTGTCCTTTACGTGGCTTTAAGGTGGTCCCTACTGTTTGTTGTTCTTGTTAGCACTTACACCTGGGAGAATGAAGTCTAGAAACAAGGCCGACTAAAGTCTCATGCAATAACCGACTTTATTCAGAGCACCAGACAGTTTGTACTCTGAGGGTTAAGAAGAAACCTGTACACCTGAGGAAAGTGTACTATCACAAGAGCAAGCCACATGTGGCAAAAACGTGCTCTTCCATAAACAAATAATAATAGCCAGTTGTAACGAATAATCCGAAGTAAACTCACTCCTGTCCGCTACACCTGCGAGGGGCACAAAAGCATATTCCAAGAACAATTCCATGTTTTGAAGTAACTAAGGTCGTAGGACTCTTGTTTTCCTGGAGTTTTCCCACAAGGACTCAGAATTCCCACAATTCTATTCTTAGACCGTGTTCTTATACCTACGAGCAGCCACAAGGCTCTGTTGGGTCTGCCTGCCTTTGAATTTTCCTTTCATCTTTTTCTTCCGGATGCTGAACAGAGCCAAGATGTGCTTCCTCTGACACTCTGTGCTTTCCTTCCATTCTCCAAAGCTCCCTGCCCCTCATGTGCCTGCTTGTCACCTGAGGCTGATCTGCCAACTTAACTACAACAGCATGGCCCTTTCTCTTTCTTCTCTCTCTTTTCTCTCCCCTCTGGGAAACTGCTGAAGTTTACAGCTGCCTGCCCTAGAATTTTTCTTTTAAACTTAAAAAAAATAAAAGTTAAAAGTGTGGTATGACAGAAAAGTTATAGTTTAAAAAGATTTATTTATTTTTATTGTATGTGTGTGGGTGCTTTACCTTCATGTGTATCTGGACAACACGTGCATGCACTACCTACAGAGGCCAGAAGAGGGTGTTAGCTCCTCAGGAACTGGAGTTACAGACTGCTGTTAGCTGCTCTGAGTGTACTGAGGTCAGAACTGGGGTCCCGTGGAAGAGCATCCAGTGCTCTTAGCCACTGAGTTGTCTCCCCCAGCCCTTGCTTAGTTATTTTTGAAGCCATCAGCTCCTTCCTGACTACCTTGTTCAACTCATGATGTACAGCCACAAATGCCCACCTGCTCGCTCACAGGTCTGCACAACTTCTTTGGTGAGCACTTGGCGGTTCCCCCCACGACAAGGCCAGTGCCTCCCCACGGTGGTCTGGGTAACTGGGGACAGTGGTCTAGCCAGCATCCCAGCCCCTGACCTGAGTCCTGGAACAGAGTTCTCACAGGTGGGATCGGAAGCTGTAGTTTCAGCATGGTTTTGTTATAGGATGCTGGCATGGAACTCACCCCACTACTTCAACATACAAAAGTCTTGAACAGAGGGTTCATGCTGTGTGTGGCTGGACCTGCATGATCCTGTGGTTGGTGTCTTTGCCAGAACCGGGAGTGGAAGTGATTTTGTGGCTATATTGCAGAACCAGAGTGTAGGGGGCCCTCCCTGGCTTGCTGTCGCTAAGCGTTCATTGGATGCTAGCCACTGTTCCTTAGCGCGCCTAGCTCCCACCTGGGGAGAATCAGGTTGGTGCTAATGGGCCTGAATATGAACACCGCAGAAGCCCCTCGTGTCTGTGCGACCATTTGTGGTTCCATGTGAGGCCTACGTTAGTGAGCATGGCTAGGCACATATGGAATTCTGTGTGTTTATCTGATGCCCCTCCCTCTGTTGGCCAAAGGGGACACTGAATCCCAGTGGCTACGGGACACAGGTCTGTCTGGCCTTGTTGGTGGCCTGGGCTCGGATGACAATCACCAGGGACTCCTATCTACACTGACGGCGACCCAGGTGGCTGCTGTGTGCCGCCGGCTAGACACCTATGCCCGCTCAGCCCGAAGACGACACAAGCCACCCATCAGAGATGTCAGGGATATCTTTGGGGTCTTCACCTCAAGGGTGAGTAAGGGCCCTTGGGCACTGTCTTTTGGGGTTTCTGTGATGTCATTTCAAGTCTCATGTGCCTCTCTGCCTGCCACTGTGTTCCCAGGCTGTGTGGGATTGTTTGTATGCTGCACGTGACAGAGTATATGTGCTTCTTGCCACCATGTCTGTGGACGCATCTGAAAGTTTCTGGCTAAGTCGTTACCGATACAAACACAGTGCTTTTTGTTGTCTCTTGCATGTTCTGCTGGCACTGAAGCCTGACAAACTGTGGGCATCTTCTTTCTGGGATCCACAGGAAGGGCGCAACCCTGTGGTTAAAATGATAGGCATCAAAGCCGGGTCAGTCAGGCCCCCATTTCCCTCCCCATCCATTCAGCTGCTGTGGGATCTTGGCCAAGTAACTTAGCCTCTCTGCGCTTCAGTTTCTCTACCTGTGAATGGTTCTTACCTCCCAGGGTCTGTGTATCAGCCCCCACGGGACTAACTGATGCTGTCTACACTTTGTATAGGAAGTGGTTTCAGAGAATGGGGCCTTGGGAATGAAATGGACCCAGATCAATCCTGTGGATTCTGCATCTTCTGTAGGTAGGTGGCCTTCGTTCTTCAGGGCCCTGAGAATCCAGGTTGCGTAAGCAGAGAATGCTCACCTCTGCACCTTCTCCTGGTTCCTCTCCCTCCCTGCACAAGGGCGGTAGGAAGAAACACCAACGGGACCGGTTGGGCCCTTAAATGAACTACTGTCATCAAGCCCATGGGCCTCAGTCCAGAAACTCTGGGGCTAGGCGATCACTTTTGTGGTGCTCAGATAAGAAACCACTTCCTGGTCAATGAGCCCCAGCTAGAACGCCACTTCCTGGGCAGTGTGCCTGAGTCCATAGCCTAAGAAGTGGCTTCCTAGTCAGACCAGTCTCTCTGCTTTCAATGTAAAGGATCCGCAGATCTCAGGGGACCACAGGAACCAGCTGGAACAGAGGAAGTCTTCAGCATGGACTCTGCCTACTCTGACCAAGCTGCCATGCTTCTACAGAGGGCCAGGTCATCCCCGGGAGGCACCTGTGCCTGGGACAAGGGATCGCTGCCGGTGAGGATGCTGCCCCCAGGTCCTTGGGCACTCCTCCATCCTTCAGCTCCTCACACTTGCCAGGCTGCCGGGCACCCAGCAGGGGAGTTGTTGAAGATTCCTCCTGCAGCCCTTAGCTGGGTGTCGCTTGCTGGGTGTCAGGGACCAGGAACAGGGCACCTGGGGGCTCTCTTCGGTGCTTTGGTTGAGGCTCCTCCTTGCTTTTGTCTTTAGGGGAGTCACCCCTTATCCAAACAGCTGATCACCACCTCCTAGTAGTGTTTCTAGTTATTTTGTTTGTTTTTAGAGACAGGGTCTCAGCAGTGTAGCTCTGACTATCCTGGAACTCACCACGTAGACCAGACTGACCTCTAACTCAGAGATAAGCCTGCTTCTACCTCCCAAAAGCTGGGATTAAAGGCGTGTGCCACAACACCCAGCTTTTCTAGTTACTTAAAAAATTAATCTTGGAACGTGTTAGGTAAGAGAAACCCAACTTTTTTTGGTTTTAGTGTTTTACTTCCCCAAATGTTGAATTATCTTGACATATTAGGATCAGTCATTTATAATGAAGTATTTAAGAGTGAAAGTTAGGGCCAATGAAACGGTTTAGTGGAAAGAGGTGCTTGCTGCTGAGCCTCACAACATGAGTTCAGCGTCTGGGTCCCACATGGTAGGACAGAGCCAACTACTACCCCTCTGGCTGCCACATGTATGCTGCGGCACATGTATATCTACACACACACACACACACACACACACACACACACACACACAGGAACTATACAGCCAATGGTTGACCTGAACTCTCCATGTAGACAAGGCTGGCCTCAAACTAGAGTTCTGAATGCCTCTGCCTCCTGAGTGTTTGAATTAAAAGGCAAATCAGAGTGTGAATCTCTGAAGTAGGATCTCAAGGCCTACGGGCTATATTTTAGCCGTAGTTATTAATACAGCCATGGTTGTAGACTTTGCCTCCACAAAACGAAAAGTGATTGCCAGGTGTGGTGGTGTACACCTTGAATTCCAGCTCTCAGGAGGCAGAGGCAGGTGAATCTCTGTGAGTTAAAAGCCAGCCAGCCTGGTCTACAAAGTGAGATCCTGTTCTAATAAATAGATAGATGATAGGTAGATGGGAGATGGATAGATAGATAAATAAGATAGATAGATGATAGATAGATAGATAGAAAGATAGGATAGATAGATAGGTAGATAGATAGATAGATAGATAGATAGATAGATAGATAGATAGATAGATAGATAGATAGATAGATAGATAGAT